AGCGTTGACGAAAACAGGAAAGCTGATCAGGAGGGCGTCAAAGGCCGAAAGAGGAGTTACCGGGAAGAGGGTACCGAAGTATTGCAGTCAGGGAGGAGGAACCAACGGTGGGGCAAGCGGGAGGATGAGAAACCCCGATCGAAGGTGGCCAGCCCCGATCGAAGCAACGCATCCCGACACACGCTTACCGCGGCTCAGCTGGGCAAGAGGGAGAGCGGGTACTAACGAGAGGGGGGGGGCAACCCACAATCAAAAGTAACACCACCCCGACACACTCTTTCCGCAGCTCCGCTCAGCAAGAGGGAGAGTGAGAGCAACGATATGGGGAGCCACCCCCAATCAGAGGCTCACCACCCCGACACACTCTTACTTGCGGCTCCGCTCGGCAAGAGGGAGAGTGAGAGCCAACGAGAGGGGGAGCCACCCCCCAATCAGAGCATCACCACCCAGACACACTCTTACCGAGCCCAGCTGGACAAGAGGGAGAGTGAGAGCCAATGAGAGGGGGAGCCACCCCCCAATCACAGGATCACCCCGACACACTCTTGCCGCAGCTTTAGTCCCCTTCCACATACGACATCATCCCTCTCCAAGTTCCTCCTCCTCCAACCCGTCAGCCACTCCCTCTCACACCTCCACCTCCACCTCACCCCAAGGGTGCAGGTGGGGAGAGCACACGCATGGGCAAAGACGAGCTTCGTTCGCTCCATCCTTGCTCCATCCGCCTCGCCTCGCGAGCCGCCAGCAAGCGGGTGGTCCTCCTGAAAGAGCCTCGCTCAATCCGCATCCGGGGGAGCTTGCGCTCCACACCGCCTCTCTCCAACTCGCCTCACCTCGCCTCGCATCGTCTCGAGCTCAAGAGAGAGAGCGTAAAGGGCGCGAGAGTCGTTGCCGCCTCTATCGATGAAGAGTTGAAAGACGAAAGAGAACGCCAGCGAGATACATGAAGAGAGGGAGAGTAAAGGGCTAAAAAAAGCTCACATCCAGAGAAGGTCATTGCCGCCTCTATCGATGAAGAGTTGAAACACAGCGAGAGAGAGAGTAAAGGGCTCAAACAAGCTCACATCCAGAGAAGGTCATTGCCGCCTCTATCGATGAAGAGTTGAAACACAGCGAGAGAGAGAGTAAAGGGCTCAAACAAGCTCACATCCAGAGAAGGTCATTGCCGCCTCTATCGATGAAGAGTTGAAACACAGCGAGAGAGAGAGTAAAGGGCTCAAACAAGCTCACATCCAGAGAAGGTCATTGCCGCCTCTATCGATGAAGAGTTGAAACACAGCGAGAGAGAGAGTAAAGGGCTCAAACAAGCTCACATCCAGAGTAGGTCGTTGCTGCCAAGAGTGGCGATGAAATTTCCAAAGTCAAACGAGAATGAACGACAAAGATATTAAGATACAGAGTAAATAGGCGGGGGTAAGGAAACTCATTTGGAGTCGACTCATTTGGAGTAAATATTATCGAATGCAGGGCAGAATGGAACCCGCCTTCCCCGCCTCCCTCCACCAGCAGCACCGCCCCCTCGCCTTCGCACGCGGGTGGTCAGCAGGGCGGGTAGAGGCAGCCACACGCCCATGGCTGCCGGCCGTGCGTCATCCCACCGCGCACGCCCTCCCCTTGCATGCGCGCCGTTTGAGTTGTCCTCTCCCCGTGCACGCACCGCCCTCAAGATTGTCCTGCCAAGGAGCCATGGGAGGCATGAAGAGCCACGGAAGATACGTAGGTAAAGAGATGGATAAACAAGGCACCAAGACAAGTGCACCAAACAAGGAGTCCGCAGCAATGGCAAAAATGAACGGGACAGAAAGACTGACAAACATGAACAATTACAGCAATGAGAAAAACACAGCAGCGTTTGAAGGGTTAACCAGGGGGACCTTCTATTGTACCAAGTCTGATCCGGGGGGGACCTTTTGTTTTACCGAGGGTTTCAAATCAAACCTGATGATGCACTCACGTTTAGGGAGGGTGGTGGCCGTGGGTGTCGCCTCTATGAACAGTGTTGATGAAAAGATTGAAGACAAAGAAGAAGACAGCGAGGGAGCTTAAGAGAGCGAGTGAAGGGCTCAAGAGAACTCAGTGACTCACATCCGGAGAAGGTGGTGGTCGTGGCTGTCGCCTCTTGAGGCGCCTCAGAAGTGCACTCACATCCAGAGAAGGTAGTGGCCATGGGTGTCGCGACGAGATCAAGCGCGTCGGTGAAAATTTCAAAGACAAAAGAGAACGACCGGGAGATTGATCAATAAAGAGAGAGTAAAGAGGCGAGGGTAAGGGAACTCAGTTGGAGTGGTTGTCGAATGAAGGTGATCGTTGTCTCGTGTCCTCATGCCATCCGCCTCATGCCTTCCGCCTCATGCCATCCGCCTCCGCCTTCCGCCTCATGCCTTCCGCCTCATGCCTTCCGCCTCATGCCACCCGCCTGCAGCGTTGCCTGCTCGCCATCGTCCAAGCGGGTGGTCAGCAGGGCGGATAGGGTGGTCATCCCACCACACTCGCCCTCCACGTGCCACCACGCATCCCACCACGCGTGCTCCCTCTGCATGCACCCTGCCAAGGAAGGAAGAGAGGCATTGCAGAGCCAAGGAAGATAAGTAGGTGGAGAGATGCGTGCACAAGGCACCAAGACAAGTGCACAAGCGCTTTAACAGCATGATTGAATGATCAAATGCAGGAGTGGATGATTAAGAGCCATAATGATTGCACAACGAATGGCAAACAAGACAGCAGCAATGGCAAACGAGAAGGAAACATCAAGAACAAGCTGGCAAGCATGGCAAACAAGAAAAGCAACGAGAAAAACAAGGTAGCGTTTGAAGGGTTAACCAGGGGGACCTTCTGTTGTACCAAGTCTGAACCGGGGGGACCTCCTTTTTTACCAAGGGTTCACCTTGCGAACCTGCTGATGCACTCACATCCGAGAGGGTGGTGGCTGTGGGCGTCGCCTCTATCGGTGAGATTTTCAAAGACAAAAGCGGAAAACAGAGAAAGATCAAGAGAGAGAGTGAGGAGGGTAAGAAAACTCGGTTGGAGTGGATGTCGACTGCAGACCATCCGCCTCGCGCCATCCGCCTCGCGCCATCCGCCTCGCGCCATCCGCCTCGCGCCATCCGCCTCGCGCCATCCGCCTCGCGCCATCCGCCTCGCGCCATCCGCCTCGCACCATCCGCCTCGCACCATCTGCCTCGCACCATCCGCCTCGCTCCATCCACGCGCTCGCCCTCGCGCGCCCAAACGGGTGGTCAGCAGGGCGGGTAGGAGGCAGCCACACGCCTGTGGCTGCCGGCCGTGCGTCATCCCACCACGCGCGGCGTCCTCATGTTTGCCCTGCCAAGGAGAGAAGGAAGGAGCCAAGGAGGATAAGTAGGTGACCAAGGGCTACCGGGGAACCTGCCGTTGAGCAACGTCGATGGAAATTTCAAAGACAAAAAAAGAATACGACACTGAGAGAGCTCAGGAGAGAGAGAGTGAAGAGCAGAGGGCAAGAGAACTTACTAGCCGTTTTGATTTGTCGACCGCAGCTGATCGCTCCATCCGCCAGCAGCACTGCCTCCTCGCCTTGCCTCCACTGCGCCTTGCCTCCACTGCGCATGTCTCTTCCATCCGCACAGGCCGCCCACCTCGCAGACCGTGAGGAACACACACGCATGGGGAGAGATACAAAGCCATACAGAGACAACATAACAAGGTGAGTCAGAAGCAGCTGGAGGCGAGTGGTGGAGCCGCAATCAACAAACACGACTCTTGCCTCTGCGCGGCGACGCCCTACGACTCTCTTCCCTGCCCCTATGCAAGCACCCGCTGGAACGTACCATGCTCCGTCCGCCACTCTCCCACTCCTACGCCACGCTTTCACTTCAGGCGTGCTGCTCTTGGTTGTCTCTCGTGCGCGCCAGCAACGGAAGTCCCGGCCATTCCGCGTCCACTCCGTGGCGCATCCATTCCGCGTTTTCTCCACCTCGCAGACCATGAGGCACGCACACGCATGGGGAGAGAAAACACGCACACAGAAGCGGCACAAAAGGAAGGGTTAGGAGCAGCACGAGAGGAGGCGAGCAGTGGAGGCAAGGGCAAGAGACACGACTCTTGCCTCTGCGCGGCGACTCACTACCCTTCCCCCCTGCAAGCATCCCCTGACACGAACCTTGTTCCGTTCGCCGCTTCCATCGGCGTGTCTCTTCCATCCGCGCGTGTCTCTTCCATCCGCACATGTCTCTTCCATCCGCGCGTGTCTCTTCCATCCGCACATGTCTCTTCCATCCGCGCGTGTCTCTTCCATCCGCACATGTCTCTTCCATCCGCTCGTGTCTCTTCCATCCGCGCATGTCTCGGCCTCTTGAATCCGCGACGCCTCTTGAATCCGCGACGGTCTCTTCAATCCGCGACGCCTCTTGAATCGCGACGCCTATTGAATACGCAACGGTCTCTTGGATCCGCGACGTTTCTTGAATCCGCGACGCCTCTTTAATCCGCGACGGTCTCTTGAATCCGCGACGCCTAATCCGCGACGCCTAATCCGCGACGCCTCTTTAATCCGCGACGGTCTCTTGGATCCGCGACGGCATCCTTCATCCGCGGGAGTTCTTCGATACCTGCAAGTGAAACCACCCGGTTTTGTAAGGAATTTGAAGTCAAGAAAAGAAAAACGAAAATAAATCTGGACAGAGAAAAGGCCGTCCCTGAAAACGCAGGAAACGTCATCATGAGCTCGCAGAGAAGGAGGGTCATTAGCTTGGAGGGAACGCAGCTTCACCTGGCGACACGCAAGTAGGTCCATTTCGATCCGCGACAGCGTCTTGCATCCGAAGCCTCTTCAATCCGCGACGGCCTCTTGCATCTGCGACGGCCTCCTTCATCCGCGGGAGTCTCTTCGAACCTGCAAGTGAAACCACCCGGTTTTGTAAGGAGTTTGAAGTCAAGAAAAGAAAAACGGAAATAAATCTGGACAGAGACAACGCCGTCGCTGGAAACGCAGGAAATGTCATGAGCTCGCAGGGAAAGGAGGGTCACGAGCTTGCAGAGAAGGGAACGTCATGAGCTTGCAGAGAACGCAGCTTCACCTGACGACGACGCAGTAGCAGGTCGAACGTCTCGAGTAGCAGGTCGAGCGACGCAAGTAGCAGGTCGAACGTCTCGAGTAGCAGGTCGAGCGACGCACGTAACAGGTCGAACGACGCACGTAGCAGGTCGAGCGACGCACGTAGCAGGTCGAGCGACGCACGTAGCAGGTCGAGCGACGCACGTAGCAGGTCGAGCGACGCACGTAGCGGGTCGAGCGACGCACGTAGCAGGTCGAACGTCTCAAGTAGCACATGTAGCGTCGAAAGTATCAGGTCGAGCGTCGCAATAAGCTGGTAAAGCGTCGCAAGTAGCAGTTCGAGCGTCGCAAGTAGCAGGTCGAACGTCTCAAATAGCACATGTAGCGTCGAAAGTATCAGGTTGAGCGTCGCAATAAGCTGGTAAAGCGTCGCAGTAGCAGGTCGAGCGTCGCAAATAGCTGGTCGAGCGTCGCAAGTAGCAGGTCGAGCGTCGCAAGTCGCAGGGAAAGGAGGGTCACGAGCTTGCAGAGAAGGGAACGTCATGAGCTTGCAGAGAACGCAGCTTCACCTGACGACGACGCAGTAGCAGGTCGAACGTCTCGAGTAGCAGGTCGAGCGACGCAAGTAGCAGGTCGAACGTCTCGAGTAGCAGGTCGAGCGACGCACGTAACAGGTCGAACGACGCACGTAGCAGGTCGAGCGACGCACGTAGCAGGTCGAGCGACGCACGTAGCAGGTCGAGCGACGCACGTAGCAGGTCGAGCGACGCACGTAGCGGGTCGAGCGACGCACGTAGCAGGTCGAAGGACGCACGTAGCAGGTCGAGCGACGCACGTAGCAGGTTGACCGTCGCAAATAACTGGTCGTGCGTCGCAAGTACCATGCCGAGCGTCGCAAGTAGAAGGTCGCAGGTCGAGCGTCGCGAGTAGCAGGTCGAGCGTCACACGTACTAGCACATGTAGCGTCGCAAGTAGCAGGTCGAGCGTCGCAATAAGCTGGTAAGGCGTCGCAAGTAGCAGGTCGAGCGTCGCAAATAGCACATGAAGTGTCGCAAACAGCGAGTGTCGACACAGAAGAAACGACGTGGTCGCGAGAAATAGCTTCTTAGCAGAAACTTCGCAGCCGTAAACGAAAAACTTCGATCCGCTAGTCTTCAATCCACCATACTAGCACGTGTCGCGTGGCGAGTGAGATGCGCTGAAGACGTGGACGGGAGAAGTAGGTCCTTCGCAGTGGCGTAGCAGCGACGTCCTTTTGCGAAGACACGCCATCCGCCATAACCGCTCATATCCGTGAGTCTTCGATCCGTGAGTCTTCGATCCGTGAGTCTTCAATCTACCATGATGCTTCAGATCCACTATGGTAAGCGGTATAGAATTGCTAGACCGTCGGGTTACTGAGAACCTTAGATCCCATGCTATATGAACTCGAGCAGATCGTTCAACAATCAGCTTCGTGTTTCTACTATGTCGTGTCGATTCCGTAATAATGCACCAGGAAGCACGAAGTTGTCTATAGCCAGCCGTGTTCACGGAGAAGATTAATATCCGGTATTAGTGCTAGTCAGATACTTCGTGATTAGGCACCACTAAGGACGATGCGACGCGAAGGAAGCCATGGCCATGAAAACGCCGAGCTAAAACAAAAGGCCGACAATGACTCCTGCAGAAGGGAGTGCCTGAGGAAACTTTCTGATTGAGCTGGGAAACTGGGAGGGATGCGAAGGATTGTAGGAAGTTTTCCAGGTTTGCCTGGTGGGAGAGATGCGGCTGGAGGGGAAGGAGGGAGGCGAAGGGACAAGTGACAAGACAAGGGAGAAGTGAGTTCGGCAACTCCGATGGGGACGCCGCACCCGCATGGCCATGTGCTGACAGGCGGGGGAGAGCCTGCGCTTTCAGCCAAACGGGGGGAAATCGACGGTGTCAGCGGCGCGGCCGAAGGAGCCGACGATGAGTCGAATGTTTTCGCCAATACAGAAAACGCTATTGCGACCCAGAGTAGCTTGTGCGAAGGGTAACCATGATGTGCGCATGCCACTGACACCTTTCCGCCTTCGAGGACAGCGCGCTGTCATGCGCGCGATACGTCCCTGAAGAAACCATTAGACAGAACTATTTATATCAGTAGACTGTACAATACACTGCAAACCAGAGTGCATATTGGTGGCAAAAGTTTTGTGACATTGGAAACCATAAATCACCTGCATGAATCAATCTCAAAGTCCAACAGACTGCCATCACAACTGATCGTATAACTGACATACCTATAAAAAATAGCATGCAAAGTCCGGACTGAATTTAAAAAACTTACGGTATGTCAAATTCTTTTTACCGGTATTGGATTGACACCAAGGAAAGTGACTAGGTTGCACTTCTCAATCTGTACCGGTGCTGTTTAATCAATGAGTGTATCAACCTCCTACATCGTGGTTGCCTCAGTACCTGTTCACTTATCTGTATTGCCATTGCACCACTGAAGTGATGCTATAGTGTTTCCATCTTCCTTCCTGAATCCTGAATCAAGTACGGCCAGCACAGAGAATCCCCTTGTACTGCCTCTACTAGTGCACTCTTGTATTGTCTGCAGAATCCTGTACTGCCTCTACTACTGCAGTTCTGTATTGTCTGTAGAATCCTGTCTCTACTACTGCCGTACTGTATGGTCTGTAGAATCATGTACTGCCACTGGTACTGCAGTCATTCCTGTATTGTCTGTAAATTCCTGCACCGCCTCTATTACTGCAGTAGTCTATTGTCTGAAGAATCCTGTACTGCCTCTACTACTGCAGTACCGTATAGTGCACTGCCTACACTACTTTAGTCCTGTATTGTTGCAGAATCCTGATCTGCCACTACTACTGCAGCATTATTAAGTTACGAATTCTTGTACTACTGCAGCACTATAGTGTTACAAAATCCAGCACCGCCATTGCACTTGCAGAGGTCTTCCTTGCTTGCTTGGTAGGGCCCCTCTTGGCCGCCAGAGGCTTGCGCCCCTGACGTTACACCCAAACACCGCGCTGAGGTGGAGGCCATCGTTTGGGACACCTGTTTGGGAGGGCTGAGAAACAAAGAGAGAGGAGACAAGCTATGAGGCAAACAATGCTCCTGCCCCTGGGGCAGGAGATAAGGCAAACGATGCATCTTAGGCAGACCGTGCTGTCCCAGGCTCTCTGCACCTGGGGGAGGGAGGGACGCGGGAGAAATACAAGCAACATGCAAGCACGGTCGGCACAGGTTCGACAGGGCACGGGCGCACAAACAGGTTACGGACGGTCGGCACAGGTTCGACAGGGCACGGGCGCACGAACAGGTTACGGACGGTCGGCACAGGTTCGACAGGGCACGGGCGCACGAACAGGTTACGAACGGTCGGCACAGGTTCGACAGGGCACGGGCGCACGAACAGGTTACGGACGGTCGGCACAGGTTCGACAGGGCACGGGCGCACGAACAGACCACCTTAGCCTGGTGCCGCCGGGGCTGATGTTGGTGCTGCTGTTGTCACTCCTCGTGCTGCTGTTGTCACTCGCATGCAGGTGTTGTCACTCCCCGTGCTGCTGTTGTCACTCGCATGCAGGTGTTGTCACTCCCCGTGCTGCTGTTGTCACTCCTCGTGCTGCTGTTGTCACTCCCCATGCTGGTGCTGGTGGTGTTGTCACTCCTTAGTAGCCAAGATGCATCCTGCAGAGGAATGCGGGAGGAAACTATAAAGGACAAATAAGTTGTTGGTGAAGTGCGGGTGAAAAGAGAATGCAAAAAAATAAACATAAACGAGACTTGCGACAAGGAAACGAAATACATGCAAAAACAGAGCGGAAATTGTTCCCCCCCTCAACCCCATACTCCCCTTTATAAGCAGGCGTTGCTCGTAGGAGCTGCTGCTCCATCCTATCCGCCTCCATCCTCCCGCCCAAGTAGTGCTGCCACGCCTCCCGTGCTCCAACCGCCCCACCAGCTCTCCAATCCGCCAAGATGCGTAACACAGAAATGCAGGAGGAGGAATCTAAGGAGGATAGATAAGTTGCTGAAGGAAAAAGTGAAAAGGGAAACAACAATGCGACAAGAAATACAACAAGGAAACAAGAAACGAACGAACTTGCTCCCCTCAGCCCCATACTCCCTTCTGAAAGTAGAGCTTGCTGGTGGCAGTTGTTGCTCCATCCCCCACCGTGCTCCAATCTCCATCCGCCCTTCCGAGTAGAAGCGGTTGCTGCTGCCGCGCCTCCCGTGCTGCGGCGGTCCCCACCAGCTCTCCAATCCGCCATGCTGCGCACTGTAACACAGGAATGCAGGAGAGGGAATCTAAGGACGAGAGATAAGTTGCTGGTGAAGGAAAAGGTGAAAACAGAATGCAAAAAGAGAACGAAAATGCGACAAAAAAAACAACAAGGAAACAAGAAACGAACGAAGTTGCTCCCCTCAACCCCATACTCCCTTCTGAAAGCAGAGCTTGCTGTTGGCAGCTGTAGCTCCATCCTCCACCGCGCTCGAATCTCCATCCGCCCTCCCGAGTAGATGCGGTTGCTGCTGCCGCGCCTCCCGTGCTGCGGCCGTCCCCATCAGCTCTCCAACCCGCCATGCTGCGCACTGAAACACAGGAGCGCAGGAGAGGGAATCTAAGGACGAGAGATAAGTTGCTGGTCAAGGGAAATGTGAAAACAGAATGCAAAAGGAGAACGAAAATGCGACAAGAAAAACAACAATGAAACAATAAACGAACGAAGTTGCTCCCCTCAACCCCATACTCCCTTCTGAAAGCAGAGCTTGCTGGTGGCAGCTGTAGCTCCATCCTCCACCGTGCTCCAATCTCCATCCGCCCTCCCGAGTAGATGCGGTTGCTGCTGCCGCGCCTCCCGTGCTGCGGCCGTCCCCACCAGCTCTCCCATCCGCCATGCTGCGCACTGCAACACAGGAATGCAGGAGAAGGAATCTAAAGAGGACAGATAAGTTGCTGGTGAAGGAAAGAGTAAAAACAGAATACAAAAAGAGAACGAAAATGCGACAAAAAAAACAACAAGGAAACAAGAAACGAACGAAGTTGCTCCCCTCAGCCCCATACTCCCTTCTGAAAGCAGTAGTTGCAGGTGGCAGCTGTTGCTCCATCCCCCAGCTCCTCAGCTCCGACCGTGCCTTGCTGTCTGATAAAAACTTGAGAAAGCAAACAGCATTAGACGGTGGAAGGAAGCCAAAAGCAGAATGCAAACCTACAGTACGGGATCGAAGCCCCCTCGCATCTAGGGACGGGGAAGGACGGAGAGAAGGGGGGTTGTGCGCGCCTTCTCGTCCCGCCGTGATGCCTCCTCGCCCTCTTCGCTCCACGTGACGATGTAAGCAAAAGCGGAATGCAAACTTACAGAAGGGGACCGAAGCCTCCTCGCCCTCCTCGCTCAATGTGACGGTGATAAGGGAAGGGAAAGAGAAGGGGCGAAGAACAGAGAGCTGAACAAGAGGACGTGATGTTGCACTCACATGCAGAGAAGGTGGCCGTGGGCGTTTGCACTCACATCCAGCGTTGATGTAAAGAAAGCAGAAGAGAAGGACAGAGAGCTGATCAGGAGGGCCTGATGCTGCACTCACATCGGGAGTTGCGCTCACATCCAGAGAAGGCGGCCCGGCCGTAGGCATTGCACTCACATGCAGAGAAGGAGGCCTTGGGCATTGCACTCACATCCAGCGTTGACGAAAAGAGGAGTGCTGATCAGGAGGGCGTCAAGGCCGAAAGAGGAGTTACCGGGAAGAGGGTACTGAAGTATTGCAGTCAGGGAGGAGGAGCCAACGGTGGGGCAAGCGGGAGGATGAGAAACCCCGATCGAAGGTGGCTAGCCCCCGATCGAAGCAACGCATCCCGACACACGCTTACCGCGCCGCGACTCAGCTGGGCAAGAGGGAGAGCGGGTACCAACGAGAGGGGGGGCCAACCCACAATCGAAAGTAACACCACCCAGACACACTCTTCCCGCAGCTCCGGTCGGCAAGAGGGAGAGTGAGAGCCAACGATATGGGGAGCCACCCCCAATCAGAGGCTCACCACCCAGACACACTCTTACTTGCGGCTCCGCTCGGCAAGAGGGAGAGTGAGAGTCAACGAGAGGGGGAGCCACCCCCCAATCAGAGCATCACCACCCAGACACACTCTTACCGAGCCCAGCTGGACAAGAGGGAGAGTGAGAGCCAATGAGAGGGGGAGCCACCCCCCAATCAAAGGATCACCCCGACACACTCTTCCCGCAAGCTTTAGTCCCCTTCCACATACGACATCATCCCTCTCCAAGTTCCTCCTCCTCCAACCCGTCAGCCACTCCCTCTCACACCTCCACCTCACCCCAAGGGTGCAGGTGGGGAGAGCACACGCATGGGCAAAGACGAGCTTCGTTCGCTCCATCCTTGCTCCATCCGCCTCGCCTCGCGAGCCGTCGGCAAGCGGGTGGTCAGCAGGGCGGGTAGGAGGCAGCCCGTGGCTGCTGGCCGTGCGTCATCCCACCGCGCCGCCATCCACGGCCCGTATGCCTCCGTTGCATGCGCTCTTCCCACTGCCAGCCCTCTGGCTCTGCACGAGGAGCAGCAAAACAGAGAGAGGATACAGAAGGAACTCGCCATGGGCGAGAAATCAGGAAACATGAGAGCGGAGAGAACAAATGGCAAACAAGAATGAAAGGCAAACGAGAATGAAAGGCAAACATGAATGAAAGGCAAACAAGAATGAAAGGAAAACAGAATGAATGGAAAGCAAGAACGAAAGGCAAACAAGAACGAATGGTAAACAAGATCGACGAATGACGAGAAAGAACAAGAGAGTTACCGGGGGGACCTTCAGTTTTTTTACCAAGGGATAACCGGATGTCTCACTCACTTTCACAGGAGGCGGTGGTGGCCTCGGGTGTCGCCTCGATTGAAAGTCGATGGAAATTCAGAGACAAAAAGAACGACAGCGAGAGAACTCAAAAGAGAGAGCAAAGAGCGAAGGGCAGGGGAACTCAGTGGGTGTGAAGGTCGAGCGCAGCAGATCGCTTCCTTCACCAGCAGTCTTTCGTCCACGTGCCACCACGCATCCCACCACGCGTGCTCCCTTTGCATGCACCCGGAGGCATTGCAGAGCCAAAGGAAGATAAGTAGGTGGAGAGATGCGTGCACAAGGCACCAAGACAAGTGCGCAAGCGCTTCTAACAACATGAATGAATGATCAAATGCACGAGTGGATGATTAAGAGCCATAATGAATGCACAACGAATGGCAAACAAGACAGCAGCAATGGCAAACGAGGAGATACCAAGAACAAGCTGGCAAGCATGGCAAACAAGAAAAGCAACGAGAAAAACAAGGTAGCGTTTGAAGGGTTAACCGGGGGGACCCTCTGTTGTACCAAGTCTGAACCGGGGGGACCTTGTGTTTTACCAAGGGGTCACCTTGCAAACCTGCTGATACACTCACATCCAGAGAGGGTGGTGGCTGTGGGCGTCGCCTTTATCGGTGAGATTTTCAAAGACAAAAGCGGAAGACAGCGAGAAAGATCAAGAGAGAGAGTGAGGAGGGTAAGGAAACTCGGTTGGAGTGGATGTCGACTGCAGACCATCATTGAACCGCCATCCGCCTCACGCCATCCGCCTTTCGCCATCCATCTCGCGCCTTCCGCCATCCGTCTCGCGCCATCCGCCTCGCTCCGTCCGCCTGCAATGACGCGCTCGCCCTCGCGCGCCCAAACGGGTGGTCAGCAGGGCGGGTAGGAGGCAGCCACACGCCTGTGGCTGCCGGCCGTGCGTCATCCCACCACGCGCGGCGTCCTCATGTTTGCCCTGCCAAGGAGAGAAGGAAGGAGCCAAGGAGGATAAGTAGGTGACCAAGGGCTACCGGGGAACCTGCCGTTGAGCAACGTCGATGGAAATTTCAAAGACAAAAAAAGAATACGACACTGAGAGAGCTCAGGAGAGAGAGAGTGAAGAGCAGAGGGCAAGAGAACTTACTAGCCGTTTTGATTTGTCGACCGCAGCTGATCGCTCCATCCGCCAGCAGCACTGCCTCCTCGCCTTGCCTCCACTGCGCCTTGCCTCCACTGCGCATGTCTCTTCCATCCGCACAGGCCGCCCACCTCGCAGACCGTGAGGAACACACACGCATGGGGAGAGATACAAAGCCATACAGAGACAACATAACAAGGTGAGTCAGAAGCAGCTGGAGGCGAGTGGTGGAGCCGCAATCAACAAACACGACTCTTGCCTCTGCGCGGCGACGCCCTACGACTCTCTTCCCTGCCCCTATGCAAGCACCCGCTGGAACGTACCATGCTCCGTCCGCCACTCTCCCACTCCTACGCCACGCTTTCACTTCAGGCGTGCTGCTCTTGGTTGTCTCTCGTGCGCGCCAGCAACGGAAGTCCCGGCCATTCCGCGTCCACTCCGTGCCGCATCCATTCCGCGTTTTCTCCACCTCGCAGACCATGAGGCACGCACACGCATGGGGAGAGAAAACACGCACACAGAAGCGGCACAAAAGGAAGGGTTAGGAGCAGCACGAGAGGAGGCGAGCAGTGGAGGCAAGGGCAAGAGACACGACTCTTGCCTCTGCGCGGCGACTCACTACCCTCCCCCTTCCAAGCATCCCCTTGCACGAACCTTGTTCCGTTCGCCGCTTCCATCGGCGTGTCTCTTCCATCCGCGCGTGTCTCTTCCATCCGCACATGTCTCTTCCATCCGCGCGTGTCTCTTCCATCCGCACATGTCTCTTCCATCCGCGCGTGTCTCTTCCATCCGCACATGTCTCTTCCATCCGCTCGTGTCTCTTCCATCCGCGCATGTCTCGGCCTCTTGAATCCGCGACGCCTCTTGAATCCGCGACGGTCTCTTCAATCCGCGACGCCTCTTGAATCGCGACGCCTATTGAATACGCAACGGTCTCTTGGATCCGCGACGTTTCTTGAATCCGCGACGCCTCTTTAATCCGCGACGGTCTCTTGAATCCGCGACGCCTAATCCGCGACGCCTAATCCGCGACGCCTCTTTAATCCGCGACGGTCTCTTGGATCCGCGACGGCATCCTTCATCCGCGGGAGTTCTTCGATACCTGCAAGTGAAACCACCCGGTTTTGTAAGGAATTTGAAGTCAAGAAAAGAAAAACGAAAATAAATCTGGACAGAGAAAAGGCCGTCCCTGAAAACGCAGGAAACGTCATCATGAGCTCGCAGAGAAGGAGGGTCATTAGCTTGGAGGGAACGCAGCTTCACCTGGCGACACGCAAGTAGGTCCATTTCGATCCGCGACAGCGTCTTGCATCCGAAGCCTCTTCAATCCGCGACGGCCTCTTGCATCTGCGACGGCCTCCTTCATCCGCGGGAGTCTCTTCGAACCTGCAAGTGAAACCACCCGGTTTTGTAAGGAGTTTGAAGTCAAGAAAAGAAAAACGGAAATAAATCTGGACAGAGACAACGCCGTCGCTGGAAACGCAGGAAATGTCATGAGCTCGCAGGGAAAGGAGGGTCACGAGCTTGCAGAGAAGGGAACGTCATGAGCTTGCAGAGAACGCAGCTTCACCTGACGACGACGCAGTAGCAGGTCGAACGTCTCGAGTAGCAGGTCGAGCGACGCAAGTAGCAGGTCGAACGTCTCGAGTAGCAGGTCGAGCGACGCACGTAACAGGTCGAACGACGCACGTAGCAGGTCGAGCGACGCACGTAGCAGGTCGAGCGACGCACGTAGCAGGTCGAGCGACGCACGTAGCAGGTCGAGCGACGCACGTAGCGGGTCGAGCGACGCACGTAGCAGGTCGAACGTCTCAAGTAGCACATGTAGCGTCGAAAGTATCAGGTCGAGCGTCGCAATAAGCTGGTAAAGCGTCGCAAGTAGCAGTTCGAGCGTCGCAAGTAGCAGGTCGAACGTCTCAAATAGCACATGTAGCGTCGAAAGTATCAGGTTGAGCGTCGCAATAAGCTGGTAAAGCGTCGCAGTAGCAGGTCGAGCGTCGCAAATAGCTGGTCGAGCGTCGCAAGTAGCAGGTCGAGCGTCGCAAGTCGCAGGTCGAGCGTCGCAAGTGCACATGTAGCGTCAAAAACAGCTCACGTCGCGTCGCTAGCGAGATGCACTGAAGAACGACGTGGTCGCGAGAAATAGCTTCTTAGCAGCAACTTCGTAGCCTCCATATCCCTAAACAGAACTCATCGATCCGCTAGTCTTCATTCCACCGTACTAGTGTCTTCAATCCACGAACGTTAGAGGTACATAGTTGGTTAGACCGCCCCGTTGTAAATAACTCCAGCAGATCGTCCAGGCAGAAAGCAGCTTATGTTTCTACTACAGAGAAGTTTCTCCGTGGAAAGGCACCTGGAGACGCCTCGTTGCCTACAGAACGCCTTTTTCACGATACTATGTTACGTGACTTGAATAATCCGTGGGAAGGACGTGAGGGAGCCATGAAAATCCGAGCTAAGAAACTCTCCCTGAATTTTGCTGGGATGTGTGAAGGATTGCAAAAAGGTTCCAGGATTGCCTGGCTGGAGAGATGGGGAACTCGCGAGCAAGCGAAGGAAGCGAAGTGGGGGGACGGGACGGGATGGGAGGGGAGGCGAAGCCCAAGGCGAAAGAGGAGAGGTGGTTTGCCTTGCCATGGATGGAGCATTCGGCAAGCCCAAGGGGGACGCCGCATGGTGCTGACAGGCGGGGAAAGTTCTGCCAGCGATTTTCCGCCAAAAGGGGGGAAAACCGCGGAAGGCGATGGAGTCAGCGGCGCGGCCGAAAGAATCGTCGAGGAGTCAAATGTTTCGCAAACACAGAAAGCATAGTGCGAACCTTGTGAGTGGCCTTTGCGAAAGGTAACCGTGATGGTGCCGTTAACCACTGACAACATTCCGACTTCCGCACCTTTGAGAGGGGTCAAACCCCGCGACCTTTCCTGCACCAGCGCAGCGCATTGTTGGCGGAGTTTGGCGGGAACTCCGCAGCACAAACTGTAGACCGATAGCCTGAAGATTACCAATAGAGACATTATTACGGTCAAAACTGTACACATGCACACTTGAAAACAAGATGACCACAATGAATTAAGCTACTTCTGTTTTCCATACATAGACAATGAAAGTAATGGTAAAACAGGTTGAAGACTAGAATACTTCAATAATTTGCACACTAGAAGAAACAACTGTCGCTTTTTATAAGGGCTATTGACAGATTTCAGTTCACAATCTGAAATGCTGATAACATTTATTGTGCTTGGTACCATCGAGTATGGTCTTTCACAAATCTGTGTGGTCAAACTAACAACTATGGTATTATCAATGCAGCACAGTCATGCCATCATGTCCTGCAAAGCGCGGGGTGCCCTGCAAACAACCCGACCGCCTCTGAAAAATCTAGCAGCGCTCTCATTTTGTCGCCTCTTCTCTTCCCATTGCGGCTTCTGCCCTTCCCACTCCCTCCGGCACACTCACGCCATGACAAGGTCAGCCACAACAGAGTGGCACCGCGCACACAGCGTGGGGTGCCCTGCAAACGACCCCACTGCCTGCGAGAAGTTCCAGCAGCGCTCGCACTTGCCGCCCGCCGCCCTCCCCACCGCCACCAGCACGCGTGCGGCCTCCCCGTTCCACTGCACCTCCACATCAGATGAGAACTCCAGGCCGAGCGAGGCAAGATCGGCCTCAGAGGGAAGCACGTGCACTTGAGAGGAGAGGAAGACGGTCCTCAGGCTGTCCACTGCTTGCAGCTCCTTCAGCCCCTTCTGTCCACTCCCTTCCCTTTCTTCTTCTGCTGCTGCTGCTGCTGCTGCTGTGTTGCCTGTGGCTGCTGCGGTGCTGGAAGCGGGGGAGTCGGAGAGGGCTAGCAGCGCGGAGGAGAGGGAGGGGCTGGGCGTGTGCAGGTAGACTGCTGCGTCCAGGTTGGCGCCTATGAGCTTGCCCATGCGCGCCCGCTCCATCACCTTGTTCACCTCCGATCGCAGCTGGGGGATGGGAGTGGAGAGGACAGACGGCAGGACAGGAACGTGTAATTTGTGAAGTGGAAAAGAAGAAGCGGGGGGGAGCTTACCAACCTTAATGAGTGAGTGTACTTCAAACTCAAACGAGTGTGCCTCAAACGCCAAAGAGACAGGCATTCAGGCAGGAATACCTCGATGAGTGTGCCCCATGTTGCCAGCTCAGCATCACCGAACGACAGCCAATCAGCGTCCGGCTTGGGCCACGGCATTTGGAAGACGGAGGGGACGGGCCGGGGGAAGTTGCTGGGGAGGTTCTGCCAGGCGTCCTCAGCCATGTGGGGCAGCACGGGGCCGATGGCTGCCAGGAAGGCCGTGAGGTGGTGTGCTAGCACTGTCTGGCATGCCCGCCTTGTGAGGTAGTCTTGACCTCTGGGGGAGGTGAGGAAAAGGGGAGAGCATGGGGGTGTGGAGAGAGGGAAAACAGGGTGGAAAGCAAAGAGAGTGAGAGAGGCGGTGGGAAAGGCGGTAAGGTGGTTGGAGTGCTAGCACAGGTGGTTCTGCCAGGCGTCCTCAGCCATGTGGGGCAGCACGGGGCCAATGGCTGCCAGGAAGGCCGTGAGGTGGTGTGCTAGCACCGTCTGGCATGCCCGCCTTGTGAGGTAGTCTTGACCTCTGGGGGAGGTGAGGAAAAGGGGAGAGCATGAGGGTGGTGGAGAGAGGGAGAAAAGGGTGGAAAGCAGGTAAGAGTGAGAGAGGCGGTGGGGAAGGCGGTAAGGTGGTTGGAGTGCTAGCACAGGTGGTTCTGCCAGGCGTCCTCAGCCATGTGGGGCAGCACGGGGCCAATGGCTGCCAGGAAGGCCGTGAGGTGGTGCGCTAGGACCGTCTGACACGCCCGCCTGGTAAGGTAGTCTTGACCGCTGGTGGGGAGGGAGTGGGGAGAGGGAGGATGGAGGGAAGGGAAGGTGGAAGGAGTCATCAGCCATGCGGGGCAGCATGGGGGCAATGGCTGCCAGGAAGGCGGTGAGCTAGGACCGTCTGGCAGGCGCGCCTTGTGAGTGAGGTAGTCTTGACCTCTGGGGGAGGTGAGGAAGAAGGGAGAGCATGGGGGTGGTGGAGAGAGGGAGAAAAGGGAGGAAAGCAGGTAGAGTGAGAGAGGCGGTGCGGAAGGCGGTAAGGCGGAAGGCGGTAAGGCGGAAGGCGGTAAGGCGGAAGGCGGTAAGGCGGAAGGCGGTAAGGTCGTGAGATGGTGTGCTAACACTGTCTGACACGGGTGGGAAGAGAGCATGGAGAAGGGAAACTGTCAATGGAGCACTAGCACCTGTGGCACGTGGGGTTAACATTGCCATGGGTTAATGGTCAGAGCGGGTATAGAAACGGCAAAAGGAGAAAGAAGCACCCTCCCCACACAACACCCACCCCAGATGACACCCACTCCATAGAGCTTCCACCCACCCCACACGGCACCACAGGTGGCTTAGTTCCTCCCTCAGTTCCTCCCTCAGTTCCTCCCTCAGTTCCTCCCTCAGTTCCTCCCTCAGTTCCTCCCTCAGTTCCTCCCTCAGTTCCTCCCTCAGTTCCTCCCTCAGTTCCTCCCTCAGTTCCTCCCTCAGTTCCTTCCTCAGTTCCTCCCTCAGATCCTCCCTCAGTTCCTCCCTCCCTCAGTTCCTCCCTCAGTTCCTCCCTCAGTTCCTCCCTCAGTTCCTCCCTCAGTTCCTTCCTTCCTCAGTTCCTCCCTCAGCTCCTCCCTCAGTTCCTCCCTCCCTCAGTTCCTCCCTCAGTTCCTCCCTCAGTTCCTCCCTCAGTTCCTCCCTCAGTTCCTTCCTCAGTTCCTCCCTCAGTTCCTCCCTCCCTCAGTTCCTCCCTCAGTTCCTCCATCAGTTCCTCCCTCAGTTCCTCCCTCAGTTCCTCCCTCAATTCCTCCCTCAGTTCCTCCCTCAGTTCCTCCCTCGGTTCCTCCCTCAGTTCCTCCCTCAGTTCCTCCCTCAGTTCCTCCCTCAGTTCCTCCCTCAGTTCCTCCCTCAATTCCTCCCTCAGTTCCTCCCTCAGTTCCTCCCTCAGTTCCTCCCTCAGTTCCTCCCTCATTTCCTCCCTCAGTTCCTCCCTCCCTCAGTTCTTCCCTCAATTCCTCCCTCAGTTCCTCCCTCAGTTCCTCCCTCCCTCAGTTCTTCCCTCAATTCCTCCCTCAGTTCCTCCCTCGGTTCCTCCCTCAGTTCCTCTCTCAGTTCCTCCCTCAGTTCCTCCCTCAGTTCCTCCCTCAGTTCCTCCCTCAGTTCCTCCCTCAGTTCCTCCCTGAGTTCCTCCCTCAGTTCCTCCCTCAGTTCCTCCCTCAGTTCCTCCCTCAGTTCCTCCCTCAGTTCCTCCCTCAGTTCCTCCCTCCCTCAGTTGGCACCCTACTCCACACGGCACCCACTCCAGGTGGCACCCACCCCACATAGAGCCTGTCCTTGCAGACGTCGAAATAGAAGTTGGAGAGGTCCACCACTGCAAACCGCTGTATGAGCTGCAGAGCGGGCAGAAAGTGAAACAGGATGTGAGGACAGAGACGGTAGAGAGGGTAAATTACAAGTTGGAGAGGTCCACCACTGCAAAGCGCTGTATGAGCTGCAGAGCAGGCACATGGGTGGTGAGTAACGAGGGCAGGGAGGGAGGGAGGGTGGAAGGGGTAGAGAGGAAGGGTATTGGAAATCTCTACCACTGCACTGGATGGGCTGCACAGCAGGCAGGGCAGAGCGGGGCAAAGATAGAAATGAGGGCAGAGCGGGAGGGCAGAGAGGGGCCAGAGAGGACAGGTGTTGGAAAGTTATGACACTGCAACGCCGATGCTGATGCGCTTATGCTGATGCGCTGATGCTGATGCGCTGATGCTGATGCGCTGATGCTGATGCGCTGATGCTGATGCGCTGATGCTGATGCGCTGATGCTGATGCGCCGATGCTGATGCGCTGATGCAGATGCGCCGATGCTGATGCTGATGTGCTGATGCTGATGCGCTGATGCTGATGCGCTGATGCTGATGCGCTGATGCTGATGCGCTGATGCTGATGCTGATGCTGATGCTGATGCCGATGCGCTGATGCTGATGCGCTGATGCTGATGCGCTGATGCTGATGCGCAGATGCTGATGCTGATGCGCTGATGCTGATGCTGAATCGCTGATGCTGATGCTGATGCGCTGATGCTGATGCGCTGATGCTAATGCTGATGCTGATGCGCTGATGCTGATGCTGATGCGCTGATGCTGATGCGCTGATGCTGATGCGCTGATGCTGATGCGCTGATGCTGATGCGCTGATGCTGATGCGCTGATGCTGATGCTGATGCTGATGCTGATGCGCTGATGCTGATGCGCTGATGCTGATGCTGTTGCTAATGCTGATGCTGATGCGCTGATGCTGATGCGCTGATGCTGATGCTGATGCTGATGCTGATGCACTGATGCTGATGCTGATGCTGATGCTGATGCTGATGCGCTGATGCTGATGCGCTGATGCTGATGCTGATGCTGATGCTGATGCTGATGCTGATGCTGATGCGCTGATGCTGATGCTGATGCTGATGCTGATGCGCTGATGCTGATGCGCTGATGCTGATGCGCTGATGCTGATGCGCCGATGCTGATGCGCTGATGCAGATGCGCCGATGCTGATGCTGATGTGCTGATGCTGATGCGCTGATGCTGATGCGCTGATGCTGATGCGCTGATGCTGATGCGCTGATGCTGATGCTGATGCTGATGCTGATGCTGATGCCGATGCGCTGATGCTGATGCGCTGATGCTGATGCGCTGATGCTGATGCGCAGATGCTGATGCTGATGCGCTGATGCTGATGCTGATGCTGATGCGCTGATGCTGATGTGCTGATGCTGATGCGCTGATGCTGATGCGCTGATGCTGATGCGCTGACGCTGATGCGCTGATGCTGATGCGCTGATGCTGATGCTGATGCTGATGCTGATGCTGATGCGCTGATGCTGATGCGCTGATGCTGATGCGCTGATGCTGATGCTGATGCGCTGATGCTGATGCGCTGATGCTAATGCTGATGCTGATGCGCTGATGCTGATGCGCTGATGCTGATGCGCTGATGCTGATGCACTGATGCTGATGCGCTGATGCTGATGCGCTGATGCTGATGCGCTGATGCTGATGCTGATGCTGATGCTGATGTTGATGCTGATGCTGATGCGCTGATGCTGATGCGCTGATGCTGATGCTGATGCTGATGCGCTGATGCTGATGCGCTGATGCTGATGCTGATGCGCTGATGCTGATGCGCTGATGCTGATGCTGATGCTGATGCTGATGCTGATGCTGATGCTGATGCTGATGCGCTGATGCTGATGCTGATGCTGATGCGCTGATGCTGATGCGCTGATGCTGATGCTGGTGCTGATGCTGATGCGCTGATGCTGATGCGCTGATGCTGATGCGCTGATGCTGATGCTGATGCGCTGATGCTGATGCGCTGATGCTGATGCTGATGCGCTGATGCTGATGCGCTGATGCTAATGCTGATGCTGATGCGCTGATGCTGATGCGCTGATGCTGATGCTGATGCGCTGATGCTGATGCGCTGATGCTGATGCGCTGATGCTGATGCGCTGATGCTGATGCGCTGATGCTGATGCGCTGATGCTGATGCTGATGCTGATGCTGATGCTGATGCTGATGCTGATGCTGATGCGCTGATGCTGATGCTGTTGCTAATGCTGATGCTGATGCGCTGATGCTGATGCGCTGATGCTGATGCTGATGCTGATGCTGATGCACTGATGCTGATGCTGATGCTGATGCTGATGCGCTGATGCTGATGCGCTGATGCTGATGCTGATGCTGATGCTGATGCTGATGCGCTGATGCTGATGCTGATGCTGATGCGCTGATGCTGATGCGCTGATGCTGATGCGCTGATGCTGATGCGCTGATGCTGATGCTGATGCTGATGCGCTGATGCTGATGCGCTGATGCTGATGCGCTGATGCTGATGCGCTGATGCTGATGCGCTGATGCTGATACGCTGATGCTGATGCTGATGCTGATGCTGATGCGCTGATGCTGATGCTGATGCGCTGAAGCTGATGTGCTGATGCTGATGCTGATGCGCTGATGCTGATGCTGATGCTGATGCGCTGATGCTGATGCGCTGATGCTGATGCGCTGATGCTGATGCGCTGATGCTGATGCGCTGATGCTGATGCGCTGATGCTGGTGCGCTGATGCTGATGCTGATGCGCTGATGCTAATGCGCTGATGCTGATGCTGATGCTGATGCTGATGCGCTGATGCTGATGCGCTGATGCTGATGCGCTGATGCTGATGCGCTGATGCTGATGCGCTGATGCTGATGCTGATGCTGATGCGCTCATGCTGATGCGCTCATGCTGATGCGCTGATGCTGATGCTGATGCTGATGCTGATGCTGATGCGCTGATGCTGATGCGCTGATGCGCTGATGCTGATGCTGATGCTGATGCTGATGCGCTGATGCTGATGTGCTGATGCTGATGCTGATGCTGATGCTGATGCTGATGCTGATGCGCTGATGCTGATGCTGATGCGCTGATGCTGATGCTGATGCGCTGATGCTGATGCTGATGCTGATGCGCTGATGCTGATGCTGATGCTGATGCTGATGCGCTGATGCTGATGCGCTGATGCTGATGCGCTGATGCTGATGCGCTGATGCTGATGCGCTGATGCTGATGCGCTGATGCTGATGCTGATGCTGATGCGCTGATGCTGATGCGCTGATGCTGATGCGCTGATGCTGATGCTGATGCTGATGCGCTGATGCTGATGCGCTGATGCTGCTGCTGCTGCTGCTGCTGCAGCTACTGCTGTTGTTGTTGCTTTTCTTTGTGTGTGTGTGTGTGTGTGTGTGTGTGTGTGTGAGTTAGTGTGTGTGTGTGTGTGTGTGAGAGAGAGAGTGTGTGTGTGTGTGTGTGTGTGTGTGTGTGTGTGTTTTGTTTTTCCCCTCGGGTACGAACACGAATGTTTGAGCAAGTTACCTGATAGAAGCGGTAAAACTGGAAGTCATCGTAGCTCTGCTGCACGTCCTGCATGACGTCTGCCAGGCGGCGCAGCGCATAGCGGTCGAGAGCAGGCAGGCTGGCGTATGGGACTGCCTCGGAGGGCTGATGGGGGGTGGGGCGAGAAGCGAGGGGGGGAGCGAGGGGGACATTCAAGAATGGAATGGAACACAGAAGTCATTGTGGTGACGAGTTGCTAGGGTGGTAGAGGACGATGGCGGGGGGTGGACAGAGGAGGACGATCTGTTAGGGTGGTAGAGGACGATGGCGGGGGGTGGACAGAGGAGGACGATCTGTTAGGGTGGTAGAGGACGATGGCGGGGGGTGGACAGAGGAGGACGATCTGTTAGGGTGGTAGAGGACGATGGCGGGGCGTGGACAGAGGAGTATACTGGCAGGGGGTGCAGGCGATAAAGTGAACCTAGCCAATATATTGGCAGGGGGTGGTGAACCCAGTGCAGGAGATCAACCCAGTGGGGGTGCAAGTGCAGCCCCATATAACCCATGCATGCACCCAGTGCGCTGACCTGGTAGTCATGCAGGTTGCCGAGCAGTCAAACCAGTCACCCCGAGTCAAACCAGTCACCCCGAGTCAAACCAGTCACCCCGAGTCAAACCAGTCACTCCGAGTCAAACCAGTCACCCCGAGTCAAACCAGTCACCCCGAGTCAAACCAGTCACCCCGAGTCAAACCAGTCACCCCGAGTCAAACCAGTCACTCCGAGCCAAACCCAGTGCACCCAGTAATCACACCTGGTAGTCATGCAGGTTGCCGAGCAGGAAGCGCAGAGTGCCTCTGAGCTTGCAGTACACGTCGCTCATTTGCTTCACAATGGTCGGCCCGATCACCACGTCTCCACTGTAGTCCACTGAGGCCACCCCAAGTCAACCCAGTCAACGCAAGTCAACCCAGTGGCCCTGTCCAGCTCACCTGATAGTCGTGCAGGTTGCCCAGCAGGAACCTCAGAGTGCCTCTGAGCTTGCGGTACACGTCGCTCATCTGCTTCACGATGGTCGGCCCGATCACCACGTCGCCACTGTAGTCCACTGAGGCCACCCACAGCCGCAGCACGTCTGCTCCGTACGCTGGCTCGGTCTGAGGTGGTGAGGGAGGGATGGGGCATGCAGTGGGCATGGCAAAGTGAGAGGAGCGTGGGGCATCGCATGGGCATGGTCGGTCCGATCACCACGTCACCACTGTAGTCCACTGATGCCACCCACAGCCGAAGCACGTCCGCTCCGTATGCTGGCTCGGTCTGGAAAAGGAATGGCATGGGGATGGCAGATATAAAGAGTAGGGTGCAGCATGGCATCAGCTCAGAGGGGCCGATCACCACGTCGCCACTGTAGTCCACCGATGCCACCCACAGCCTCAACACATCCGCCCCGTACGCTGGCTCGGTCTGAGGTAGTGTGGGGACCGGGGATGGGCGTGGCATAGGGATGGCAGATAGTGAGTGATATATGGGGCATGACATGGGCACAGAGGGCCTCCTCCACTGTAGTCCACTGAGGCAACCCACAGCCGCAACACGTCCGTCCCGCAGCCACCCAGACTCACGCACTCACCTTCTGGTTCTTGCCGCCATTGATGACAGTCAAAGGATCCACCACGTTGACTTTTGAGTCGACTCAAAAGTCAACTCGCCCCGCAGCCACCCAGACTCACGCACTCACCTTCTGGTTCGTTCCCCCATTGATGACAGTCAAGGGATCCACGACGTTCCCAACGGACTTGCTCATCTTCATGCCCCTCTCGTCCAGCACAAACCCGTGGGTCAGCACCGCACGGTACCAGAGAGAGATACACACACCCACAGACACACAGACAGACACGCACCTTCTGGTTCTTGCCCCCGTTGATGACAGTCAAGGGATCCACCACGTTCCCCACGGACTTGCTCATCTTCATGCCCCTCTCGTCCAGCACAAACCCGTGGGTCAGCACGGCCCGGTACGGTGCCGTGCCGGCTGCCGCCACGCCTGTGAGCAGCGAGCTCTGGAACCACCCTCTGTGCTGGTCGCTGCCCTCCAGATACAGGTCCGCTGGGAAGTTGAGCCCTGCATTGCTGCTGGTGGTTGTAGTCGCTGCACTGGTCGCTGCACTGGAAGCTGGGCTCCCGGTTTCCGTAGCAGCTCCGTTGGTTTCGGAGGCAGAGGCGGAGGTGGAGGCCGAGGGGGAGGAGGCGGAGGTCGAGGGAGAGGGAGAGGAGGCGAGGACGGAGGCCCAGGAGGATCCGGAGTCGAACCAGACGTCCATGGTATCAGAGCCCTTGCGGTACTGCGAGGCCTGGTCGCGCAGCAAGGGGGGCAGCAGGTCCGCCACGTCCATCTCCCACCACGCGTCACTGCCCTTCTCTGTGACGTGAGGTGGGGGTAAGTGAGGAGAGGAAACGGAGGGGGGGAGGATGGGGGGACTGAGTGTTGAGACGTTTCGAAACACAGCAGGTCTGCTACGTCCATCTACCACCACGCATCACTACTCTGTGGGTTGGGCGGGGGGTGCTACGTCCATCTCCCACCACGCATCACTACTCTGTGAGTTGGGCGGGGGGTGCTACGTCCATCTCCCACCACGCATCACTACTCTGTGGGTTGGGCGGGGGGTGCTACGTCCATCTCCCACCACGCATGCAGCGTATGAGCGGGCGGTGCAGCGTATGAGCGGGCGGTGGAGCGTATGAGCGGGCGGTGCAGCGTATGAGCGTGCGGTGCAGCGTATGAGCGTGCGGTGCAGCGTATGAGCGGGCGGTGCAGCGTATGAGCGTGCGGTGCAGCGTATGAGCGTGCGGTGCAGCAAATGAGCGTGCGGTGCAGCGTATGAGCGTGCGGTGCAGCGTATGAGCGTGCGGTGCAGCGTATGAGCGGGCGGTGCAGCAAATGAGCGTGCGGTGCAGCGTATGAGCGTGCGGTGCAGCGCATGAGCGTGCGGTGCAGCGTATGAGCGGGCGGTGCAGCGTATGAGCGGGCGGTGCAGCGTATGAGCGGGCGGTGCAGCGTATGAGCGGGCGGTGCAGCGTATGAGCGGGGGGTGCAGCGTATGAGCGGGCGGTGCAGCGTATGAGCGGTCGGTGCAGCGTATGAGCGGGCGGTGCAGCGTATGAGCGGGCGGTGCAGCGTATGAGCGGGCGGTGCAGCGTATGAGCGGGCGGTGCAGCGTATGAGCGGGCGGTGCAGCGTATGAGCGGGCGGTGCAGCGTATGAGCGGGCGGTGCAGCGTATGAGAGGGCGGTGCAGCGTATGAGCGGGCGGTGCAGCGTATGAGCGGGCGGTGCAGCGTATGAGCGGGCGGTGCAGCGTATGAGCGTGCGGTGCAGCGTATGAGCGGGCGGTGCAGCGTATGAGCGGGCGGTGCAGCGTATGAGCGGGCGGTGCAGCGTATGAGCGGGCGGTGCAGCGTATGAGCGTGCGGTGCAGCGTATGAGCGGGCGGTGCAGCGAATGAGCGGGCGGTGCAGCGTATGAGCGGGCGGTGCAGCGTATGAGCGTGCGGTGCAGCGAATGTGCGTGCGGTGCAGCGTATGAGCGTGCGGTGCAGCGTATGAGCGGGCGGTGCAGCGTATGAGCGGGCGGTGCAGCGTATGAGCGGGCGGTGCAGCGTATGAGCGGGCGGTGCAGCGTATGAGAGGGCGGTGCAGCGTATGAGCGGGCGGTGCAGCGTATGAGCGGGCGGTGCAGCGTATGAGCGGGCGGTGCAGCGTATGAGCGTGCGGTGCAGCGTATGAGCGTGCGGTGCAGCGTATGAGCGGGCGGTGCAGCGTATGAGCGTGCGGTGCAGCGTATGAGCGTGCGGTGCAGCAAATGAGCGTGCGGTGCAGCGTATGAGCGTGCGGTGCAGCGTATGAGCGTGCGGTGCAGCGTATGAGCGGGCGGTGCAGCAAATGAGCGTGCGGTGCAGCGTATGAGCGTGCGGTGCAGCGTATGAGCGTGCGGTGCAGCGTATGAGCGGGCGGTGCAGCGTATGAGCGGGCGGTGCAGCGTATGAGCGGGCGGTGCAGCGTATGAGCGGGCGGTGCAGCGTATGAGCGGGGGGTGCAGCGTATGAGCGGGCGGTGCAGCGTATGAGCGGTCGGTGCAGCGTATGAGCGGGCGGTGCAGCGTATGAGCGGGCGGTGCAGCGTATGAGCGGGCGGTGCAGCGTATGAGCGGGCGGTGCAGCGTATGAGCGGGCGGTGCAGCGTATGAGCGGGCGGTGCAGCGTATGAGAGGGCGGTGCAGCGTATGAGCGGGCGGTGCAGCGTATGAGCGGGCGGTGCAGCGTATGAGCGGGCGGTGCAGCGTATGAGCGTGCGGTGCAGCGTATGAGCGGGCGGTGCAGTGTATGAGCGGGCGGTGCAGCGTATGAGCGGGCGGTGCAGCGTATGAGCGGGCGGTGCAGCGTATGAGCGTGCGGTGCAGCGTATGAGCGGGCGGTGCAGCGAATGAGCGGGCGGTGCAGCGTATGAGCGGGCGGTGCAGCGTATGAGCGTGCGGTGCAGCGAATGTGCGTGCGGTGCAGCGTATGAGCGTGCGGTGCAGCGTATGAGCGGGCGGTGCAGCGTATGAGCGGGCGGTGCAGCGTATGAGCGGGCGGTGCAGCGTATGAGCGGGCGGTGCAGCGTATGAGCGGGCGGTGCAGCGTATGAGCGGGCGGTGCAGCGTATGAGCGGGCGGTGCAGCGTATGAGCGGGCGGTGCAGCGTATGAGCGGGCGGTGCAGCGTATGAGCGGGCGGTGCAGCGTATGAGCGGGCGGTGCAGCGTATGAGCGGGCGGTGCAGCGTATGAGCGGGCGGTGCAGCGTATGAGCGGGCGGTGCAGCGTATGAGCGGACGGTGCAGCGTATGAGCGTGCGGTGCAGCGTATGAGCGTGCGGTGCAGCGAATGTGCGTGCGGTGCAGCGTATGAGCGGGCGGTGCAGCGAATGAGCGGGCGGTGCAGCGTATGAGCGTGCGGTGCAGCGAATGAGTGCGGTGCAGCGTATGAGCGGGCGGTGCAGCGTATGAGCGTGCGGTTCAGCGAATGTGCGTGCGGTGCAGCGTATGAGCGTGCGGTGCAGCGTATGAGCGGGCGGTGCAGCGAATGAGTGCGGTGCAGCGTATGAGCGGGCGGTGCAGCGTATGAGCGGGCGGTGCAGCGTATGAGCGGGCGGTGCAGCGTATGAGCGGGCGGTGCAGCGTATGAGCGGGCGGTGCAGCGTATGAGCGGGCGGTGCAGCGTATGAGCGGGCGGTGCAGCGTATGAGCGGACGGTGCAGCGTATGAGCGTGCGGTGCAGCGTATGAGCGTGCGGTGCAGCGAATGTGCGTGCGGTGCAGCGTATGAGCGGGCGGTGCAGCGAATGAGCGGGCGGTGCAGCGTATGAGCGTGCGGTGCAGCGAATGAGTGCGGTGCAGCGTATGAGCGGGCGGTGCAGCGTATGAGCGTGCGGTTCAGCGAATGTGCGTGCGGTGCAGCGTATGAGCGTGCGGTGCAGCGTATGAGCGGGCGGTGCAGCGTATGAGCGGGCGGTGCAGCGTATGAGCGGGCGGTGCAGCGAATGTGCGTGCGGTGCAGCGTATGAGCGGGCGGTGCAGCGTATGAGCGGGCGGTGCAGCGGATGAGCGGGCGGTGCAGCGTATGAGCGGGCGGTGCAGCGTATGAGCGGGCGGTGCAGCGTATGAGCGGGCGGTGCAGCGTATGAGCGGGCGGTGCAGCGTATGAGCGGGCGGTGCAGCGTATGAGCGGGCGGTGCAGCGTATGAGCGGGCGGTGCAGCGTATGAGCGTGCGGTGCAGCGTATGAGCGGACGGTGCAGCGTATGGGTGTGCGGTGCAGCGTATGAGCGGGCGGTGCAGCGAATGAGCGGGCGGTGCAGCGTATGAGTGTGCGGTGCAGCGTATGAGCGTGCGGTGCAGCGAATGTGCGTGCGGTGCAGCGTATGAGCGGGCGGTGCAGCGAATGAGCGGGCGGTGCAGCGTATGAGCGTGCGGTGCAGCGTATGGGTGTGCGGTGCAGCGTATGAGCGTGCGGTGCAGCGAATGTGCGTGCGGTGCAGCGTATGAGCGGGCGGTGCAGCGTATGAGCGGGCGGTGCAGCGTATGAGTGTGCGGTGCAGCGTATGAGCGTGCGGTGCAGCGAATGTGCGTGCGGTGCAGCGTATGAGCGGGCGGTGCAGCGTATGAGCGGGCGGTGCAGCGTATGAGCGTGCGGTGCAGCGTATGAGCGGGCGGTGCAGCGTATGAGCGGGCGGTGCAGCGTATGAGCGGGCGGTGCAGCGTATGAGCGGGCGGTGCAGCGTATGAGCGGGCGGTGCAGCGTATGAGCGGGCGGTGCAGCGTATGAGCGGGCGGTGCAGCGTATGAGCGGGCGGTGCAGCGTATGAGCGGGCGGTGCAGCGTATGAGCGGGCGGTGCAGCGTATGAGCGGGCGGTGCAGCGTATGAGCGGGCGGTGCAGCGTATGAGCGGGCGATGAAAGGAGTGCCCCACCTGCCACAATGGCCTGAACATGGGCGATGGTCTCTTGGGTAAGAAGTGGCTCGCCCGTCTCCACGTGATAGAAGGCGGGGATGGGCACGCCCCAGGAGCGCTGCCGTGAGATGCACCAGTCAGATCGCCCCTCCACCATGGCTGTTATGCGCTTCTCGCCCTGGGGTATGCAGAGGTGTGGGAGTCGGTTGGAATGGGATGAGGGAGCAGTGGCTCATGTTTGAAGCCATGCACGGAGGCAAGCAAACCATTGGTCCGTGGAACAATAGTGAATTCAAGAGTGAACGAAATGGCTGCCTTGGTGAAAAGCATGTGACTTGCCTGGGGGGAAACCATTGAACAAGTGAGGCAAGTGGCTGCCTTTTAGGAGTGGGGGGAATCGTGCTACTTGCCTGTGGAGGGAACCACTGCACCCCTCGGATGGCCTGCAGTGCCTCCTCCTTAAAGCCATTGACGGAGGCAAACCACTGGTCCGTGGCTCGGAAGATGGTGGGCTGCTTGCTGCGCCAGTCGTACGGATACTTGTGCTCTGATGGGGGAGAGAGAAGAGAGGAGAGGAGGATGGCCGAGGGTACGTGCGTTTTAAGAACTCAAGGAACATTCCTAGTGCAAACATACATGTGTACACTAACCACTCTCAAAGTCACCGCTCACTCACAAATCTCACACCCACTCAGCACACCAGACACAACCCCTTCCAGCAGCAGCGCCCCATTCTTATCAAGAGCCGTCATCACCGCCGCGTTTCCTTCCCCCAGCACGCTCAGCCCCTCAAACTGCCCGCCCTTGGCCTCGGCAGTAAACCTCCCCTCATCATCCACGGGGGAGATTAACTCTAGACCGTACTTAAGCCCCGTCGCATAGTCCTCCTGCCCGTGCCCTGCACGCTCATTCGCACCAACTGAGCACAACCCCCCCTCCAGCCCCTAGAATCCACTCACCATACGCCTCTTCCAGCAGCAGCGATCCATTCTTATCAAGAGCCGTCATCACCGCCGCGTTTCCTTCCCCCAGCACGCTCAGACCCTCAAAATCCCCCCCCTTGGCCTCGGCAGTAAACCTCCCCTCATCATCCACAGGGGAGATTAACTCCAGACCGTACTTAAGACCCGTAGCATAGTCCTCCTGCCCGTGTCCTGGCGCCGTGTGGACCAATCCCGTGCCGGATTCCGTGGTGATGTATTCCCCGCCCACCACTACGGGACAAATCCTGCCGTCCAGCGGGTGCTGGTAGGTGGAGCCCTCGAGGTGGGACCCGGGGAAGGTGGCGACTGGGGTGAGGGAGCAGCGCCACGTGGCCTGCAGGGATTGGATGAGGTCAGTGGCAACGATGACGTGGCGCGTGGCGGGAGGGGCAGCAGCACCAGCATCACCATCAGCAGCAGAGGAGAGGGAGGAGAGGGAGGAGAGGAGAGAGCCAGTGTTCCTCTTCCCCTTGCCAAAGGTCGGAGCGGGAGCAGCAGCGGCATCACTGTCAGCAACAGCACCAGCAGCAGCATCGCCAGCAGCAGCAGCAGAATCAGCATCAGAGGCAGCAGGGGGGCCGATTTCGACAATGGAGTAGGAGATGCGCTCGTTGACAGCAACAGCAGCGTTGCCAGGGATGGTCCACGGCGTGGTGGTCCAGATGGCCAGGGCGAGGGAGGGGAGCAGGGGGGCGAGGGAGGATGGTAGGGAGGAGGAGAGGGATCGTAGAGGGAAGGTGGTGTAGATGCTCCGAGAGACGTGCACGTCTGGGTACTGCTTCAGGGCGGGGAAAGGGGGGACAAGGGGCGGAAGGGGGGGAAGGTAGTGGGGAGGGAGAGCAAGCAGGGCGGGGAGGAATGAGGGGGAACATGATATGAAAGCATTGTCCACTCAATCTATGCTGCATGCCTCCTTTTCCCATCCAGTTCCAGGCCTCCCTACACACCTCCATTCCCGAACATCTCTCCGTACCTCAAGCTCAGCCTCTGCAAGAGCAGTCCTCCTGGACGGTGGGCTCCAGTGCACCGGCTTTCTCCCGCGGTACACATGGCCGTTGAGCACCATGCGGGCAAACACGCCCAGCCAGCCAGCCGCACACTCTCATTCTTGTCCCTGCTCTCGCCATACCCCCCACTGCCATTCCGTACCTCAAGCTCAGCCTCAGCAAGCGCGGTGGACGGGCTTCCTGTCGCGGTAGATATGACCGTTCAGCACCATGCGAGCGAACACGCCCAGCTGAGCCATTCTCACACTCCCACTAGCACTGCCGGTTGCATACCTCAAGCTCAGCCTCGGGGAGGGCGGTGCGGGACGAAGGGCTCCAGTGGACCAGCTTCCTGTCGCGGTAGATATGACCGTTCAGCACCATGCGGGCTGTAGGGTGAGGTAGGGGCGCTCCCAGTGCGCCCACCCTCACACTTACCCCAGCACTCCCGTTCCCGTCCCTACTCTTTTCGTACCTCAAGTTCGGCCTCTGCAAGTGCAGTGCGGGAGGAAGGACTCCAGTGCACGGGCTTTCTCCCGCCGTAGATATGACCATTCAGCACCATGCGGGCAAAAACTCCCAGCTGAGCGGCCTCGTAGGCGGGCCGCAGAGTGAGGTAGGGGTGCTCCCACTCCGCCCACACGCCGTAGCGCCGGAAGGCCTGCCGCTGCTTGTCCACCGTCTTGAGGGCGAACTGGGCTGCCTTTTTACGGAGCTTGATGGGGGTCAGGCCCTGCCTTGCCTTGCTGTCCATTGACTGAAGGACTGGGGAAGGGAGGGGGGGAACATTATAACGGATTAGCGCTGGAAGGCCTGCAGCTGCTTGTTGACTGTCTTGAGAGCGAACTGGGCTGCTTTTTTACGCAGCTTGATGGGGGTTAGGCCCTGCCGTGCCTTGCTGTCCATAGACTGTAGCACTGCCAGGGAGGACGGAGAAATAGCGGGGGGGTGCGGTGCGGGGGAAGGCGGGCGTAAAAGGCCGTGGTGGTTCCTTCCTTTCTCTCACTTGGCCTTTCCCCGAGCTTCACTCCCTGACAACAAACCCCAACTCCCCCACCCCTCCCTCCTTCCCACGTGCAAGAAATGCCATGGGTGCAGTGCAGGGAACGTGGCGCACCTTTGAGCTCGATGGGCAGCCCGTGGCAGTCCCACCCCGGCACGAACCTCACCTTGCAGAGATTCACTACTCCTACCAACCACCACCACCTTCCATGCAAGCAGCACTTCGGGCGCAGGGAGGGCAGGGTACCTTTGAGCTCGATGGGCAGCCCGTGGCAGTCCCACCCCGGCACGAATTTCACCTTCCGCCCGCGCAACATCTGGGGCGTTGGGGGGAGAGCAGGAGGAAGGGAATAGAGGAGGAGGAGGCAGGGGTGGAGAGGAGAAGATGGAAGAAACTGGGGGAAGGGAGAGCGTGCGTGGGGGAAGGGAAGGAGTGAGCTGGGAGCCGTGCAGGAAGGTGATTGTAGGCAGGCGACGAGGTGGAAGGAAGGAGGATGAGAAGGGATGATCAGGATGCGATCAGGTGCTGCTCACATGTGCCGTCGGGGAATCACATCACGTGTGAGCTGCATTGTCACTCTGGCTACTAAGAGCCGCACGGGCTTTAAGTGCAAGGGCACCTGGTAGCGGTTGATGAAGTCTTTGAGAATCTTGTTGAGCGCGTGGCCGATGTGCAGATCGCCATTGGCGTACGGCGGGCCGTCATGCAGCGTGAACGGCTCCTGATGATGGAGAGGGACAAAAGGTTGGGGGTACGAGGGGAGAGATACGGGGAAGGGGAGAGATGGGAAGGGGGAGATGGGATGTACAGGTCGCCATTGGCGTATGGCGGGCCGTCATGCAGCGTGAACGGCTCCTGTTGGTGCAAGGGGAAAAGGGGGGGAGAAGAGGTGGAAGTGAGAAGATGGGAAGAGAAAGAGGAAGGTGGGGGAGGTAAGAGGAGAAGAAGAGGAACCAGGGGAATGAATTGGGGGAGTGAGAGGGCGGTGCAGGGAAAGGAAGGGATGGGGCATTGAGCAGTGACGAACCGCTCTCCTGCATGCCCAACTCACTCACCCTCACTCCCTCACACTCGCGTTCGCGCGCAGGCCCACCCCACCCCACCCCACCCCACCCCACCCCACCCATGCGGCTCACACAAGGAGAGGCGCACCAATGAGGATTCCCCAGCTCACTCACTCACCCCCCGGTTGCTTTCCAGCAGCTTCCCCGCGACGTCAAGCTCCCCCCACAGCTTCTAAATCTCCGGCTCCCTCACACTCGCGTTCGCGCGCATGCCCACCCCACCCTACCCCACCCCACAGATGCGGCTCAGACACCACGAGGCACACCAAGGAGGAGTCCCCAAGTCACTCACCCCTGGGTTTGATTCCAGCAGCTTCCCCGCGACGTCCAGCTCCCCCCACAGCTGCTGAATCTCCGGCTCCCGCACACTCGCGTTGGCGCGCATGCCAAAGCTCGTCTGCGGAAGGCACACCGTGCCCTTGTACTTCCCCCCCTCCTGCTCCGCGCCCCCCTCCTCCGCGCCCTTCTTCTTCCCCCGCGCCTCCACCGCCAGCCTCCGCGCGCGCCCCGCGGTAGCGCCCGCGGGGAGTGTGGGGAAGTTGACACTAGCGCCGCCGATGCTGCGCGGGAATCCCAAGGTGGGGGGAAGAAACGCGGAGCGCAGGCTGTGCGCGGAGGAGCGCGTGGTTTTCCGCGCGGAGGGGGAAGGGGCGGCAGAGAGGGAGGGGGAAAGGCGCGGGGCGGCGGAAAGCGCGCTTGGTGCGCAGCAGATGCAGCGCATTCTGCCGCAGAGGGTGGAGAGCGCAGGGGAGCGCGCGGCGGACGAGAGGAGGTGAGTACCGGATGACTGCTGGGGGAAGGGGGAGACGAGGGAGAGGGAGAGGAGGCGGGAGGGGGGGGGAAGGGGGGAGAGAAGGGGAAGGAATGGGGAGAAAGGGGATGATGGGAGAAGAGAAACAAGCGGTGGGGATGGCACCAGAGAAATGGAACCTGGATCGGGACCACTAATTTCAGAACCAATAGATGACCAGGAAACACATGAACGTGCCTCAGAACGCGTCACTGAGAATGCGGCTCGGAATGCGGATCGTGCGCACAAGCGGAACCTCACCATGTCGACCAACCGCTCAACCGAAAGACAGGGCGTGTGACGACCGCGCTCGCTTCGTTTCTCAACGCTCCTGGAGCGGTCACCCCGCAACACGCGGCGTCAAAGAGTGGAGGGTCTAGAGCCTAGACCAGTGATGTGCAAACTCGAGGGGTGAAGAGGGGTGAAGCAGAGGGAAGGGTGCGGGAGAAATTGGGGGGACGAGCTGTGAATGTGGGTGTGTCCGCTCCACGTCAGCACGCAGATGACGTGCGACCCTGCGCGCCAGGAATGTGTGGATGGGGTGGCACTCGATTTGTGGTTATGTACGCGTCAACAAAATTTCTATTTGTAAAATGGCAAAACACCTCTTACCGAGGCGTTTTGTAAGAAGTAATGGCTCCTCACTCGTTACAGCAACATTCCACTTTGTTCATCGCGCGTCTTGAAGTGTACGTTATCGTCCCAATAACACTATACGATGAACAGCCAACTTGTCCCAGAAATCCGAATCCCGCCCACCTACATTCTTGCTGTCCCAGTGTCCATGCGTCATCTTGCCATCCCACCTCGTCATCCCATTCTGCAGTGTTTCCAGATGGCTTTCATGGCTGACATTAGTTGAGCAAACCCTCGTTCCTGACGCTCGTTCTTCGCATCCTTGCATCATTCCCGTCCGTCATCCTAAACGATCACTTCTACTGGCATGGCGTCAGGGCACTCCCCTGCCGCGCAAAACCTGCACCCCCCAAACCTCAAAGCTCCAAACCCCAATGCGCCCGACGCTCCTCCGCTCGACTTCCAGGGCGTGACTGCGGCGATCGCGGCGCTAGCGGGCGCAGTGCACGCGCTGCCCGCGGAGGACGATTTCCACTTCTACTGTAACTTCGCCGCCTTCCGCGCGCGCGTCTCCGCGCTCCGCCAGCGCGTGCGCGCGCTGCTCTCCCGCCTCGGCCCGCCTGCGCCGCCCGCCGCGTTGGCTTCCGCCGCAGGGGACCAGGATGACGATGACGCTGACGTGGACGACGCTTATGATTGGCTAGTCGACGTGCTGGATAACCGGCTGGAGAAGGTCGACGTGGCACTTGACGAGATGCGGAAAAAGCGGAAGAAGGCGCAACCGGATTGGCAGGGGCTGGAGGAGGAGGAGGCGGAGCAGCGGCGGGAAGCGCTCCTGCGCGAAGCGGGGGCGTTTGGCTCCGGCCTTGCGGACGCCGCCTTTTCCGCGCCCAAGGCGGGAGGAAAGCCGCAAGCAGGCGGAAGCATGCCGGCGGCGGAGATTGCCACGTCAGCTAGCAGCTGGCGACGGAGCCTGCGCGGGAAGAACCGGCCGCAGGACGCGTTCGAGCCGCCTGTTGACAACTCCGACGCGCCGCTCTCGTTGCCGCGCCTCGAGTTCATCGAGGCGATCCGGCGCGAGGCGGAAGCGGAAAGCCCCGGAGAGGAGAGCGCGGAAGAGGAGGGGAGCGGGGGCGGGCGGGCAGGGGGAGAGTTGGAAGAAGGGGAGGAGGTGGCGGAAGGAGACGGGGGGAACGAGGGTGCGGAGGAGGAGAAGGTGCGCGGAAGGGGGGAGGGGAGAGGCAGGGGCCCTCCGCGGCTGAAGTGGAGAGCGCTGAAAGAGCGCCATCCGTTGTGGGTGAGTGTCTTACAGGGTACAGGGTTCGGGGTTCGGGGTTCGGGTGGTTCAGAGTTTCGGGTTCTGGGTTCTGGGTCCAAGTTTGGGGTTCAGGATTTGGGGTTCGAGTTCCGGGTTCTGGGTGTAAGGTTTGGCGCCTTTGTCCGAACGCATTATTCTTACAACTGCATTGCGGAAAGCTTATTCTCAAGTTACATCGTCACCCCAACTGTCTTAGCTCAGCTTCTCCTTGTTCGTTCTTCTCCCCCTCCCTTCTCCCTCTCACCCGTTGCCCTCTCCTATCCTTGTACTAATCCATCCCTCCGCCCCTCCAAACCCCCTCCAACCCCCCACCCACCCCTCTGTTTCTTCCATGCGCCACCCATTCCAGCACCGTCTTCGCCACATCACCTACCAGCCCTGGCAGCTCTGCCCTCCGAACCTGCCGTCCCGAGCCACCACAACCGAACCAATCCCAGGCTCGGAACCACACCACCTACTCCCCCCCCCACCTGCCTTAGAAGACACACCCTTTGCTTATGTGGAAACGCGCGAGCAGCTAGCAGCAATGGCGGAGGAGATTAAAGCTGAGAGGGAGGTGGCAGTGGATCTCGAGAATCACAACTACCGCTCGTTCCAGGGCTTCCTGTGCGTGCTGCAGCTCTCCACCAGGAAGAAAGACTATGTGGTGGACGCTATTGCTCTGAGGGGGGAGATTGGGCCCCTGCTGGGGCCCATGTTTGCCGACACACGCATAGTCAAGGTGAGACCCCCTGAAGAATCACAACTATCACAACAACTACCGGTCGTTCCAGGGCTTCCTGTGCGTGCTGCAGCTGTCCACCAGGCGGAAAGACTATGTGGTGGACGCCATTGCGCTGAGGGGGGAGATTGGGCCTGTGTTGGGACCCATGTTTGCCGACACACGCGTAGTCAAGGTGAGACCTTCTCGAGAATCACAACTACCGCTCGTTCCAGGGCTTCCTGTGCGTGCTGCAGCTGTCCACGCGGAGCAAGGACTATGTGGTGGACGCTATTGCGCTGAGAGGGGAGATTGGACCCTTGCTGGGACCCATGTTTGCCGACACTCGCATTGTCAAGGTGAGAGAGCCACAGCTACTGAGACAGTGTCGCGGAGGAGGACTATGTGGTGGACGCTATTCCATTGGGGGTTAGATCGGGCCCCTGCTAGGGCTCATGATTGCCGACACCGGGCAGCAGCACAGGGGCACTGAGCTTATCCATCCGTCCCTTCTCTCTCCCCACCACTTCCCCACCAGGTGATGCACGGGGCGGACAGCGACGTGGCGTGGCTGCAAAGGGACTTTGGCATTTTCATCGCCAATCTCTTTGACACGGGGCAAGCAGCACGTGTGCTGGGCTTGGAGCGCTTCTCGCTCGCGCACCTGCTGCAGCGCTACTGCGGGGTGACGGCCAACAAAAGCCTTCAGATGGCGGACTGGCGGAGGGCGGGACTCTGAGAGAGGGGTTTTAACTCTGAGAGGATGGCCCCTACCCTCCTTTCCTCCTTTCCCCTCTTTCAGGTGATGCACGGGGCGGACAGCGATGTAGTATGGCTGCAGAGGGACTTTGGCATTTTCATCGCGAATATGTTTGACACGGGGCAGGCCTCACGTGTGCTGGGGCTAGAGCGCTTCTCCCTGGCCCACCTGCTGCAGCGCTACTGCGGTGTGACGGCCAACAAGAGCCTTCAGATGGCGGACTGGCGCGTGCGCCCGCTGCCAGCTGACATGCTCAAGTATGCCCGGGAAGACACGCACTACCTGCTGTACCTGCACGACTGCCTGCGCCTCGCACTCGCTGCTTCTGCTGGTGGTGCTGGTGGTGGTGCTAGTGGTGGTGCTGCTGCTGCTGCTGCTCAGGCTGATGGGAGGATGGATAAGGGGAAGGTTTGCGGTGAGGAGAAGGAGGAGGGAGAGGAAGAGGAAGAGGAAGGGGAGGTGCATGATGAGGAGGAGGAGGAAGAGGGGGAGGAAGGGGGACAAGAGGCAGGAGGAGAGGAGGGAGAGGGAGGGAAGCAGCGGGGGTATGGCAAGCCGTGCCCTGCTATCCTAGAGGCAAGTGCTTGATGCTGCTCTTTTTCTTCCTTTCTCAGCTTGAGTAGTCCCTCTCCTAGCGTGTCCGATCCGTTCCTCTGTCGTTGCCTACTCAAGCCATCAAGCCATCAACCCCCCAGATAGGCCCTGAAAACTCTTCTCACTCCTAGCCCTCGACGCTTGCCCCCCCTCCCCCCTCGCCCATCGCGCCTACCCCGTCATTCGCCCCTCCACCACCACCCTTCCTACAGGTGTTGAAGCGCAGTAGGGACGTGTGTCTGCTGCTCTACTCCAAGCCACAGCGCGCCTTCCACTCCTTCCTGCGCAACAACAGGTGTGCCGACTCTCATTGGCCTTCACACTCAGAAAGTATGCTCCATGAGTGTGGCATACTCATGGAGCATACTTTTTCTGTTCCTTTTTTGTTCGTGTGTATTCTGTCCTCTATTCCATCTTTGTTTTTAAGACTATTTCCCATGTCTTACTACCTGTCGTACAACCCGTCTTGCTTCGCTCGCAGGCTGAGTACGGAGGGCTTCAGTGAGGAGCAGATGGCCGTTCTCTCTGTAAGCTTCATTCGTGTGGCTTCAGCTCCATGCATATCTCCTTTACTCACACGAATGCGCTTTCATTCCATGTTTGCACAGAAAGTGCTCCTGCATGCTCGTTTTCTCCACCTGCACCCCCCTCCATTCCCCCCATCCTCCCCGCCGTCTTTTTCCTGCTAGACCGTCCGTCACTCGCTGGCACTGCCAACATGCCATTCTTTGGCTTATGATTGCCATGCTGTTACATGCAACGCCATGCCTAGCAAGCATGCCGACTCATGCCATCATTCCGTCCTCTATACCTTCCATGCCACGTCACCCATGCCATGTCATCACGTCAGGCGCTGTACACGTGGCGCGATCAGACAGGCAGGGAATACGATGAAGGGCTGGGATACGTCATGCCCAATCACCTGCTGCTCAAAGTCGGTACGTCGGCCCCTCCATGATTGGCCCACGTGATAGCCCCGTTTGATTGCACTGCTTAAGTGCCTTGCATGATTGATTGCCCTGCGTGATTCAGATCCCATGGATTGTCACGGCACTCAATATGAAGAGCTGCAACATCAGCTGGTAGCACAATTGGTGCACACACATGTGGGCTGATGACCGCATGTTGGAATTTGCTGGGCTGAAAATAACTTCTTCAAGGAGCTTTTATGTTTTTGCCTTCATTGCCACTCTCATGTTTCCCTGCCTCTGTATCTGTGACCGCCTGTGCTTCACTTCCCTGCTCTCACTCATTCCCATCCAGCGCGTGACATGCCCACCACCGAACGTGCTCTCCGAACCTGCCTCCGAGGTTCGGCCCCCCTTGTGGCTCGGAACGCGGCCACCATCACCCGAATGATCAGCCAGATCAAAGATTCTGCTGACTTGGCAACGTCCACTCTAGAGTCGCCAGCTGTCGTCGCAGCACGGCATGCTGCCACGTCAGGCAAAGACCCATTTGCTCCTGGCACTCCTGCTGCTGCAGCTGCCGCCGCTGCGGTTGCTGCTGCTGCTACCCGTGCCGCTGCCGCCGCTGGTGTGAGTCCGCCTGGTGCTGGCGCTGCTGTCACTGCTCGTGCGGGTGGCCCTCCAGAATCTACCATAACTGCATCTTCCCCGGCTGTAGCACCGGCTGTAGCAGCGGCTGTAGCGAAGGTGAAGGTGAAGAAGACAGCAGCCAAGTCCGGTTTTGGGGCTCTTCTGGGGCAGAAGCGACCAGCTAAAGCCGCTGGAGCAGCTGTAGCAGCAGGAGCAGCTGGAGCAGGGGCAGCAGGAGCAGTAGTAAAGCCCTTGCCAAAGGTACAGAAGACGGATGGAGTTGCTGCGAAAGAAGATTTGGCGGCACGAGTCCGGGCGGCCATGGGGATTGTGCCGCAGCCAATGGGATCGAAGGAAGCTGTTTCACGGGCAGCTGAAAGGCATGGAACTGCGGAAGAAAAGGGGGCAGCGGCAGCTGAAGCAAGGGGAGAGGGAGGAGCAGGGGGGAATGAGGGAGAAGCAGAGGAAGAGGGGGCAAAAGCAGGGGGAGCAGGGGGGGTTGGGGGAGCAGGAACGGTAGAGGGAGCAGGGGGCGGGCAGCAGAAGCGGCAGCGACCGGCCAAGTCTCCGGCTCATGTGGCGGCTGCAGTGGCGGCTGCAGCAGCAGCAGCACGGGCAGCAAGGAAAGCCGGAAGCCAGACAGAGGGCGAAGGGGGTGGAAACAGTGTGGGAACAAGTGGTGGAGGTGAGGCAGGGGGGAACCTGCCAGCTCCTCTTAGTGCTGCTTTTGATGCTGATGAGGGCAGGCGGGCACAGAGGAAGAAGAGACGCATGCTCAAAGCTGCTGCTGCTGCCGCCGCCGCTGCTGCTGCTGGTGGTGCTGCCAGTACTGATGCTGCCAGTGCTGGCACTGGGGCAAGCGATGGTGCTGGTACTGGTGGTGTTGCGGATGCTGATGCTGACGCCGATGCTGGTGCTGGTGATGCAGCTGCAGAAGGGGGGAGCGTTGGTGTTGAGGGCAAGGCATCAGCACAGTCACAGTCACAGCAGCCGGTTAAGAAGGGTGCTGGTGGGGGACAGAAGGGTGGTGCTGGTGGGGGGCAGCGCAAGGACCTTGTTTCAGAGGCGTTTCAGAGAGCTGCAGAGGGGGAGGAGAGGCGCAAGAAGAAGAGGAAGAGTGGGACGGGAGGAGGGTTGTGGGGCTCGGATTCAGAGGAGGAAGAGGAGGAGGGGCTTCGCATGGTGCATGATAGTGGGGATGATGACGATGATGATTCTGATGGTGGTGGTGTTTTCGGTGGTCAGGATGGTGATGGGGTCGATGAGGATGTTGATGAGGGGAATGGTGTGGGGAAGGGGAAGGGGAAGTTTTCCGGTCGGCAGCAGAAGGAGGATCAGGAAGGATTTGCCCGGCTTGAGATTTATGATTTCTCGGCGGAAAAAGAGGAGTTTGGGCTGGATGCACAGCATGTGGCGGCCAGTGAGGCCATAGCTCTGGGTCCCTCGGCAGATAAGAAGAAATGGAACAAGCGCGGGGCTCCTAAGTTCTCTGTGCCGCTGCCTGCGGCTGCTGCTGCTGCCGCCGCTGATGGTGCTGCCAATGCTGGAAAGCAGGGTGGTGGGGGTGAGGGAGGGCCGGGGGGTAAGAGTGCGGTGTTTGATCCGTTGCAGCCGATTGCGGCTGGAGCGGCCAAGAGAGGCTTGGCTTATGATGCGCCGAGGGGTGGGAAGAGGGCGCAAGTGTTTCCGTCGTCTGGAAACAGGAGTGCCACGTTTATGGATTAATGCGGGTAGGTGGTGCTGCTGCTGCTGCTCGTTTCCTAGTTGCATTTTGGCAGTTCAACTGCAGAGTTATGGAGAGGGAGAGGAGTTGAATGGTTGAAGTGTGGGGATAGAAAGGGATATTGTGGGATTCGTTTCAAAAAACTTACGCATAAGCTGTCTGGACCAGTGTTGGTTTTGCGAGGGTGTTATGACTCGCGTCCTGGCTTTCATTGACGAGAATTTTGTGACGTTCGTTCTCCAATCAGATTTATGGCGTTGCGTTGACTGTGAGCTGTACGACCGACTGTGTCGTGATGGTGGGAAGGACTGCAAGCGAACATCCAGGGGTCGTGGAAAGGGGGTTACAATCTCTTCGTTAAGATCGCGACCTCACCACCATTCCACAGAACTTGGGAGGCAGGCTGGCAGTGAGGAAGGAAACAGAACAGCACACTGCCCCTGCGCAGGGGTCACTATGCGCCCCTATCTGCGGTTCCTCGCACCCGAAATATCCGCAAAATCTGGTGCTGTTTTCCTGATGGGGGGGTTGCAGGGCAGGGCAAGGAGGGACCCGCCAGGCAGACACAGATTGCAGGCCTGGCCAGCTTTCATGCATACGGGGAAAACGGGGCTGATCATCTTCAGCCCCCCTGCACGGGCGGAAGAAGTTGGTGGTTGAGGGAGTGAGTGAGGAAAATTGGTCGCGAGGAAATTTTGTCACACTGATTCCCTGCTGTTTTTGTTTTGGATCTTGTTTATGTAAGTAGCGATACTTTGTGGCCTATGGCAGCTCGCGGAGCACGATTGACTTCCCGCTATTATTTCCATATCACTAGTCGTGATTTGAAAAGACGAGCAAGGTCGTGATTAGTTGACCTGGAAACCTCGGGGCTTCTCAAAACGGAAATTTGCAGTGCAGCCCATCCGACACAGTTGAGTGGGTGGAAGGCTGGCTAGACCCTGGACGAAGTCTCGAGATTGCCGTGACCAGCAGCGAAACAGAAACGATGGAAACATGGAGGTGAGATGAGATGCCATGGACATGAGATGAGAGCACCCTGTACAGTAACCTCGCAAATGTTCCAGCCAAAGATTCTTGCCAGTTCCAGCTGACTCCTTGAAAAAGCAGGTGACAGGCATTATAGTACGTACCTATCTTACACTGTAGCTCATGGGTGAGAGGTTCTTTTTATGACTGCCTGCTCTTGTCTTCGCGTGAAAAAGCGACGCGGATCCGACATTTTGCCGCACCACCTGGATGGTTCTCAATGTAGCATCGCACGAAGAAACATAGGCATCGCGATTCGCGAATGTCCCTTTTGCTTAGCAAGGAGCAGCAGCTGACGACCGAGTCGCTTTTTCCTGCACGGCGCGGATTGGCGAATCCAACTTGTCGGCGCGTAAGATGAAGCCAGCTTTAATGTCGCATTTGGCTTGTCGTTTTCAATCAGAGCGTTGCCTTTCGCCATTATTCTGGGGTTGTAGAGCCTTACTGCGCGTCGCGTACAACTAGGGTTAACTTATTCTGTTCCTGTGTTTTCTAGTTACCTCGTTACGGACCTTTCTAAGGAGTCATGACCATGCTTCTCACACTACCAAGTAGTCCTGTAATGCGTAGCACCCCCCGCTCGAACCAATCCTTGGTGTAGCTGCAACAGACCGCTGTTGTCTATCTTTACTGTACAAACAGATTCGAATTAATTTAATATGGATTCCGACGCCATGGACGTAGACATGGATGATAGCGCTTCCCCACGCGCCGGCACCGGAAATACGTCGTTAGGCGGTGGCGATTCGACTCCACCAGCAGCTAGAAGCCCGTCTTCTGTGGCCGAACTCTCTCCACCGGATTCCACCCCTCTTTCACCCACCCAACCCACTCATCTTCCACCCACACAATCTGCGCAATCGGCCCAACCCACCCTAGCCACCCCTCCGTTCGCCATTCCAACCCATCCATCCCCTTCGATACAGCCACCAACCGAACCGTCACCCCCTGAACCGTCTGCTACAGTGCCATCCGCTCCAGTCACCTCAGCAAATGCACCGGGCACGGCATTGCGCTCCCCCTCAATACCCTCCCCATCCGCTCCCATGTCCCGGTCCCCGGGAATGGCGTCACCCGGAGGGTACTCCTCCGGTAATCCGTCGGGAATTAATTCCCCTAGCGTGCATTCGGGGGTTAAGCGGCTTTCCCCGGAGGATCGCCAACGGCTAGCTAATATGCTGCGCGCGCTGCAGCTGCAGCAGCAAGCGCACGCGGAAGCGCAGCCTCCAGCCTCCGGGGAAGCTAGCGCTGGCGCAAGCAGGCCGGCTGAAGACGGAGCGGAACGGCCCGCGGACGCTGGCGCGGAGAGGGGCGCGGACATGGCGGTGGATGCGCCGGCGTGCGCGCAGGGGCGGGAGCGGGAGAGGCAGGGGCGCGATATGGCGGGGGCGAATGGGGAAGCAGCGGGGACGTGGGCCGAATCGCCGTCGTCTCCCCCTCCTGGGGGCGCCATGAGGTGCGACGAGTGGGGGGCGAGAAGGGAGGCGAGAGGGAGGCGAGAGATGAGGCTAGGGGGGATGTGTGGGGGGAGGTGTGGGGGGAGGTTTGGGGGGAGGTTTGGAGGGGCCGGGCCATGAGGAGAGGCTTGAGAGGAAACCTAAGGGAGCCCTGGGTGTGGCATGGGAGGGTGGGGGAGAAAGCTCAAGGGGAGGGGTGGGGAGTGTTATGAGAAGACTTGTGGGGAGAGTTGTGGGAAGGAGACATGGCGAGAGGTATGGAACGTGTTGGGGGGGGAACGTGAAGAGAGGCTTGAGAAGAGGCATAAAGGGAGGGCTTTGCTGAGGCTCAAGGAAAAGGATGTGAGGGCACGGGGAGGGGTGAGAGGAAGCGTGAGGGAAGAATGTGAGGATGCTTGTGAATTGGAATAGTAAGGGAACGGATAAGGGCATTGATGACGAAATGAGGGGAAAGAATTGGTGACCTTTGGTTTTCCTTGCCTCAGAAGGTTTATGGGGGTGGTGTGAGAGCAGAAGGTGACAAGGAAGAGTGGATGAGACGAGCGTGCGAGCACCCACTCCGGCCCCTTTCTGACTCCTGCACCACCCACTCTATTTGGCGAATTCGTATGATCTCTCTGCTCCCTTTCCCCGTGCTTCACACCAATCGCAAGGATATGTTGGAAATCGTGCGCAAGCATTCAAGTGCGCTGGTGCGGCCAGCTGTGCCCACTTATTCATATGCCCATTCATTCATTCGCTCATCCCCATGCATGCATCCCACCAATCGCAAGGACATACTAAAAATAGTGCGCAATTACTCGGGCGCGATGGTGCGGCCAGCTGTGCCAGTCAATTCATGAGCTCTCCCTCCCTCCCGCCCATCCCTATGGAAACACCAGTCGCAAGGACATTCTAGAAATAGTGCGCAAGCACTCAGGCGCGCTGGTGCGGCCAGCGGCGTCGAGGGACGGGGCGGGAGCGGAGGCGGCGCAGACGGCGCTGATGATGGACCGGCAGTACTGGCGCGAGATGGCGGACCTCTTCTTTGTGCGCGGCGTGCAGCTGCGGGGGGATGCCACCCAGGACGGGTCGTTCCGGGACGTGGTGTTCTTTGTCAGAGACGAGGTGGGTATGGAGTGGCTTGAATGGCTTGAGGCCGCAGTGTAGTGGGTTGGAGGTGAGGTGGGTTGGAGGCGAGGTGGGATAGGGGCGAGGCGAGTTGAAGATGGGGCGCTGATGATGGACCGGCAGTACTGGCGGGAGATGGCGGACCTCTTCTTTGTGCGCGGCGTGCAGCTCAGGGGAGATGCCACTCAAGATGGGTCTTTCCGGGACGTTGTGTTCTTTGTGAGAGACGAGGTGGGTTGAGAGGTGGGGTGTGAGGCTAGTGGTGAGTGGGGTGGGGGGTGGTGCTGGTGGCGGACCTATTCTTCGTGCGCGGCGTGCAGCTGCGCCAAGACGCCTCCCAGGATGGGTCGTTCCGCAATGTGGTGTTCTTTGTCAGAGACGAGGTGGGTTTGTTTTGTAGCCTCTGGAGTGGCGTGGTCGATTAGAGGCAAGGTGGCTTGAAGGCGAGGTGAGGTGTAGTCGAGGTGGGTCTGATGTACCATTGTGGCGTGGTGTCGTTGCTTCCATGGTTTCTCTCCCACTCGCCCATCCGTCTCATTCTCACGTGCCATTTTCTCCCACCCATCCCTCCCACTCACCCATCCCTCCCACTCACCCATCCCTCCCACTCACCCATCCCTCCCACTCACCCATCCCTCCCACTCACCCATTTCACCCACTCAACCTTACCCCCCACTCACCCATCCCTCTCACTCACCCATCCCTCCCACGTACCCATCCTCTCTCCCATGCAGTCGCCTGCAGCAACACCCCGCCAGGCAGATGGTGGGGGAAACGACATGGGGGGCACGGCAGGCAGGGGAGAGGGCATGGAGGCAGTGGAGAGACGGCGGCCCTACTTCGCCCGGCGCAGGCAGAGCAGCGTGAGTGACAACCTTGCATGTGATGGTCGTCATTGGGGAATGTCTGTCACCTTGCCTGGTAACTGCGCCATGCTTGCCGTGTTCCACGCCTGTCTGCCATGCCTGTGTCTGCCATGCCTGTGTCTGCCATGCCTCTCTACCATGCCTGTGTCTGCCATGCCTCTCTGCCATGCCGTCTTCCATGCCTAACTGACTGACTTCTCTCCTCCATTCACTCCCATTCTCTGCACCACTCTGCACCATTACACATCCCTCTGCACTGCTATCCACATGGCTGCAGCTGGGGGAGATTCTGGGCGGCAGTGGGGAGAGCATAGACTGGCGGCGCACCTTCTATCTGAACCTCATCTGCCACACCGACTACTCGCTCACCATCGCCGTCTGCAGGTACCTCATGCTCTGTGTGTGTGAGCTGTGTGTGGGTTGTGCATGGGTGGGCTGTGTGGGTGTGAGTAGGTGCTGGCTGTATCTAGACAAGAGGCGCACATTCTATCTCAACCTCATCTGCCACACCGACTATTCTCTCACCATCGCCGTTTGCAGGTGAGCTGTTCTCTGCTCTGTGTGCGAGTGTGTGGGTTGTGTTCGGGTGAGCTGTGTGGGTTGTGAGTGGCTGCTGTGTTTAGACTGGCGGCGCACCTTGTATCTCTGCCACACCGACTACTCCCTCACCATCGCCGTCTGCAGGTCTGCTTCTCACTGCTGCGTGTGTTGGGATGTGTTGGGGGGTGGGCTGAGTGGGGGTGGGCTGAGTGTGGGTGGGCTGAGTGGGGGTGGGCTGAGTGGGGGTGGGCTGAGTGGGGGTGGGCTGAGTGGGGGTGGGCTGAGTGGGGGTGGGCTGAGTGTGGGTGGGCTGAGTGTGGGTGGGCTTTGTGGGTGTGAGCTGAGTGGGGGTGGGCTTTGTACAAGTGAGTAGTGGCTGCAGGCAGCACACGCACATGTATTTGCAACCACAGTGTTCAACACACACCCTCCCACCCACAATTCACCTGTCTCCACACCCCTGCCATCCTTCTCTCCGTGCCCTTACCCTCCCTCCCTCTCCCCACGCCAGTCGCACGGCCCTGGAGAACCAGAAGCGGTCAGGACGAGCCGTGCCGCCCATAATGAAGGTACTGCGTGCCTTTCCCCCTGTGCCGTTCTTCCTCATGCCATCATGCTCCTCTAACCCTCCGCATCTCCCCCTTCCTCCCCGATTGCCCCTTGAGCTTCCTTGCCCCCTTTCTCCTTGCCATCCCTCATCCCATTATCCCCATACCTGTGCCATCCTCCCCGCCCCGGCACCAGGTGACGAGGCGAGCATACGCCTCCCCCAGTAGAGCCCTCATCGACACCAGCCTCCCTCTGCCCCCGTCAACGTCCCAGGCAAGTGGCACCCTGGAGTGATCGTTTGTGCTTTGTGATAAGGGGCAACGTGCAGGCAAGTGGGGCTGGCAGTAATGGGGGCGCTTGTGAGAATGGGCTCGCTAGCCCAGTGAGCGGATGGCTCTCCATTCCATGCGTGGCACTGGCACACATGCACATGGCATGGCTGGCCGCAAGAGCATGGCATGTTGGCATGCAAGCAGATGTGACCCGGAGGTCAACTACAGCACTTCTGCCCTGCAGCACATCCTCAAACCTCTATGCTGTCCCTCATCTCTGCCCTACTCTCCAATCCCATGGCACACACACACACACACACACACACACACACACACACACACACACACACACACACCTGTCCTTGTCCACCACGTTCACCACGTTCCATCCTGCTCCCTTCCTCCATGCCTATCCCCCCAGCAGGACCCAGAGGTGACAGAGGCGTATCCCAACATCTGCTTCGCCATTGACTCCTCTGACCGCGCCTTTGAGTCCGTGGTGGGTGCCGTTGGGATCTCTGTGCCCTTGAGACCCACCACATGCGCCATGTGCCATGCGCCATACGACCCAAGACCCATTGTCCATCCCCCACGCCCCATGCCTCATGCTCCATAGCCCATGCTCCATAGCCCATGCTCCATGCCCCGCACTCCATGACCCATACCCTGTGCCCCATAACCAGTGCCTCATACCCCTTGCCACATGCCCATGCCCCATGCCCCATTTTCCAGTACAGCATGCCCCACCCATACCCCAAACCTCATGCCCCATGGCTCAGGTGTAACCATACCCCGTCCTTCCCCCACCCCCCCCAGGTGCTGAGGGGCAGCGACCACTGCTTCTGTGTGCTGCTGAGTGCGCACAGAGGGGCGGCCTTCCCTGCCCAGGACACCGTTGAGAAGACCCTCGCGGACGGGCAGCGCCGCGTGCTGCAGCGCGGCACTAGCAGCGAGGCTAAAGTGCTGGGGGAGGCGTCAGGGGACGGGCCTAAGGTGAGGGGATTGAAGGGGTTGGATGAGGGAGTGAGGGGGGTGGGGACAGCCTTGTGGGGTGCCATAGAAGGCATGCTGCAGCGCGGCACCAGCAGCGAAGTTCAAGTGCTGGGGAGGCGTCAGGGAACGGGCCCAAGGTGAGGAGGGGCGGGGGTGGGGAGGGTGGGGGTTGGATGAGAGGGCTGAGGGGGAGGCTTCAGGGGATGGGCGCAAGGTGTGTTGGGTGGGAGATGGGGAAAGGCGGGGAATTGGGTAAGAGAGGAAGTGAGATTGGTGAGATGAGGTTTAGGAACGGAAGGACAAGGAGGTGACAGGGAGTGAGTGAAGGGAGTGGGGTACGAAGAATGGCCCTCATTATGCCGTCTGTCAATAATTCTGTATCCCCCATCACCCGTGATACATGCCATGCCATACCCAACTCATGCCACGTCCCCTGCCATGACTCATGCCTCACGTCATGCCATTCCCCATGCCCGTGCAGATCACACTCTTCTCGGGCTTTGTGAGCTACCCCATGCTCAAGACCTCCTTCCAAGGTGCGTCCATCCCAAGCTTACACCTCGCTGAGGTGATGTTGTAGGCGCCTAATAAATCACCTCAATGCCCGCGCATATCACGCAGGCTTTCTGAGCTACCCCATGGTCAAGTCCTCCTTCCAAGGTACACCGCCTAAGCTTTTAGCTTACCAGATTCGGATTCTTCAACTAAGATTTTAGTTGTTTGTGTGGCTGTTGCGCTGCATTCCAATCCCCCCTTCCGCACCCCTCCCTTCCCCTGGCAGGTCTCTTCTCCATGTTTGGATCCGCGTCCCCCTCCCCCATGAAACCAGCGGGGCTGGTTCTCCGTGGCCCGGGGGGCAAAGGAGCGGCCAACCCCACACCACCCACTCCTAACTACCCTCCATTGCCCTTCCAACCCCCTCCGCCCGTCCCTTCCCCCAGCAGGTCTCTTCTCCATGTGGGGTTCTGCGTCCCCCTCCCCCATGAAACCAGCCGGGCTGGTTCTCCGTGGCCCTGGAGGCAAAGGAGCCGCCAACCTCGCAGTCTGCCCCCTCCCCCTCCCCCCACTCCCCCCCAAGCCCCCTCTCTCCCCCCGCCCGCCGCTCGCCCCCAAACCCCCTCTCTCTCCCCGCCACCCCTCTCGGACCCACCCTTCTCGCCCTTCCCACTCTTCTCACTCTCAACCTTCCTCCCGGTTCCAGCTCCCACCATCCCAACAGCCTCTTTCCCCCTCCGCCCGCTCCCAACAGCCCCCTTCTTCCCTCTCCTCGCCCACCCATCCCAACTCCCCCCCACCGCAACAATCACCCACTCACCCCTCTCACCTATCTCCAACCAGCCCCCCCCAGCCATCACCCACCAGCCCATTACACCCAAGCCGCCCCCCACCGCCCAATAGCCCTCCAAACTCCAATCAATCACCATCATCGGATAAGCCATTACCATCCAGCCGTCCATCCAGCGTTCCGGTGCAATCTGGCCGTCCATCGAGGCCGTTGCATCGGCGCATGCCGTCACTGCAGGAGCTGCAGAGCAAGCTGTGGGCCGTGCAGGCAGAGCTCATGGACCTCCTCGAGTTGGAGGCTCAATCCGCTGCCACCACTGTCGCCGCCGCTGCTTCTGCTGCCGCTGCCAACACTGTCGCCACCGCCGCCACCGCCGCCGCTGCCGCCGCTGGTGCTGCCAGTGCTTCTGCTGATGGTGGTGGTGGTGGTGTGGCCAAAGCTGTGAATACGGATGGTGCCGGTACTGCAGCTGCTGGTGGTTATCGAGATGGTGAGGACAGAGACAGCATGATGCAAGTGGAGGAGGGCAAGCTCTCAGCCGAGCGGGACTCTCCCAGCCTTGATCCCGATGCCTCTGCTGCTGCTGCTCCTGCAGCTGCTGATGCTGCTGATGCTGATGCTGATGCTGATGCTGATGCTTATGCTGATGCTGATGCTGATGCTGACGGCATGCAGACAGAAAGACAAGAAGAAAATCCAGCAGCAATGTCAGCACCATCACCCACTCCCTCTCCACCTCTCCCCACTCCCCCTCCCCTTCCTGCCTCCCACTCTCCACCCTCCCCATCCCCTCCCTCTCCCTCCCCAACCACTCCTCTCCCTCCAGCACGCACCTTCCAGCAGCAATTCCCCTCCTCCCTTCCCCCAGCAAAGCCCGCAAAGGAGGAGGCAAGGAGGCTGCGGCTGCTGGAGCTACAAGGGGAGCTGCGACTGGTGCAGGAGCAGCTGCAGATGCTGCAGTCTCAGAGCAAGGGCAAGCGCCCGCACCCCTCCGATCACCACCACCGGCAGCGGCCCCCGCCGTCCCGATCCATGCAGGCCTCTCGGGGCAAAGCGAGAGTCAGTGGCAACACTGGTGGGGACGGAGGAGGGTGTGGGGAAGGAGAGGAAGGGGGGCTTGAGGGCAGTGAGAGCAGTGGCGGGTCGTCGAGGCTGTTGCAGCGGCCAGTAGTGGCTTCCCCGCCAGTAGTGGCCACCCCTAGAAGAGCCATGGTGCACCAGGATGGAGACAGCCCCACTGCCAGACACCCACATGGCCACACTGCTTCAGGTGGATCCTCAGGAGAGTCACCTGAAGGATCACCTGGTGCCCGTGGCTCAGGTGGTGGCAGCAGAGCAGGGAGCGGCAGGGCTGGTGGCAGCAGCAGCCGTTCCCCTGGAGGTGGTGGTAACAGCAGTGGTGGTGGTAGCGGTAGTGCTGGTGGTGGCAGTGCGGGTGGTCTTGCTGCGTCATTGCTACAAGGAGGGATTGGTAGAGCAGCAGGAGGAGGAGTGGTGAGAGAGGAGCCTCTGCGGTGCTGCCTAGCTTCCCTCTCCCTGCCCTGGGAGTCACTCGCCTTTGACCTCCTCTTCAAGGTACCATCGCTTTGCCATCTCCTTACCATCTCCTTCACTCACTCACGAGGTGACTTTTGAGTCCACTCAAAAGGTATCTCTCTCCCTGCCCTGAGAGTCACTTGCCTTTCACCTCCTCTTCAAGGTACCATGTCCTTGCCATCTCTTTCACTCACTCTCTCTCTCCCTCCCCTCCCTTCTGATTTTTCACTTTCTTGTTTCTGAGCCCTGTCTCCCCTGCCATGCCCATCCTGTTTCTCCCCTCCTCCCTTGAGTGGTTTCCAGGGTCTCTGTATTTTGTCCTCACTGTGTGCATCCCCAATGTGTGTCGTGTGTCTTGCAGGAAATGCCAGTCAAGGTGGACATTGGCGGTCGGATATTCCCCCCTCCTCGAAATCCTCCCAGCGCAGAAGACTTTTGAGCAGAATTTGACTTGCCAATGTTTCTAGAAGGCCGTTTTCCAAATCTCGTTGCTCGCCAAGTTCTTGCACTGAGTGCCATATGCACTTCATGTAACCAGGTTTAGTTGCATATAGCAGTGTGGATCCATCTCTCCTCTGTTCTCTCAGTTACGGTACCACACAATATTTTGCGTGGTCAAAGAGACATCCTGGGATGTAAGAGTTTATACGGTATGTTTATCAGTTGCAATGACCACACATGGTTCAACCTACATGTCAGACATCCTGCATCAAGTCAGACAAGGGGTTCAATAAGCTGGATTGCGACACATCATGCATTTCAGCGGTTGCCCCATACGTTACAGTACTCCTTGTGTGAAGATGAGGATTCGGAAGTTATTGAATGAAAAAATTCTTAGCTCGCTACTTGGTGTGTTCTTTTCAAGCAGCATGCTCGCATGACTTGAGTCTCAAAATGACTCTTGTACACAGTTGAAAGCGATCCGTTACCAAGCTCGCTCCCGGAGATTCCCAGGTGCAACAATAGCGGGGCCTCACAATATCTGATGGTATCGAGCGTAGGAACACCGTCCGATTAGACATTCGATTTAACGGTCAGATCGCAACCAGCGCTGACAGCTCCACTGGTGTTGCTGAATTGGCGCTGACGTTCCCAGAGTCGTCGTCAACCGACGAAACCCTCATTGTTCGCGCCACATACTACATCAAACAACGAACGAACCCTGACGGAAGCATTTTGAAGTAGCATTTTCGAGAACAGAAACCGTCAGCAGTAGTGCGACAAGCGTCGTCGTCAGGGTTTGTTCGATGGCAGGTCTAGCACAGAGCGAGTCTAGCACCAGAGTTCTTGGAGACCCTGTTGGGTCTGAGGGCAGGTCCCCTGATGAGGTCTTGCTCTACAACTCCCTGCAAGTCGGCCATGAAGTATACGAAGTGGTAGGCCTTCGCCTTCCTTAGCCTAGGAGTCTTATGGAGTTATTTATAGTTCATTGACAGCTAATATCTGTTCTTCCGTCTTTTCAGGGAGACTCGGTATTATTGAGGTCTTGCCGTTCTGAGTGTGATGTCGTCTTCATTCGTGTAAGTTTCTTCTCCATAGCTCTTCCCGTTTATAGTGCATTTGAACGCCACGTTAGAGCGTACTTTTCGTGTACTTACGCCGTTGTTTTTAATCCTGTGCAGCAAATCAGGGTCAACCCGGATGGTGGTCTCGAAGTGAAAGGTCAATGGCTTTATCGGGAGAAACTTCTTCCGTTCTCACATGTATATGACGTTCAAGGTCACCGTCTACTGACTGTGACCGACAAGTTCCTTCCCAGGGAACATCATGACGAGCTTGCGACGGCACTTGCTCGGTCTAAGGAGAAATGGGAGTCGCTCGTGGAGCATGCGCCCAGAGAGCTTCAAGAGAGCAATAAGGTCAACCTTGTGTGTTCAAGTTCAAACAAGCGCTCTGCTAAGGGCTCCGAGCTGAGCTGGAACGTTCCTGGTTCCAAGCGTCGCAAGCTGTCGAGTGAAGGCAAGTGTTTGGCGGTTGCCGGCGGTCTTATCAGATGCGAACAAGCTGCAAAAGAGAGTGAGGCGGACGAGAACGTTTCTGCCCTATTGGGATGTCCGGACGGAGACTGCTCGTATTGTAGTGGGAGAAGCGGGTGTGAGTGGGATCAAGGAACGCCCCCGTGGACCTCGGATTCGCCTTTGTGTCCTGTTGAAGCTCCTGAAGACCATTCTTCCGTCAGCGGTGGATGCTGCAAACCTTCGCTGGCAGTTCCCTCGGTGACAGATCACCTTTCGCATGTGGATACGTATTTGGAAGTTTGCGATAAAGCAGATGCGGGGTGCAGTATTACGGCAAGCACCGTTGACGTTCGTACTGGTGCAACTGGACTTGCCGAAGACCCCGAAGCTTTTCTGGAGGCAGTTGAGGTCCACGATTTTGATGAGAAGTTGGCGGAGCAGTCAACCTCTCCCGTCGATGTGCAACATCTGGTAAGCTGCATGGCTTTTGTTGTTTTGCACGCATGTTCTCTTCATTTGAACACGATAGAATGCCCGTGGTTTACCTGTTTTGTTGCTGATTTTTTTAACCCTTTTTTTACTGCTTCCAGGTGGAACTCCTCTGCCCTAACTGCGGTGTCTGCGGAACCGTTCCTAATTCTCCTTCGGAAAATTCCTCCAATGAAGTTGAAGAGCACAAGGTTCGTGTCTAAATTAGTGTAAACTCGTTCGCGCATGTTTATTCTCTCTCGTCATCACTGCTAACGCTTTTGGCTGCTCTTCGTTTGTTTCCAGCTGGAGTGTACAACATGCGGGCACTCCTGGGTTTCGCTCCTCAATTCAGGGGACGTCGCGGGTGCAGGCCATGAAGATCTGGAGTTTCACGGCCTGGAATGTCAAGAGGAAAGTAATGCGGTCGGGAGTGAAAGCGATGCAGAAGATGAAAATGACCCTCTTATTTTCATCAAACGGCTGCCGCTACTCACGTATGCGATTCCGGAAAATCGTCCTTACATCTTACCTCCGCGAAAAGCGGATGCGCCGCCTGTGACGCTGGTCCTAGATCTTGATGGTAAGCTTTTGCCATCTGTTTCGTTGGGCGTCATGCTTCTTACTTGCCCTACTTAACGTCTGTTATGTGTTATCGTTACAGAGACGTTGGTGCATTCGACAATGGACTTCTGCCCATTTTCCGATTTCAACTTCCCAGTCTTGCTGAACAGCCATACGCATATGGTCCATGTTCGTAAACGCCCCCATGTGGAGACTTTTCTGCAGAAGGTAGCTGAGCTGTTCGAGGTTGTGGTCTTCACAGCCAGCCAGGGCATTTACGCAGATAAGCTTCTTGATATAATGGATCCCAAGACGGAGCTGGTTCAGCACAGGATCTTCAGAGAGTCCTGTGTCTACATTGAAGGGAACTATGTCAAGGACCTGTCTGTGCTTGGGCGAGACCTTTCGAAAGTGGTCATTGTTGACAACTCGCCGCAGGTATTTTTTTCTTTCCTTTGGTCAAATCACTTGGTTTTTCCATGTATCTGTGCAGGCTTCTCACATGTTGCAGCTCATTTGTGCAGGCTTTTGGATTGCAAGTTGACAATGGTATCCCTATCGAAGCATGGTTTGATGATGACAAGGACTGCGAGCTGCAGTTGCTTCTTCCATTTTTGGAGACCCTGGCAAGGGCAGATGATGTAAGGCCACACATCACTGAACGATTCAAGCTTCAGGAGAGAATTAACAAGATTCCTAACTGACTTATTTGGGAGATGCGGTACTGACCTTCCTAACCCCCCAACGTCATTGATGTTGTGTTGGGCAAGAGCACAGTACTAATGTCTAATCTAGTCTACTGCTTTCCTTGTTATGCTGCATGTATCATTATAATATTTTATAGACAGCACTAACCAGTTAAACGTCAGCTAAGGAATCCTCCAAAAGTTGAGAAGTTTGCTTTACAAGAACATCCCATTCAGCCGCTTGTTTCCGGCACTCTTTCAAAGCAAAGTGTTTCATCTTCAAATCTTCCTCCAGAGCCGCAACTTCCTGCACAACATCAGGTCGGAGGTGTGTTGGTTCAAGGTGTGCACACAACGAACAAGCTTCTGCAGGCCGAGACCTTACCCTGGATAGTGTTGCTTGAGGATCAGCCATGTGCCGCGCTCGAAGCCTTGTGAAACAACGCTCCAGATCACACGCCGTCTCAAGGAATTGATGGGCTCGTATGTCAAGATCCACTGCAAGTAGGAAGGACAAAGTACAGCAGGAAGGGACGTGAATTATGTTCTTATGTTTCCAAAAAATCGGTCGTGAAGGTCAAGACGAATTATTAATTCGTTGTTCAGGAAGAGTCAACGTCTCTCGTGGTCTACGCGTCTCACGCTGGTATAATTACCTGAATCAGCCACATTTGCTCTGTCAGCTGCCTGGAGCTCTCCAGCAGGAAGGAGGGCTAGCAGATGCGCATCTAGAGTATCGAGCATGCGGAGAGCATGGGCTACATCCATCGCTTTTGAACGTTAGCGAGCCGAAACGAACGCAGCGCAAATGACCACGCGTCACGGGATGAGAAGCTGAGGAAAACTAGGAGCAGGCTGAGGAGGACTATGAGCAAGGAAAACTACGAGGAAGGAAAACTAGGAGCACGCACTCGGGAAATGGCTGCAGATCAGCGGGATGAAAAGTTGGTGCAGGCAGTCATTCGCAGCCAAACGAGCCAGTTTGTACGCGTTTTTAGCATTTCTTACTCGTCGATTTTGTTGTCCGATGTACGTGATGTAACATACGACTTTCCCGACTGAAGAAACAACCCATTCTGAATCTACTCATTCCCTCCCTCCCCTCTCGTGAAGTCAATCCTGACTAACTACCGCAATTCGAACAGCCACCGCAAGTAGCCTTCTGCTGTAAGCGTGAGCCAGCGCGTTTCACGGCTGACCACTGCTTCAGCGGCTGTCCTGCTGTGCTCGTCACCTCATCTAAGGTCGTCGAACGCAAATATGGCTTCGGTTGCGAGCACCGTTGCGCTGGCGACGAATGCGGCTCTGTGTCGTTCAGACCTCTGCGGATTTCAGCGTCACGAGGCTTCATTGAAGAGCAGGCAACTGTTGGGAACTGGCTTCTCAACGTCCTTCGCACAAGGCGAGCCCCACCATGCAGCTTCTTGTGCAATTTCTTGCGGTCCAAGGCAATCTGTGTTATTCCACTTTGTCCCGCTTCATGATTCATATTTTTCAATGTGGCAGGCCTGTCGGCTGAAGGAAATGCAGTTCAGGTGTCGTCGTTTTCCAAAAGAGCGACGACTGTCAGACGGCAAGGAGCCACGAGATGCGGATATGCAGTGAAAGAGTCGCGAGGCGGAATCGCAGGCGAGGGCTTTCGTTTTGGGGTGGTAAGCTTGAAAGGTTAGGTTCAGGAACGACGTAAGGACTAGTCAGGATCTCAAATGCCACGCGGACGTTGATATTTTTCGCGTTAGATTCTCACAGCTCAATACACACGGAAGAGGTTTTTTAAGGGTTTACGATTTCACGCCCTCATTCTTGCTTTTCCTAGTCTCAGATCGGCTCGCTTGCGTCTTATTCACCTGTTGTGTGCTCCCTCTTTCGCATCCTCCCATCCTCCCATCCGGCTTTATCAGGTGGTGTCCAAATTCAACGAGATTGTAACGAAGCCTCTACTGTCGGGGGCGATTGACACGTTCAGGCGGCATGGCGTGGACAAGGACCACATTGAGGTTGCGTGGGTCCCGGGCAGCTTCGAAATTCCCCTCGTGGCACAGGAGATGGCCAAGTCGGGCAACTTCGACGCTGTGCTCTGCATTGGCGCTGTGGTCAGTGAGCTCATCCTCGTGTCATGTACGCCTCACACTTTGGTTCATACATTCGTGGCTGGCTCGCACGTTGCGCTCATCCATTTTGTGGTCAGGTCAGCCGTGCTAGTGCCAGCCAGTTTTGCTGGTGTGGTCTGCTGACCAGAATCCAAAGTTGTTCGGTTTTAATTCCGCGTCTCAATCCAGTAGTCTCACACTCACTTGCTCCATCTCCATCCCCGCCATCCCTGCCTCAGGTGCGGGGCTCCACCACTCATTATGATGCCGTGGCGAACAATGCTGCCAGTGGCGTCCTGAGTGCAGGTCTTAACTCAGGTGGGGTCTTAGAGATTGTATTTGTTTGCAAGTTTTGCAGTGTGATGGGGTATCCGAAGTTTCGCATCTCTCAAAAATACCTCTTGTAACTCACTCTCCATTCACACCCCCTCCCTCCACTTCCCTCCTTTCTCCTCGCTCGCTCCGCCTCTCTCTCTGCAGGCATTCCTTGTGTCTTTGGGGTTCTCACATGCGAGACAATGGAGCAGGTACAGGCCTTCTGTCATTGTGCATGTTTGTTTTCCATCCACACATGCATGTGCTTCCAGCACTCACTCGTGCACAGATCTCGGTGCAAAACAGCACCCGCTCATGCACACCAATTGTTGCCTGATCCTTGATGGAGTTGTGCCTTTATCTCGTGCATTCTTTCCTCTACACTTCGTTCTCAGGCGATGGACAGGGCGGGAGGCAAGCTTGGCAACAAAGGAGCAGAGGCTGCCGTCACAGCGGTACGCGTTTTGTCATGCATACATGCATGTACACCTACAGCATTCGTGTATGGGTTAAGGGCACCCATCACTTCCTTGTAATTTGCTTGTGGTTTTAGCGTGAACGATGCATGCAGCAACTTCAACAGCTCAATATCCGTGTCTCATGCCATTCCATGTCACTGTTTGCCTTGCTGACTTGCAGATTGAGATGGCTAGCCTAATGGCAATGCTGCGTGCCTCTGGCTCAGCTGCCCTTGAAGCTCCAGAGTGAAAGTGGCCGACCTGAATGAAGCTTCAGCGGATTCTCTTCTAAGAATTTGTTGTTTGCAATGGCAAGGTTGGCACCAATGGTGCTGCAGCACCAGAAAAGTCAAGCAAAGGCTGCACGATTCCTCCCTGCTTGTACTTGCTTGTTTCCGTGGTCCTCCACATCAATTTTGTAGGTTTCTTTGCTATCTCATTTCGAGTCGCCAAGTATTTTGTGAATTGGGGGACTACAAATTTGGAATGTGACTTTCTAGATAAGCTGCACACGAGAACCTTGCATGACAGCCAAAAAGGTTCAATATGATCACCTGAGGAGACACTACCGTACCAGATTTCATTTGCTTTTCAGTTTTAGCTTTGAGGAACTGTCATCGGAAAGATAAGACTTCAATGAATATTGTAGTACCCTATGAAATTGAAACAAACGAGTATAAGGAGGAGGAAGCCGCGGAGGCAACCAGCCTGGTGTACATGTCACAACCCTGAACCAGAAATTATAAAAATACTACAAGCTAATTCAGTCAAAGAATAACTTGAGCAGGTGGAAAGGCGGCGTGCCAACGCTCGGATGGCACCACCCTGAGCGGGGACCACAGACGACGCTGCTGCCCTCACCACCACACGACCCTGGCTGCACGGCCACATCGCACGCGCACACGATTCCATCCCCGACATAAACCGAAATCCGCTAGCAGCAGCACCTGGACCGGAAGATGTTACGGGGAGGACATGAACCGCTCTCAGATCCTTGATCGAGTCCTCCATTTGTCCCTGAACGTCCACCTTCACAGAGGCGCGCTGCACTTCCCCTTTAACCTGAAGTTGCCCCTGCTGAGTCACTTCCACCTCCACCATACCGCCATCCGCGGTTCCCGGCGCCGCCTTGTCTCCGCTAGAGCGCGTGCGTCCGGCCTCCTTAATCTCCTTAGCCGCAGCGCCCGACGCGCTGCTATCCCTGAGCTTCGCGGCAACTGGGGAAGGCTTGAGCGAGTCGCAGGCAGCAGGCAGGCAGCACTTATCCTTTACAAGCCGACGCGCTACGGCCATAATGAGCATCATCTCGTCCATGGTGGTATCCTCGTCAGTAGCAGGCTCGGCGGCTTGGGCCAAACCGGACGGCACCAACTTTCGCGGACGACCCACGGGCCTCTTCGCCTTCACAGCCTTCTGCGACGGTTGCGACGCCTGCGACGGCTGCGACGGGTGCTGCGATTGTTGCTGCTGCCAGGCGACCTCGGTGAGAGTGAAGAACGACCCCTCCTTCTTGCATCGCTTCGTCTCCAGCGACTCAGCCGCAGAAGCGGGTCCTTCACTCAACCGCCTCTTACGTCCCGCCGACGAATCCACCGCTCCCCCGGTAAAATCACACTCCGAGTCGGAACCCAAGCCCTCGTCTTCTTCATAGTCACTCTCCTCCATCTCAGTGTCCTCGTCAGCATCATCTGCCACGTCATCACCATCGCCGGACTCGTCGTCACTGACCACGTACTGGCGGTGCTTCCGGGTCCTCAGGCCCCGATGCACGAACTCTCCCTCCTCGTACGACTCTGCAGCGTGCGCCTCGGCGGGATGCGACGAGCCGTAAGCCCGACTGCAAGCCCGGCTGTCAACATGACCGAAGCTTGGGTCCGACGAGTCGCCCGAATCTGAGCTCGCAGCCGCGTTCGACGACGCGTAGCGGGAACCGCCGACTGGGAAAAGCTGTGGTAGAGCCGATGTTGCTCCCGCGGCTGTCCCCGCCGCAGCGGACGCCTTTTTCCTTCCGCGGGTGCCTCTCGGGCGGAGAAACTTGGACGGGTCGGCGTTGGGGTCTTCGAACTCCCACCGCGTGGTTCGCAGGTCCAGTCGCTTGCTGTCGCCGTGGTCGCTCACGATCGTGTGCAGCGCCTTCTTCGCGTCGTACTTTTTTCACGAATCCCGCGTGCCAGCGGTTGTCGCGCGGCCACACGACGCGTATCCGCGTGCCTTCGTGCAGGCGAACCGCGGTAGGCTTTTTCTGTCCGCTCTTGTCAGATGAAGTAGGCTTGGCCATCGTAGGCTGTGAAATTACTGTACTGTCAATCAGATTAGAGGAGGAAGGAAAGATATTTGACGAACCGAAAAAACGTGAGCAGAAAGGGCGCAGCTCTAAATGCTACTTTCCTGACGTAGTTGGCTACCTTGAAGGTTGCTTGCAGATTTCAAAAGAAATTGAGGAAGAAGGGCGCGAGAATGAGGAATCTGGAGTTCAGGCTGCAGAAACATGTGTTGTGAGCTTGTGGGTGCTTGGGGCGACAGAAGGATGGGATGTTGGTTTCGTTGTGCGCGAAATCGATGGAAATGGGAGGGGCTGTGTGCACCGATCGCGTTTGCCGGGCTGGCGCTTTCCAGAAGGGCGGACATTGGGATTCGACATTTTGCCGAGGGGCAGAAATTGCGATGGCGCAAAATAAAACTCATCAGGGGTCCTGGATGGGCGGGCGGGGCCATCAGGGTTTGGGTTCGGCGAGCGGCCGATGTGGGGCGGGTTGCGGGTGGGGCGCAGAATGTAAGCTGGGGCTGGCGGCGGGCAGGACAAACTCGGTGCGGCGGATGCTTTGCCGAAGTGAGAATTCCGCGTGGGCAAGCGAGAAAAGGCAATTATCGAAGGGATTGGGATTGCGGATGATTGGGATGTGATGTGACGGGCTCCGAGCGGCACGGGGCCGGGGCGGGCAGGGCAGCTGCAAACGAAAGCAGACAAGCCAACTTCAAGGGGCGAATTTTGGAGCGAAAATCAGCGCCCCTGTGACAGCCTTGGGATTGCGCGTGGCCAGGTAGGGAGGGAGGGAGCTGTCCCAGTTGGCGTGTCAGTCAGACCGCGTCGCGATCAAGCCCAAACCTTCCGTCGGCCTCGGGAGTTTGGGTGAGCTCCCTTGGCTCTTGTGTGGACATCGTACATGTCGGTAGTTGATCGCAAGCCTTCGCAACATCTCGTGAGGTTGTTAGTTCTCTGGACAGTGATCGTTGTGATTCCGCGAGGGTTACACACGTGATAACAGCGGTGCAAGCACACGGGGGCACCGCTGCGACGTAGGTGCTGCGACAGTGTCGCATCGCATCGCCGGGAAGTGTGCTGAGCTGACTGGGAGGCAACTTTGTATCGCGGTTGTTTGGCTCCGCACGGTCTCCTGAGGTTGTGGGACTCGGGGCGAAAAAGAGCTGCACTGTGAGGCTCCCACCGAACTCTGGCTGTGCGGACCAATGAGGAACGAGAGTTTCTGGGGCTTTCGGTGGAATCCGCTAATCACGCGAGCGTTGCACGATCACGCGAGCTCTCGATTTCTGTTGCCAATCGTCAATAGGTGCAAGCCCTGCCCCAACCTGATGTAACGATCCACCACGACTTTCGGCGGCATCCACAACCCTGAGATTGTCAAGTAGGTCAGATCGACTGTTGAGCTATTGTTCTGGCGACCATTCCCGCCACCTTGACACCACCACAAGTCAGACGTGTAACCAATATTGTATTGGCACGTGGACTATATGAGAGTTAGCCTCACGTGTCTCCGTGTTGGCTCCAGCAAACAAAGCTCCATGGCCAAACCAATCACAGACAGGTAAAAATGGCGCACGTCCACCAACCTCCCAACTTGTTGTGCGCCACAAGTTCGAGGTGTTGGAAGAATATCGCCGAAGCTGCCCGAACGTGGGCGTGCTAGTTCGTGGTGGGTGCCTCGTCAGTTTCTCCGATATTCATGAGCACAAACTTTTCACATGAAGTGGATCGCTCCCCGACAGAACGGGCAATTTTTAGGCTGCATCATTTCAAAATTAGGAAAAGCACCCACTAGATTCTGACAATTTGGTAAAGTGTCAGATATCGTTGGCGGGACAAGCATGTCTCCCGCCAGAAGCTTTCCACGGTCTGCCTGAAAACCGCGGGAAAGGCTTGGGAATATTTCCTCGAAACTGACACGAAGTGGAAGCTTTGATTCATTATTGTAGCTAGCCACTAAGACAAGTGATCTGGGTATAAGTTTTAGATTTGTGCCAAGCTTTCCTGCTAGGGTCATTGCACTCTAACACCTCCACGAAAACCTTTGCTTTTACCTCACAACGAGCAAACTCCTTTAAGTCGGCTGTAATCACACTATCAACACTCTTCCACTTGAGCTCCTTTTTCTTCATCGGTTCGAGATCCAGTGCACTGGCGACAGCCAACCGTCCGACTTGACCATTGGATCCATCATTTCCAACATCACTCCCCATCGATATTTTCTTGCCGGTAATTTCCAATGCTGTCATCGCTGCTCCTTTTCGTGCATCCTGTTGGTAGACTTTCGGTGTAGAGCAGCTCACAACACCGCTGCCAATGCATCCAGCAGCACGCCTCGACACATACTCCTTGCAATTCCTCACCGACGTCTGTAAGGGGCTCTGGTGCAGCTTGGATGTAGATAACCTTATCCAAGGATGTAGCAGCGCTTCATTCGCCGTCATCCTCTCCGATCGATTCGGCGTGAGCAATCTGGTCAGAAACTCCAGAAGCTCAGAAGAAGGATCATCTGGCAAACCGTCCACGTCACCAGCCTGTAACCTTAGCCACGTGGCATTCCCGTGAACTTGCTCCGCAGACACGGCTGCCTTCCCCATTGCCACTCTGGGATGCACCCCCCCCACCATCAAGAACAGCACTGCACCCAGACTCCACATGTCTGCAGCCTGAGCGAAGACGCGCTTCTGGGAAACTTCCGGGGCGGCAAAGAAGGGTGTGGTGCCAGGAGAGGGCGAGGCAGCACCTTCAGGAGGAATGAGCATGGCTGACCCGAAATCTACCAAGTGGAGATGCTTGGATGATGTGCTGGGGAAGAGAATGTTAGTCGGGTTCTGTTGGCGAGGGGGAGAGGGAAGGAGGGTGCGCAGGGCTTTTACAAGCAAGCAGATCACATGGCGGCCTTGAGCAGTCTCAAATGGATGGGGGAAATAAAGAATAGGAGCAGACGTGGGAAAGAGAGTACACGTGGGAGAATCGGTGAAGGATAGGAATTGGAAAGAAGGGAAAGGGGATGTTAACAGAGTGGAGTTGATAGAAGGTGAGCGGTGCAAGGGGTTGAAACGAAGGAAAGAGCTGCAAGATCCCGACTCCCACTTCGCCCCTACCCCGACCCGACCAAACAGCCCACACATCTGGTTTCAGAGTCCCAACACACACACATCACTATTGACGCGACTTACAACATCAAGGTGTGCGATCCCTTTGGAATGAAGATATGCAAGAGTCTTGAGCAAATGGCGCACTGGAGGATAGCACAAACCAACATTGAAGCATGCAACGAAATAGCTTTATCAGATGTCCAGTTTCAGAGAAATACACATCTTGCTCACAAACGCCTCCGGATTTCCCCATCAATGTTTGGTAAGAGCAGCTGACCACGAGTGGCCGATGCCACGTTGCTGCTCACCAATGACTGATGCATGGCGCTCTGAGAACTTGGGCCGGGACGCAATGTGCGAAAGGAGGTCCCCTCCAGCAACCAAGGGAGTGACCAGGAAGAGGAAGCGGGTATCCTCAAATGTGCCCAGCACAGGGAGTAGGCCAGGGCAGGCTGAGACTGAGGCAGAATTGTGTGCAGCCGGGTTGGATGAGTCAGTTGAAGCAGGACAAACAGGGTCGGCAGAGGAAGGTAACGACCCTGTTATCACAGTGGAACCGGTACCGCCACTACTGGTGGCGGCAGCGGTAGTGCTGCTGGTGGTTGTGCTGCTGCTACTGCTAGCGGCAGAAGTACCGGCGGCAGCAGCACAGCTCTCATCGTTCTTGTCTGATTGGTTGCTGGCTTCACCGCGCTGCAGCTGCAAGCATCCAAACGAGGAGGAATAAGAAAGATAACAACAGGAGGCCACAACAGGCTGAAAAGCACTAGAGGCGTGGAAAGCTTGGAGACCCGGATTGGTGACAGGATTGGAAAGTTCACAACGGCTGGAGAAAACCGTTTCAACGATGGCATGCATTACGAGGCTCATGCGAACCAGCCGCACCCAGCCGTACCCAGCCATGCCAGGTAGCACAGGCCGGCCAGGCATGCCGAATTCAGGATGCGCGTGCAGCATAGATGGTAGGGAAAGGGGCTTACTGCAAGAAGGATCTCAATCTCAGACGCCTGGTTGGGCGGTAGGCAGCGGCACCAGCATGTGGGAGGAGGGAGGAGAGGGAGTGAGTGGGGAGGGGTTGGAAATGAGGCAGGCAGGAACAGGAATCACATTGACCTGCAACCAGAGTGCTTTCAGCAGGGCGAGAGAGATTGATGAAAAAGAAGCGAAGTAAATGCGTTGGCCCTTTGTCAGCCTCTCATCCCTGCCGCACTCTCTGCTCTCCACCCAGCGTTCATCATCCTTCCTCTGCTCTCGCTTCGCGCGTTGTCCCCTCCCAATGCTCACCGTGCTCACCACTCACCCGATAACCTTCTCCCTTCATTGCTGTCACAATCCGCTTCGATATCATCTTCACTGCCACGTGGGTCCCACTCAGCCTGTCCACGCCCACCCTGCACGCGATAGAGTCACCATAAAATACAGGCCAAGATTGCGAGTGAGTGTTTTTTTCCGTCGCTCGCGATGAGACAACTGAGTCTGAGTTTCAGAACCAAGCGGCGTCAAGATGCGCATGGCATCGTTACTGCCATGTCCATCGCTCAGACTCTGAGTTTTTCCACTAATCTGAGTTTTTGAAGAGATTTCTCAGGAAACACCAGGACCTAGCAGGACCAAGCAGCGTCGTCTGGAATGCTATGCGCATCGTTCGGGAGGCTCACCAAACGATGCTTGTCCGACCCTCCCCAAGGACGTCTCTTGTCAGGCGATAAGCCCGTCGCACGTCCGTCGCATGGCCGACTTTGAGACCGCGAGGCTCGAGCCACGGAAAAGACGACTCGTCCTTGTCCTCCCAGTCCTCTAATGCCCGGTGTTTGGAAGAGGCCGAACCCATTCGCGCAAACTTCATACAACGATCATGGGCACGTATCTACATAAGGAGGCCCGACGAGGCGCGAGGGATAATTGTAGGTTGAGCTGTCTTCCTAGTAAACCAAACAGGAATGGCTTTCCTGAACTAGGATATGTAGCATTTGAATGGGAGGAGCGTACATGTGAGAATTGTACTAGTCCGGGAAAATGTACAAGCATTGTAGGTTTCGACGTGATTCCTTTACCGCGGATTTCAGCAGATGCTTCTGTGGAAGGCTTGGAGACGTGCGAGTCGCAGGAGCCTCAAACGTTCCGTGATGTCGCACATTAGCTTCGCCAGGGGCTCTAACGAGGTGGAACATGGACAAAACACGAGGTGTGCGAGGACCTGGTTACTGATGGGTGTTTGTATGTCCTTGTCCATTCTCAACTGCATTGCTACAGTACATTCGCCACCGTGATTTTGGATGTGGTCGGGCAGCTTGGTTGTTGACGGCACAGGTTTTCTCCTAGCGTCATTGCGAAACGAAATGTTTCTCAACTTTTTTCTGCATTCGTCCTCATTTTCCCCCAAATCATTTGTTTTAGGGGGGCCACCCGTGTGCATCTGTCGTTGACACTAGGTACGGATGCTGTTTCCCCAACTGCGACTGCAGCTGGCTGGGTTGCCGTTCAGTGGCAGAAATTTCCCCCTTTTAGGTTGGGAGAAAAGGTTGGGAGGGGAGAGGTGGGGAATTGGGACGACATTTGTAAAACCGCACTATACCGCTTTTAGCCGTTCTATCCACTCACAGACCGTACTTTCGCGCTTTGTTGGAAAGCTATGCTAGAGGCCGTGTGGAGCTACTGTGGTCAGCCATTTGCCATCAGTCTCTGGTGATCAAGTTTCAGCAGCCATAGTATCACCTAGCTAACGATTAAATTGTGTGGGCCACGAGAACAGGGGAACATCATGTGTCTCCGATTAAAATGCTGACTGTGCACGCTCCGCATCCGTCAAGTTCACTTACAGACAAGGGCTGCGGAATGGGTTGCTTTTGTTTTGGGAGTTCTGCGAATAAAGAGCCTGCTGGCAAAGCTGAAGGTACATCTGACTGGAGTAGAGTAACGAGCAGATAAAAACGCTTCGACCATTCCGTATTGATTCCGAGCATTTTCTTGTAACGGTTAGACGAGCACACATCAGTTTTCGTTGTCAGTGTGTCAGATTGGTGTTGGAATGATGTGAATGACAAGTTTAGGAGGTTAGCTTCCAAACGGAAATCGAGCGGTCCCGGTTTCTGCAATGTGGACTCCCTCACCAGCTTTATCGCTACTCTCAATGTTCCCTTTCAGAGCCTAAAGTGGAGGAAGAACCGGTCATTATTGAGGAACCAGAAGAGCAGATAGTGTATGCTGGTATTCAAGATAGAGCCATATGGAACTGTCCTGGAGCCCGACACATCTCAGGTAACGTGAAAGAGTCCTGGAACTGCCATATCGCGTTTCATTTTTTTGTGTGGTCGTTCTGGAGCTGTATGTAAGTGAATGCAACCTAACGGAGGTTGGTTGTTTGTTCAGGAGATTTTTCGATGGCGGTCTGCCAGGCGAACGCGATACTCGAAGATTTTTCCATCGTCCAGAGCGGAAATTTCGGGACATACGTAGGGGTTTTTGACGGACATGGCGGCGCCCAAGCTGCAAGCTTTCTCAATGACAACATGTATTCCATATTAAATAGTAAGATATTGAGATTCACCGCTTACCATGCAAGCATACGCTCATCTATCGGTCTGGCAAGGCAGCTCTTCCTTGTCTGTTTGCTCAAGGTAGTCTATCGCGTTTTGCCTGCAGGAGTCACAGAGGAAGCTGGTGGACCGAGTGAAGAGACTTTCAGAAAGGCTTTTGAAGAGGCAGAAGCACAATTTTTGGAAGTAGTCAGAGAAAACTGGAAGATGAAGCCAATCTTTGCAGCAGCAGGCTCTTGTGCAGTTGTTGGGTTAATACACGCATCCACTCTTTATATCGCTTCAGTGGGCGACTCTAGAGCAGTTGTCGGCTCAGTTGATCCCGATGGTGATGGTACTTCTCTACGAGCAGAGGAGGTCTCGGAAGAGCACAGTGCTAGCTGTGAGAAGACCAGGCAGGAGGTCAAGGACATGATTCAAGGGGACGACAATATTCTTGTTGAAAAAGGTGGCGTTTGGCGTGTGAAGGGGATTATCCAGGTGAGGCATGCATTCCTTGTGAATGTTTAGTTTCTATTTTCAGATTCTGTAGCCTGACCATGCTCCTTCTCGTTTGCAGGTAACGCGGTCGATTGGAGATTTCTACTTGAAGCATCAAGAGTTTCAAAACAACCCGTTGTATACTCGGTTTCGCTTGATGGAACCCCTCACTACTCCAGCTCTCATCTGCCAGCCGTCAGTCCTTGTGAAGCCGTTGACTGAGAAGGATCGCTTCGTTGTCTTCGGTTCGGATGGGCTTTGGGAAAACGTCTCAAATGAGGAGACGGTGGAGCTCGTGTCAAAATTCCCAAGACTGGTGAGTTTATGCATCCACTAATGGCACTAGCCACTTTTCTCAGCGGTTAGTATCCTGGATTTGAGTTAAACTACGCAGCAAGAGTGGAAGTCTTAGGTGGTCTTGTTCCAGCGCATATTCTGTTTGGTGCATACAGTAAGTATAATCACTGTATTTGGCCTTGGCGGCACATCCGTAATGCGCTCCGAGAGCTTTCCATTACTCATTGGTACCTAACGTTGGCACCCACCCAGATGTTTCACTGGAATTGCACTCTCCCGTTGCCCTCCACATGGAGGTCGATTCATAAGTTCGTTATACACAGTTGGGTGGCTGTTTCTCACAACACCCCCAGTGCATGCAGTTAGTGCTTCCTAGTCCTTGCATCCTAATCTGGAAATGGTTCTCTTTCTTCATGTGCTAAGAGGTTATCTTGGATGGAACGTTTTTTTGGTGCAGGGAATAGCAAGGCGCCTGGTGAAGCTTGCCATGGTTCGAGCGGCAAAGAAGCGGAAGCTGACCTATGGTGATTTGAAAACGCTGGGACCGGGTCGGAGACGACAGGTTCATGATGACATCAGTGTCGTGGTTCTGTTTTTAGACAATGCTGGGGGGAAGAGCAAGAAGAAGCCGATTGCTGACATCACGGTACGATCTTATCAGCCACTCACACCCCGGCCAGATGATGGTTCAGTTCCACCAGAGGAGGACATTCCAGATGATTTTGAGTTTGGGGCAGAGAGCAGCAGTGCCACTGATGCGGATGGAGCTGCTAGCACACCAGCAGCAGAGTGATAATCTGACATAGTCACATAGGCCAACCATTGACCAAGAGAATACGCAACGAGTTCAGTCTAGTTGGGGCTGGGTAATGTGCCAGCTTTTATTCGAATGCCAGGTATTATCTAGGGTAGTTGCTGCTCTACTGACATGCTAGGAACACCTCTTTATGGCAAAAGGCCAGGAAGCCAGTGAACCAGTTACTGCGTTAAGTTTTCTTATACCGTATGTTATGCCAGCATCCCAATCGAATACATAGGTAATTATGTCACAGAACTGCCTTCCAGGCCCTCAGATTGCAGGAATTTTACCCTGATTTGGGCTTTGAACACTGATTTTCAGGGTGTTTTGTGGACCCAGCGCTGATGAGAAAGTTTTTTTTTTAATGCCTATCCTGATTTTCAAGCGTGTTTTTTCGTACCAGGTCTGATTTTCCAGCGTGTTTTTGCTTGGGGACCCTGAATCGATTCACACAGTAGAGGGTACAGGAGTAGTTGCGAAAATGCCTAGATTCAGTTGATCCGGAAAAAAAAAAATCCCGCCATTCCGCCGTCACCGTCATTAACGGGAAATGGCATCTTTACTGTATCCACACACGTACCAGTCTTGATGTGTTGTCGCCATCATCTCTCAGGCTTGCATGTGATTGGGCAGTTTCAGGTAATTACACACCGTGCCCAATCACATGACCAGTGCTGGCAAGATTCCACTACGTCACGGTCGAAACTCGTGACGCTGTGGAATCGTGCTGGAAACGGGGCACATACATCCCATTTCGTGGATGGCCCATAGGGGACCATCCACGCCTGCATGGAGGCTTTTGTTTGAGGGTGTCAACCAATCACCAACGAGGTGTGGTGACCCTCCCGTCCCCATCCCTTTCACCCCATTCTTGAGCGCCGTGTGAGATTAGGTGAGCTTCGATCTCCCTGCTGTTTCTCGGCTGACTCTCCACTCCTCCCTCCATCTCTCGTCCATACTCCCGCCATGGCTGGACCCGTTGATGGTGCTCCTGCCGATGACGATGCTGACGACATAGAGGTCGAGATAGCACGCACGGGCCTAGACCTGTTGCTGTGTTCCCTCTCTAAACCAACCATCCCACCTTGTAGCAAGAATCCGCCCGTCACTTCAGTTACGGCTGTTCCCACCGTCACTTCCGCCCCACCTGACTCAATCGTCGCCCCAGCTAGTAACACCGCCACGCCAACCAATGTCACAGACCCAGTACCCACTACGGTACCCGCAACCGAGCCGTCAACACCAGCAGCACCGTCCCCGGCTTCTCCTATGGATACATCTCCATCACTTCCACCAGGTTTTGAGATGACGTCCCCGTCATCTCGGCCCGTTCCACCTGCATCGCAACCAGCTGCTCCCGAAGCGGCGTCCCCTGCAGGTCGGCCCGTTCCACCTGCATCTCACCCTCACGCAGCTGCATCGGCGTCCCCGGCTTGTCCAGACGAAGTTGAACTTCCTTCGCCCCTCATCTGCGCCACCGACAGCACCCACCAACGTGCCCACTCCGCCCGTACTCGAAGCTGCAGCCTCGAACCAGCCGTCAGTTCCTCCCGAGGAGCAGTATGCCATTGCTCTTGAAAGGTTCAAAACGCGCTGGCAAGGTCAATTCGCCTGGTTGCAGCTTGTCAAAACTTCTACTGGTCACCCTGCCTTCAAGTGTTCTTTGTGTACAGAACATTCAGGATTGACTGGCAAGACCGGCAAGTGCACCGAAGGGGCAGTCGACGTTCAAAAGCAGGCATTCACGCGTCACGCAGCCACGAACAAGCACAAGCTCGCGAAACAACGGCAGGATCAGCTCGTTGGCGCGACGAGGCAGCCGCGGATTGACGAGCATCCACTGGCGCACGACAGCGAGAAGCTCCGAGTGGTGAATCTGATGGATGCCCTACTCTTTGTCAGCAGGCAAGATGCACCAATGGATCTGTGGGTGGGATTGGTCCGTTACATGGCTGAGAAGGGAGTCCCGGGATTCCCAAAGAAGGGATACGGGACGTACTACACAACGTAAGTCCGTTTCCTTTTTTGGATTGCACCGTATTATCTTGTGATGGCCCGGGCTAACCCACATGATCTTGTTTGCCTGTCAGGTATGGATTCGGGGAGCTGACTCAGTCTATGGCAACGTGGCTGCAGACTACACAGCTCGAGGAGATCCTGGCAAGTCCCTACATCAGCATCTCATGCGATGAGAGCACCGATCGATGCAGAGGCAAACACCTCATCTTGTTTGTCACGTTCATTCGCAACTCACGCCTCGCCTGCGAGTTCATGGCTCTGCTGACGGTCGACAAGGCGGATGCGGCTTCGCTGTTGCAGTTGTTGCTGTCCCACCTGCAGGCGTGCGGTGTTGACCTGAGACGCATCGTGGGCATCAGCACGGACGGGGCGTCCGTGATGATGGGAGCACGGTCGGGGTTGGTTGCAAGGTTTCGGCTACGCATACCGCACCTCGTCTCTTGTCATTGTATTGCACACCGGTAAGTTAATATCCTGCTCCAGGGTTTTGACTGATCTGTTCGGTGATATTGTTCTAATACACTGTCCCTGTGTGTTTGCCGCAGGGAAGCTCTTGCCGCTAAGGATGCTGCCGAGAGCTTGCCTGTCTTCAACATGATCGACAACACGGTCCGTGCCATCGCCGAGCATCTGGGCCGGTCGGGTCCATGGCATCAGCGCTTCAAGGACCTCCAAGAGGTTTTTACCGAGACCTTTCTGGAGCTGCAAGGGATTCACACCGTACGGTGGCTATCACGTGGTGATGCCATCGCCAGGTTTGTGGCGGTCCTGCCGGCAGTCATCACGATGCTGAAGGAGTGGAATGACAAGCTGTACAAGGTGGTGACGTCGTTCCGGTTCCACTTTCTCCTGTTCTTCCTTGCCGACGTGCTTGACCAGATGAACGTCCTGAGTAGGACGTTCCAGCGACGAGAGGTGCGTCCACGTAGGTTAGACTTGCATGGCCATTGTCTATGCGTTCTGTCTGTATTTTAACTGGTGTTTCTTATAAAATATGGCGCCTAATTTCTGCCACCTTGCTTCCATTCCTTCCCCCACAGCTTGATCTCTCAGCTGTGCACACGCAGATCCGCCGTACAACTGGACATCTGGAGGCCCGTTACGTCGACTGCGAGGACGAGTTTGGCGGAGGGCTCAGTCCAAGGCTCTCGCCATGGCTTGAGAAGCACGGCCCCGAAGACAAGCGGGAAGTCTGCATCGAGGGCAGCGACTCGGACGGGCAGGCATGCACCTTCACGTTCATACTGCATGAGGATAAACTTGACGACTACCCCGGACCTGGGCACCAAGACGCATGCATCGACATCTGCACCGAGTTCGCTGAGCTCATCGTGGCCAACCTCCTGGATCGGTTGGGCGACCTCGACAAGCTCTCGGGCGTGGGCTTGTTCACCCCCGACAATTGGCCGCACGGCAGGCACGAGCGCCAAGCGAAGTGTCAGGAGCATCTTGAGGCGCTGATCACTCTCTTCCGGGCGGAAGAGTGCGAGGAGATCATACCTGGTGAGCCCGATGCCTTGTGTGTGCATGCTGTGCCTCTCCATCCTTGTGCCATGTCGGATTTCTTATCAACCACTATGTTTCCATATCCATGCTTGGTTTTCTAACTGCAGGTGTCGACAAGAAGAAAGCAGTCAAGGAAGTGCGACTGCTAATCCCCGTCCTTTCACGTGCACCGAAGGGTGAGCGAGGATTCCACACTGGTCTTACCGCCATGCTCAAGACCGACGACTGGCAGCAGCACTACCCGAACCTGGTGCGGCTGTGGGTGGCGGTGTCGGTCCTGCCGTTGAGCACAGTCGAATGCGAGCGCGGCTTCTCGCGGCAGAACGTCATTAAGTCCTGGCAGCGAGGCAGCCTCAAAGATGCTAGGCTTAGTGACTTGATGGGCATGTCCCTGCTCCGTTACAAGCCCAACTGGGACGAAATAGTCGAGATCTGGCGTAACTACAAGAAGCGGAAGCCGCTCAACACCTGCAACATCTCCAGGCAGGAGGCAGATAGGAGGCGTCGGGGGAAGGAGGAGGCAGAGGCAGGAGACCAGGCCAACCCTGTAGACCTAGATGAAGAGGAGGATGCAGCAGGTGCAGCTGACGGTGGTGATGATGAGGATGCGATGTGGTATTAGTAGTAGTGGTTGTATGCGATTGTTAGTGGTATTCGCTTGCTGAGCTATAATGAATCAATCAGCGTGGCAATTGTTGTCGACTCTGATTAGAAAGTTTTTTCCCAGAGAGCACCCTGATTTTTCAGGGTGTTTTCACATGGCGACACTGACAGAAAGTTTTTTTTTTGGTACTAACACTGACCAGAAAGTGTTGACAAAAACCAATCTGAGGCCCTGCTGCCTTCCTTCCATGGGTATCATAACCTACAAATCATTCTGCCATGGTAGCATAACTCCCCTTTGGTAGATTTGCAGATGCTGCTCGGCCTATGATGAATGTTGCCAGGGAAAAAACAAGCCCGAAGATGGCATACAAGAAGGACCGATCCATCGAAAAGCCATACAGCGTGATGGCACATGGGCAATGCTGAAGATACGTCACTGCACATGTTCATTCCAATCGTCAGCAATGTGTATTTGGACGACTCGATCAGAGTGCCAGGAGCAGACTTACCGAATGCAGCCCGCTTGTGGAAAGCATCACTTTCGTAGTTTTTGGGCTCTTTCCCAATCTCTGCAACATCTACCAAAGTTGCGACACCTGATCCAACTCGGCGAAGCATCTTGATCAAACCTTGGCCAGGAACACATAATTTCTTCACCTCCACTTCAGCTTCGGCACATTGGGAACGGGCCATGCCATCGCTTCCTCCATCCAATGGCGTTTTGAGCGCCTGCCTTTCACCATCACTACCCATGAAAGGGTTTCCTGCAGGCACTAGAGGTTCCTTGTTCCCATCTACTGCAGTGGAAGCCAATGCAGCTTGTACATTGGAATATCCAGATCGGCCAGGCTGCATGTTCAATGTCTTGGGTGCTAATGGTGAAGGTGGCTGTGCAAAATTACCAGCATGCATTGCGCGGTGGACACTGGATAGCAGAGGCAATGCCAGGTGCTGGGCTGCTGCGCGAGGAGGGGTTGTCACTGGGGCAATGGACGAAAAAATATCGGAGCCTCTAAATGACGCTGTTGGCTCATTGCTGCCTGACGTGTGTAAAATCTCCATGGAAGATCCAGCAAAGGTCCGGCAAGTGGCTGCTGCATGCCACTGGCTGACGACTGTGACAATTTTTTGACCTTGATGGGTTATACGTGCAGCACCATGCAGACAGAGAAGCACACCCGCGAGCTGAACATATGCGCAGACCTGCACAGCCAGAGAATCTTGGTCAGCTCCAAGAAATTCATCAAATTGCATCTGGTTGTAGAAGAGCTTTTCAACCATGAGGTCAGTGGCTTGAGGAATTGGAGTAGGCCCGTGTAGTCGCAGGAATGAGAACAATGCAGAAAATTGTGAAGCACACACAACGAGAAGAACCTTCAACAGGAAGTTACGAAACTGGTGACTGATTGTCGCCATGTGATCTCTCAGCTGCATGTGATGGCTCAACATCGCAGCCACATCAACTTCGTCTTCAAGACGTTTAATATATGCCTGCCAATGCATGAAGCCATTAACAGCAGTGACGTTCCAGTATAATTTTGCATGAGATGTAGACAACTGCCAGATAACTCAGAACTCACCTGAATTCGGATAGCTTGAACTGAGCACATAAAACGAAAGAGAACACAAACAAACAAATAAACAAGGGCCTGGTAGACCCAAGAGAATTCCAACAGAACAATCCATGCTGTGGCCATGCTTGCGTTTGTTATTCCGCCTGCGTTGCCGGAACCAAACGGGGATGATGTTTCAGCAGAGGCTAACCATATGGCATTCTTCAGTGTCTTGATAAGCAAAGCAGGTAGGATTAGCAAAATCAGCGATCTCACGAGTTTCTGCACAAAAATAACTCTACATGTAGTGCAATTTGAAGCAGCATATTCCTGGAAGTAAACACTAAGACGCATCAATGCCCAAAAGAAAGCGGCGACACTTACTTGGAGCTCAATTGGATACTTCCTCTGAACATCGGCAGTGTCTGCTGTAAACACGAAATCTAGCTGTAATACCTGTCTCAACCCCGGATGTTGCTGCATCCTTGTCAGGAAGGTGAATGACGCGAAGCACAGGATAGTGTCAATGCAGGTAATTAGTCGCTTGAACGAGTGGACTTGGCCAGGACAGGTATCATCAGTGGAACGAACGGTTGCGAATGATATTGCAGGGATGAGGACGCCAAACATCAGGAAGCCAGTCCACGAACATATGGAGCTCCAGGTTCCTGATTGGTCAAGACAGAGCCATTGAATGCGAGATACAAACAGGTCAAATTCCCGAGAGGCTCGAGAAGGCTGACGAATGAGCTTCATGCATGGAAACGGCCTCAGAATCCGCTCTTTTAGAGAGCGACGAGTAAGGGAGGTCGCACAGCAGGATGTGCTACTTGAACGTGAGCTGCTTGCGGAATCTGATGGTGTATGCGGAACGTTCTCAGCTCCCTCATGTTCGGGATCTAGTATTGTGCAGCTTGTGTCAGAGGTACGATTCATCGAGTTGCTGCTGGAAAGGCATTTTCCATCTGGTAACACAACGGTCTGGTCATGCTCAGCAATGGCTGCCTCCGTCATTCTCATGATGCTCACATAAGGACTACAACCAGTCTCAGAAGATTCTGAATCACGTGAAGTGGAACTGCCGCTGGAGCTAGATGCAGCTGAAGCCCAGAACGGGAAGCCGTCATTGGCTGTAGGCGAACGCGCGAACCCAGAACATCCGAAAGGATCTTCGACATCAGCGATTGCTCTCGACATCCTTCTGGACGTTTTTAGAGTAGCTGACAAGGAGTGAGACGAGGTGTACTCTAAACCTAGCTTGGAATAAACTATGAATTCTTCATGGCAAACAAATGCTGGGAGAATGAAATTGCAAAATGAGGAGTGCTGCTTGATTGTAGGAGCTTCTGAATTGCTTGGCCTAGGCCTGGTTCCGAGTCTGTCGGCATTTGTTCACATCAGGGGCAAGGTGGGATGGGAGGGGATAGGAGATGGGATGTTGGGAGGAGTCCACTGCATGCAAATGAAGCCCCGCGTAAGAGAAGATGTAGATGGCAGTGAAGTCATTTGAGCTGTACAATCTGACTTGACGGGCAGCACGTTCAGCTACCTTTTCATGGCTCAGCGAATCAGCAACCGACACAGCCCCTCTGGTCACCTGCCCGCCCCTCTCAAGATGCCCAGGCTCAACAACACCAGCCTTCAAGCCCAACCAAACCAACCTCGGAAAGGTCGCTTTGAGCTCTAAACCGTTCTACCCCTCTGCGCCCTTCATCCTTCCTCTGCAATCCTCTGTATCCGCTGTAATACTACTGCTATTCGCTTATGTTCATCCGTTATTCTGACTGGCCCCTTCGGCATCACCTAGATTCAGAAATGAGTTTTATAAGGAGGCCATGCACACAAGTTGATCGTCACGCCAGCTGCTTTGTAGCATGCCGTTCTAGGAGGTCTCATCCATGCTCAGCTTTGTGAGAGAGGAGCGACGCGATTCGATGCAGACAATGCGGAAGGGAACCATGTCTACGCCTCGGTTCAATCACCGTGTGAACATATTTACTGGGGAACCACCACAGGATGAACCAGTGTTATACCCTGTTTACTGGTTCTTCGGCTTACAACTCCACTGCTCCTTACCTGACTACTCTCTTTCGCCTGGTCCCCGCATAACGCTCCCACGCACTTCTTTGCACAGACCACTACAAGCGACATGGCTACTGGATCAGTCTCTGTATGGTGGGATTTGGAAGGTTGTCCCATCCCCAGGGACCTTTCCCCAGAAGATGTCATCGAGAACGTCAACAGATTCCTTGAGATGAAAGGGATTCACGAGGCTTGGAGCATGAACATATTCGGCAGCGATTTCCTTGTGAATCTGGCGAGCAGCCTTGTTCCTAACGTGAAGCTGCATCAGTATCCTCCAGGTCAGCTGGGTTGTTTTCTTGTTTAATCTTTTCGATTTATTTTTTTCCCTGTGCACTAAATAACTTCCTCCCTTCTCGTGCCTCGTGTGTGTGTGACAGGTGAAGCAAGGATTCACGAGGCTATCCTCTTCTGGGCACTTGATGCACGTCCACCAGCAACTGTTCTTCTTGCAGCAGCTCTTACGCCTGAAATTTCCCGCGTTTTGATGGGCCTGCAGCACCGAGGTTTTCGTGTTATCCACGCTTACCCATCAGCCGTCAGTGTTGAATCTCCTAGAGGTTCCAGTTTCAAACTTCAAAATCCAGCAGGTCTACCGGACGTGGAAATTGTGGATTGGGAATATGTCTCGGCGGGATTTTCGTCGCCTGACAAGCTCAGCTTGTCCAAACATCCTCTGACCGACGTGACACCACGGAAATTGCTCCAATACGTCATGCAGTCACTGGAGTACGACAAGCTCCTTCCCAGCGACTTCAACGTGCAAGCGCGCCTCCGCTATGTCATGGCAAAGCAAGGCCTCAAGGACATCCCTGGGTGGTCATCGTGGAAATTTGTTGAGAGGGCTCTTGCAGCTGGGGAAATTAAGGTCATGTCGGAAGAGTGTAACGATGTATATCTGCCCAAGGGGAAGGACACATGCTGGCCGTGGATTGACCCTTCGTTCCCCTGTAATGTGTACGAGGATAGCATCTGGCTGGCGTTTCAGAAGTACCTTCTTGCTGAAGGACGATGGGCAATGGAGTCTTCCAAAAGCAGGTAAATCAGCCCTTTTTCTGTTATTTTGATTTACTCTCTCAACCTCGTCTTTTTGTCCACTGTTTCAGCCCCCTTCATTGTGAGAAACCTTTTTGTGAACCAGGATTTTTTTGCCAGCACCACAAGCTGATTTTTCTTTTTCCATGATTACTCTCCCACCTTTTCCAGGTATCATGCAGCAGAGACTTTGAAGATAGAGGGACCTCAGGAGCTAAAGCAGCTGGTGATGGGGCAGCTAATCCACGTGGTGCAGCTCTCAGTCACTCTTCGAGGTTGGCTGAAACCTCACCCCACCAAGTGGTCTCCTGTGCAAGTGACCGTACACGAGCCTTCTCCTCTTCTGCACCCAGGGGCCCTTTTGTCGTCAAAGTCACTTTCAACTGCGCGACTCTCTTCAACAAAACCCTCAGGCTACAGTGCTGCGGCGGGAGAATCGAATGCATGGTTTCAACCTGAATCCAGCAGTCGATGGACGAGAGCTGGAGGCAGCAGTGTGGGAGCAAGTGCTCATTGGGGTCCTATCGCTGCTTCAGCCTCCCCAACAAGGCTGAGTCTGGCAGCAATTGCCTCGATTGTTTCCAGGCCAGGCCTCCCGTTGCGTAACCTGCTTGAGAGAGAGCTGGCTGAAGTCAAGCCAGAAAGCCCTCCTGCTGGAAGTCCAAGGCCCAGACAAGGCAAGGAGCATGGGGAGGAGCAAGAAATTCAAGGAGCATGGGAACAGGGAAAGGAGCGCGGGAGGGCGCAGCAGTGGGAGCAAAGGCATGGTGCCAGTGGCATGGGTGAGCATGAGGTGCCAGTGGTGCCAGTGAAGCCATGGGATGAAATTCTCAAGGTGGCTGCATCCCCTTCTGAGGGAGCGACAGGGGAGGAGCGTAGTGCCGCCTGGGAAGAGGAACGACCCAGAGGCAGCTGGAGAAGCACCCCAAGGTCAGCAGCAGCAGCAGCAGCAGCAGCAGCAGTGGATGTAGTTGAGTCACCTGTCAGCTCTCCTTCCCCCATGTCTTGGCGCCGCAGGCAGAAGCTCCAGGAGTTCCGTGACTTCGCTGCCAGGGTGCTGCTGAGCCAGCCGCATGGAATCCAGTTGGATCAGCTCCAGAGGGAGTGTGCGCGGAAAATGCCGCGAGGATTCAACTCCGAGGCGCTGGGATTCGCAAGTCTGAGGGATGTGCTTGAGAGCATGAAGAATCTGGCTCGGCTGGAGGCGTTCCCTGGAGGGTTCGTGTTGGTCTTTGCCTCTGATGAGCTGAAAGGCGCAAACCTAGAGGGGTGTTCGTCGCCTCTTGCCAGGGCTGTTCCTGCATCACCCTCTGCTGCCACATCAGCCACTTCCTCTGATCCTGTGTCTGCTGCACTTCCTTCTCCAAATCTAGGATTTTCCTCTCATCCACCCCTTGCTGCTGCTGGTCCTGCCGCTGCTGCACCTAGTGGCAGCACACCCAGCAGTGCTCTTCACCCGTCCGCTCCCACTACTCCACGTGCCTCACCTCCCCCTGTTCCGAAGCCCCGACCCGAAGGCTATCGCCGCTTCGACACCAGCTGGGGTGGTGAATCCTCTTCACCGTTCTCCCCACGCTCTTCTCCACACTCCTCTTCCCTTCGCTACAGAGAGCCGCCCTCTTCAGAGTGGAAACCCACAAAGGAGCGTGCCCTGGCGCCCTCATTCTCATCACCCCTGAGTCCTTTCACAAGCCTGCCCTCACCTCGTTCCCTCGATGCATCACCGTCTCCTCGACCACTTGGAGCATTCAGAGCACATCAGAGAAGGCCATCTGTGCTGGGAGAGGAGGAGCAGTTTGGGATCAAGGGAGGGAACCAGCTGTGGGATGACGGTAAGGGTTGGGGCGAAGGAAAAGATTGGGGCGTTGGTGGTGGGTTGAGGGAGGAAGTTGCTGCACTGGGGTCTCCTGCCGGTAGCAGATGGCGCACTGAGGGGAAGTGGAGGGAGGTGAGGGAAGTGAGAGATATTCGTGAGGTGAAGGAAGTGGAGGAGGTGCGAGAAAAGGTGAGGGATGAGGTGATTAAGGGGAAACAGGAATCACCTGGAGCTGTTCACCCTGAAGCAGGACCCTTCATGCAGCCAGCCTTGTTCTCCTCCTCCTCCACTGCCACCTCTGATGCATCAGGTTCATCATCCATCTTGAAAACCCCGTCGTCTGTGTCAGATGCAGGTGTCTCTACACTTCGCAGCAGGGCAGTGCCACCGCCGCGCCTTGAGCTTCCACTAGCAACCATCGCTGCAGAAAACGTGACAGAAGGCAGCAAGGGGAACCTCACAGAGAGCAGCAGGTCGGCCAACGCATCAGCACCTGCAAAAGGAAGAGCGGCAGATGGAGGGAAGGCCAGAGCGAGTCACAAGGCAGAGCTGATGAGGAGTGATCTGAGGCAACTGCTACAGGAGGTGCTGTCGAAGCCAGGCTTGCACAAGACAGGATACCAGCTCGCATTCCTCAAGGGTGCTTTCCTGCAGAAGTATGCGTACCCACTGGATCACACTGTGCTTGGATATCCCAAGCTGAAGGCGCTGCTGCTGAGCATGGAGGACGTTGTCAATGTTGCGGCCGCTCCTGGGGGACATGGGGTGCTCTTTCCTGCCAAATTTCCACCATCTCCTGCTAAATCTCTCCAGTCTCCTGCAGCAGCATCGCCATCGGTGTTGCCGTTGTCATCAACATCATCAGCCTCGTCAGCAGTTTCAGCTGCAGCGGCAGCGGCAGCAGCAGCAGTGTCGGCATCAAGGAGAGCCCATAACAAGGCGTCAGAAGCAGGTGTGCAGACTGCTGAGGTGGCACTGAAGGAGGTGGTGAAAGCTGCCACGCACTGGCAGGTGAAGGCGCAGCATGTTGTCAAGGGGAAAGAGGCTGCAACCTCAGCTGCACCCGCAGCTGCACTCTCAGCTGCGCCCTCCCGTACTGCACCTGTATCAAGCCCTTTGTCGGCATGTCTTCCTGAAGATGAGCACTCGGTGTCAGCTCCAGACCCTGGAAGCCCCGTGCATGAGCAACCCATGGAGGTGTCACCCATTGTGGTGGAGGGCACGGAAGAAGGGGATGAAGGGTCACCGGAAGTTGCGGCTCTGGTGTTGGCTAGTTTAGAACGGAAGCGGGAGGGTTCTGCTCCTGTAGCAACTCATGCTGATGAGGATGACGTTGATGCCAGGGAAAGGGGTAGGTGGTGTTCAACCATGTAAACTGCAGCACCTTCTTTGCTGCTCATTTTGTAGAAATTGCATGGACGAATTGGTTTTGTGGATTTTTTTCTGGAAATTGTAGGATCTGAATATACTTCAATTTCACTGTATTCTTCCTTCTTCTGTCTATATCTTTGCTTACTCAGCCCCACAGTGCTGGAGCTTTGCTGGCCTAGCCCGGCAATGACGTGTCGGCCCTTCACATGCTGGCACTGCTCCACTCTTGTGCGTGGCGAAATTCCGAGGCGAAACTCCCCTGCGACACGTCCGCCACAGTGGGACAGCCCAGTGGGCACCGGCAATACAGAGCACCGGCTGGCACTGCCCTGGATATTTCGTTCACCGCATGGCACCACTCGTCTTGTCGTTCAATGTTCGCTTGGTACCTGCTTCCATGCACAACCATTTTGTACTCTGCTTTAGATTTTTGTGTCTATGATAATCAATTTCTTGCTCTACTTTTCTGTCGTCCATCGCAAGAACATAAGGCACAAGCTCTCGAAGCAGTTATAATAAGTTCCGACGAGTATGCCAGCTATTATTGATACAACTTACTCCGTTACTTTGTATCGGCGTTGTTTCTCCTCTGTTCACGAGCCAGGCAATAGAATAATCCTTCACCGTACACAACCATCGTCGCCTTACTTTTGGCCAGCGATGGAGGCTGTCTCTCCAGACACAGCAGCGCGGCTCGTCCCGTGCGCCAATGCTGCCAAATCACCCGAGCCTGGCGCGCGAGAGAGCATTCAGAGCATGTGGGACGAAGAGCTCAGCCGCGCGAAATGCGCCGTGCATGGCGGAGACTGTCAGGGAGGGGACGACGGGTGCGCTCCGGCACTCAAGGAGCTTAGCGGAGGGGGGGCCTCCGGGGATGCTTTGGCTGGTCAAGGTGGCAGTGTGGGAGTGCCACGTGGCGTTCAGCAGCTGTTGAACGAAGCCTTCTCTGCCATCCCTGTCTCGTCGTTCCCGCTTCCGCCAGGCGGAGAAGGTATGCCGAGTCGTGGAACACAAAAAAAACAAAGAAACACACACACACTATGCCAAGAGGTACCTGGTAGAAAAATATTAACGTACTTGGTTACTTCTAACCTGCCTCGTTCCGCCCTCTTCGTTCCTTCAAAATATTTCATCTCAACAACTTCGAGGCACATGGTAATGTACATTTCTTAGTCAACTCGTTCGTAACTCACCCACTCTACTGCTCCCCGCCCCACCATTTCCTTCCCCACACCCCCTCCAGTCGTCGAGATTTCATCTGACACGTCAATTCTCGAAGCCGTGCGCATCCTGTCCGTCCATCGCATTCTCTCTGCTCCGGTCCGCAACGCCAAGCTCACAGGCGCAGCAGCTGGGTCAGGACCACGTGGGGCTGCAGGGGGGGGAGTAGAGGGAGCAGGAGGAGCAGGAGGGGCAGGATTAGGGTTAGGATCCGACGTGGCGTGGTCTGATCGGTACCTAGGAATGGTAGACTATGCGGGTGTCATGATGTGGGTGTTGCAACAGGCTGGCCTGGCAGCTGCCACGCTGACAGCAGGCACCGCAGCGTTGACAGGTGCCGGCGTGGGAGTGGTGGGGGCGTTAGGAGCAGCAGCGCTGGGGGTGGGGGGCGCACCGCTTGCAATGACTGGCGTGGCAGCAGCAGCGGTTGGGGCGGCGGTTGCACGGGGGTTGAGGGAGAGGAGGAAGTTGGGAGGGAGAGGGGGCGGCGCTGCTGCGGCTGCGGATTCTCTTGGTGTGGACTTTTTCCATATGATCACTGAGAACGAGCCGTTCAAGTCAGCCACTGTAAGTGGTGGTGTAGGGGAGGCAGTATGCTTTATTTACAGTAGTCCTCCTTTAAATAGAAGCACTACTGTAAGAGACATGGACACTCTGGCAGGCGTGTCATACGGAGAATAAATTTCTCCCTCTTGAGCCCCTTGACCCCTCCCCTCCCATTCAGGTAGGTTTTTTTTTTTTTTCCTCCGTTTTTTTCCTCATACCCTCAACTGATCCCCTCCCCTCAGGTGGCTGACATTACACTCAGCTACCGCTGGGCGCCCTTCCTCCCGCTGCAGCCCAATTGTCTCAGCTTCCTCCCAACTCTTTGCGCCCCAATACCCTTTCTCCGATATCCCCTTTCTCCCATCGAACTCCCCTCCCCTTTGCTCAGGTGGCAGACCTCACTCGCAGCTACAGCTGGGCGGCCTTCCTCCCTCTGCAGCCCAAGTACCCCAGCTTCCTCCATTTCCTTGCGCCCATTCCCCCCCTTTCTCCCATGAATCCCACCTTTGCTCAGGTGGCAGACATCACGCGCAGCTATCGCTGGGCGCCCTTCCTCCTGCTACAGCCCAAAAACCCCAGCTTGCTCCCATTTCCTTGCGTTCATTCCCTTCCTCCGATATCCTTTCTCTTCCATCGAACTCCCCCCCTCCTTCCCCCCTCAGGTGACAGACATCGCTCGCAGCTACCGCTGGGCGCCCTTCCTCCCTCTGCAGGCCAAGTCCTCTCGTTGGAACTCCCCTCTCCCCTCCCCCCTCTCTCCTCAGGTGGAAGACATCACTCGCAGCTATCGCTGGGCGCCGTTCCTCCCACTGCAGCCCACCGACTCGATGCTCACGCTGCTGCTGCTGCTCTTCTCCCTCTTGCCCCTCCCCGTTCCTCAGGTGGCAGACATTACCCGAAGCTACCGCTGGGCGCCCTTCCTCCCGTTGCAGCCCACCGACTCGATGCTCACGCTGCTGCTGCTGCTCTCGCGCTTCCGCATGCGCTCCGTGCCAGTTGTCGCCCTCGCGTTGGCCCCTCCGGCCCCTCGCCTGCACAACCTGATCACACAGTCAGCCGTGGTTCGTGGCCTTGCCAGGTACAGCCAGGAACATACTTGGAAACAAAAAGTCTTTTTTTTTCCTCTTTTTGTATTGGTACTTTGATTATCCATGGTGTGAATCGCCTTTCACGTTGCTATGCTTCTTCAAGTAGAACACTATGGTTCTCATTCACCATCCTTCCCTTCCTCCCTCCTCCCTTACAGGTGTCGTGGATTTGACTGGTTTGATGTGATCGCAGACAAGCCTCTGATGACTCTGGGCCTGCCGCTTGTGGGGGAGAAGGAGGTGAGCTCTTGTTATATAGCTGACCTGCCAGTCGATGTGATGTGAACTCCTTCGTGCTGAGGCTGTTTCTGTTTCTATCGTTCTTTGTCTCCCCCTCTCGCCATGCTTGTTGACATGAGATGCCTCTCGAGGAAACAAGCAAAATCATAACTGAATCACTCGAGGAAAAGAAGAAGGAAAAATAACTTCCCTTGTTTGAGCAGGTTGTGTCAGTGGATGCAGGTGCGTTGGTGCTGGAGGCGTTTCTTCTGATGAAGGAGAAAGGGGTTGGGGGCGTGCCAGTAACCGACGGTCCAGATCGCATCCTGTACGCCAACATCAGTGCGAGGGACGTGGGACTATTGCTGCTGCACCCAGACATGTTCCACTCTAGGAGGTGAGGACGCCCTTCTTGTACCCCACTTTTGTGGAGAGCATTTCCATTTTGTGCCTGAGCTCTGTCATGACTATTTCATCGGTTCTCTGTTTCCACCTCCCCACCTTGCATTTCCACTTGTTTCCTTCAAGGTAGGGAAGTAGATACAGGCAAGTCAAGGGAGCAGTGAGCCCCGCAGGCAGCATGTAGGGATGCGAACCTTTTCTCTCCCTCCCACCCCCCACCCCTCCTCTGCATCCCCTTTTGTGTGTTCTTTCCTTCCCCTCGCAGCCACTTGACCGTGCGGGACTTTGTTGACCGTTGCCTGGCCCTGCAAGCAGCAGAGCTGCACGTCCCACCTGCTTCCTCCCTCGCAGCAGCTGATCTCTCTGCAACCACCAGCACCACTCCCACCCCTACGGATGCCTCAGGGGGTGTCAGCGGCACCACCATTACCACCACCATACCACCTGCCAGCACCGCCGGGGGCGCCATTGGCAAAGCGGACAGCAGCGCCAGTGACAATGCCAGCGGCGACAGCTACGGTACAGTGGGGTCAATGCGACCAGCTGTTTCCTGCAGGCGCACAGACAGCCTTGTGTCAGTGATAGAGACGCTGGCTGGAAAGGGCATTCACCGCATGTATGTTACTGATGACCATGGCCGGCTGCAGGGTGTGGTTACGTTACGCGACATCATTTCCCGGTTTGTTACGGAGCCGGAAGGGTATTTTGATAACTTTCTTGGGGATATGGCTCGAGCCTGGGAGTAAAGAATGTGGGGAGGTACATGTACCTGCATGGAAGATCAGGAATTTATCCATTCTGTGAAGTACCGTGTTTCGTAGTGAAAGGCAATTGTTTCGGTAGTGAAAGGCAATTGTTTCGTATCACTGTACAGTGTCACAGTGTGCCCTTGGCTTGAACCAAGTTAATAGAAACAAGTTTCCAGAAAAGTTTTGCAGGAAACATTATCTTTGTCCAATAACAGAATACAATTGATAGCAGGCCTAGTGTTATCAAGGCCAAAAATAAGCCTACTCGAATGTTGCCTAGCTGCAACACCTAGAATGGATTCTTCAATGCTGCACTGAATTAACACAAAGCTTGATGAAACCGTATAAAGCACCATGTCCGCACGCACCTTGCGCGTGGACGTGTCTAATGCATGTGTGCATGCCCATCCTCATCCAAATACCCAAACACCTTGAGAGGGTCATGACCAAAATCAATGTGCCTGAAATCCTCCTCACATCCCCCATGGTCTCCTCCACCAATCAGCACGCCCCTCCCTCCCTCCACATGATCATGTGCTTGTAACGCAGGGCTGTCCTTCCCTCCCTCCTGGGACCAGCTCTTGCTGCTGGAATCCTCCCCGTTAGAGTCATCCCCCTTGGAGTCACACCTCGTTTTAGCACCAAATTTCTGATATGCCGCACCACCTAGGGATTGCCCCATCACCATGCACCCCTGATTGCTTAGGATCATCCCACTGCCATTAGATCGCCTGGTGCCTTCTTTTCCGGGCATCCCGCTGCCATCCATCCCACCCCCCTGCAAAGATTTAAGCTGCCCGCCGCCACTCGCACGGCTCCTGCTGCCGCCCTCCACGGCACAGGAAACTCTTAGCTCTGGGCCGAACCCAGTGGAACCACCACCATACACTGCCCGCCCCACCAAGTCCCCTCCTCCTCCTCCCCTTTCTCCTCCCTCCCCTCCTGCTTCTGCCAACCCTGCTCCTGCTGCCCCTGCAGCCCTCTCCCTCTCCTCCGCGCTACTGTGGCTGTTTTATTCCTTCCACTATGAGTCCTTCGTTCCCAAGACAATAGTACGGAAGTGCAGCGTCGTTGTTATCCCGCCGTCCAAAGCTCTGCCTTCAACAAGTGAGCTTTCGGATTTTGTGGTCTCACATGTATATGACGTTCAAGGTCACCGTCTACTGACTGTGACCGACAAGTTCCTTCCCAGGGAACATCATGACGAGCTTGCGACGGCACTTGCTCGGTCTAAGGAGAAATGGGAGTCGCTCGTGGAGCATGCGCCCAGAGAGCTTCAAGAGAGCAATAAGGTCAACCACCACCGCCTGCTGCTGACGTGGCAAGATGGGATGGGGCATATGGAGAAGACGAGGAATGGACGCCCAGGGCAGGAGCGGTATGGCTGAAGGGCTGACTGAAGCCCGCACCTCCCATTCCCGAGCCTGCTGCCGAACCTGTCCCCGGACCAGGATAAGGTGGGACGTTCATGGGATAGCCTCCCATACCCATCCCCATGCCCATGTTGTAGCCAGCATATGATGACGTGGCAGGGGCGAAGGTTCCAGGATGCTGCATGGGCATTGAGAATTGCCCGTGCTGCTGGTGGTGCGGCATGGGCCACTGCTGCATCCAACCCATGGGGCCAGGTCCGGGAACCGAACCCGGAGCAGCAGGTCCGGAGCCATGCGGTGGCGAGCCTAGCCCCGAGCCTAGGGACATGTGAGGAACGGAGGAGAGGGAAGGCTGGGAGGAATGGTCCACAGCCCAGGGGGGAATACCTGAGGGAGCACCTGAGGGACTGTTGGTGGTGCCCCCGAAGGGCATAGCGGACGGAACACCTGAGGGGGCACCTGGGTTACCAGGGGCAGCAGAAGCGGAATTACCGCCAGGATTGGCAAAAGCATGGACGGGGAGAGGTGGGGAGACCGAGGTTTCGCACTCCTGCTGCTGCTGCTGCTGTTGCTGCTGCTGTTGTTGCTCTTGTTGCTGTTGTTGTTGCTGCGCCTTGGCGCCAGGTCGGAAGGGGCACCGCAATTGGTGGATGTTCCTCAGATTCCGGTCCGCAAATGCGTTCTTCCACTCGCGCCGCGGGCAGCCCTCATACGGGCACTTGAAAATCCGGTGCTCGGGAACCAAATCCCTCCCCCCCGCCGCAACGTCCCCCGCTGCGCCTTCCCCGTTCCCCCACGGCAGTCTTGCATCCTCGTTAAGAGAGGCCTCGTTTCCGCTCGTATCAATACCTCCAGCCGATGCGGAGTGATTTAGATTCCCGCCATATGAGCCGACCGCGGAGTATGCGCGCTTAAGCTGCCCGTTCAGCTGCCCGTTCAGCAAACTTCCTCCGCCAGCGCTGTTGCCGCCGGGGCTGTTGGTTCCGTCCATGCCGCCGCGATTCCCGCCGTCGTATGCGGCGAGAGAGAATGGAGCCATGTTAGTGGCGCCACTGTCGAGCGCCTGCCGGTCCATCGGACGTTGGCCGTCAGAATTGCCGGCTCGGAGCAGAGGCGAGCCACCGGCGCCGTTAGCGTTGGCGGAGTTCTCGTGCGCAAACGCGCGGAGAATTTTGAGACCGTTACCGCGCTGGATAGATGACGGCAAGCCGCTAGCGCTGCTGCCGGCAAGCGCAATCATGCCGCTGCTGACGCTATTGCTGTGTGGGAGACAGTTCGGGCCAGTCCGGCCGGAAATGGCGGCGGAATTTCCGGGATCGCTTCCCGCCGCCCCGATAGTCAACGTTCCGTTAGTAGCCGCCTCTTGTTTGCATAAAGCCTCCTCGTTGTCGAGAACCATGTGCCATATGCTGGTCTCCCGAGCCGTCATCTTGTCCTGCAGGCACTTGCTTTGCCGAACCAGCTTCCGAGGCTTGGCAATGTTGGGAGCCATATGACGAAGCACCGAAGTCAGTACACCAACCTTCCACGCCTTCTTCAAATCGTGAGGCTTCTTATAAGGGGGCGAACCGCTGCCCCGCGGAAGGCCCAGCTGCGGCCACCAGGTTTCGTTCCCCGTAGGCCACCACGGTGGGGGTACACCCTTTTCCAACGGAAACCGTCTTTGTGGCGGATCGCAGTGCTGCATTAACGCGGACAAAAGCGAACCCAGAGTTGTATCTTGCAAATCTTGAAGTGTACGCGGTGTAGAAATTGAACCAGGCCCAACCAATGGCACGCCACCAGGCCCAACCACCACGCCCCCCGCAGCACCGCTCCCGTCAACCCCTCCCCCCGCAGCAGCGGCCGCTTCCATTTGCATCACCATCATTCGCCCCGCTTGCGCCGCTGCTTGCTCTTCGTTATACTTCGCAACCGCAGCCGGGCCGCTGCGATCGAATTGCACCTCGTCCTTCCACCAGCTGCGGAGATTGTCGGATGAGCCGCCGACGGGCTTGCCTTTTTCAGGGATGATTCCGTAAACGAAGCCCTGCGCGTTGCACGCGTCCATCAGCTTGAGCATGTATTTAAGAATGCCGTCGTGCGCGCGCGACATCTTCTTCCTCCGGGCCGCATCTTGCTGGAAAATAAAGACAGGGTAGAAGGTAGCGGTAGTAGAGAGAGGAGTGGGGCCGGGGTGAGATAGGAAATAAAAACAAAATAAATCACCGTGGTCTGACTGCTCAGCTCAGATACAATCGCGGCGATCGGCTTGGATACAATATAGCTGCAGGCCCCCAAATTGGCACTATCAAATAGCGAAGTGACGTCCCGCACCTGCGACTGAGTCGGTCTGTGCTTCTGTGGCTGCTGATCCTCCTCGTCGTCCTCATCCTCCCCCGCCCAATCCGGGCGACACTTCAAGCTCCCAAACTCGCCGTTCTCGCCCGACGAAGCGGCGCCCGCCGCGCCCGCCGCCGCCGCCGCCGTTGACGCGTCTTTGATGTGGCGCAGCTTCAGTCGATCCTTCCACATGCGCTGCTCTAGCTCCTGCACCTCCAGATCGCCCTCTGATGGATCGTGCGGCTCGTCGCCTAGGAGCAGATCGGCTACTTCGCTCATGTCGATCTGTCCTGCTGCTGGGAGGTGACCATCCATGGCGGAATGGTCTCGTCGCGTGTATAAACGAAGTTCTCGTTGTGTTGAGAGGGTTGCGGCCCGCGCTGCCCCGCGGGAGCGACAGAGTGACCCTTCGCCGAAACGTGGCAGGATCTGTGAGCGTCTCCAGTCACCTCACTAAGAGTCACAGTGGTGTGAGGAAGAATGTAATTGGAGTGTCTTTTTGCCGACTGGCGTCTTCCTGCTCCTGACGTATTTCTGGTGCTGGGGTGGAAAGTGAGGTGTTTGTGCGATGCTTGCCTAAATTGCAAGTGACTGCTTCGGCCGCCGTCGCAAGCGCGATCCCGCGGTCAGAATGACTCGTCCTGGGATGATGACAGGCTTCCGTGCGGCGTACACCCACACTCACTCCCGCTCATCGCTGAGACGAGAACGAATGTTGCTGGAAGTCTGGCAGGCCCCTCCAGCAGTCAGAATTACGCAATTCTGGGAAAAGGGGAAACAATCTATCCGTCTTGATGTGGGCTGGAATTCTGGGAAAAGGAGGTTCGGGAATTGGAAGCGCTTCATACAAAAGGGATGCTGGTCATGCAAACGGTTTGTTGGTGACTGCATAATACATCTGGAAACATTCATTTTCGTTAAGACTGTCCCTCAGTTGGTTATGCGAAGCTGGTTGTAGCAGAAGAATGCTCGCAAAATTAGGGGAAAATTAGCGAGCATACAACATTTTTCCCGTGAAATAGGCTCTAAAATAAAGGGTTTGGTAGTAGGGAAGTCTGGGTATCCGTTCCTGCTAATCAATGAAATGCACACCAATTGCGAAAGAACGTGTAGGAGCTGGGTGGACTGGTTTGTGCAAGTAAAATGGCGGTGGATGAATCTGGCCTCTAATTCATGCGAGGGGAGGAAAGCGTTGCTTGAACTTGGCCCTTTTGCTGCGGAAAGGCAGTTGGTGGGGGCCACTAGACACTGGTTGGGGCACGGCAGCACGGAACGGAACAGTTGGGTTGGCTGACGGAGAGCCAAATTGGCGGCTGTCTGCACGCGAAGCCATCTCGGACAAATGAGAGGACATTCTGGTCGACAGCAAAGCAACGAAAAAACAAAACCAATAAACGCAATGCTCTCGGTTGGGCAGTTACGGGAACCTCGGAGAACCTTCTTTGTTGATAGCAATCGGACAGTACCACGAGCAATAGAACGAGGTGGGCAGGGAAACATTTTATACCTTCACGCGATTCTGCAGCAGCATGGGAATTGGAGGAAAATCGTGCATTACATCGAAAAAGGAGCCCATGCACTATTACTGCAGTCAAACTCAAAATTTCGGTTGCCCTTGTTCCGTCCAGCTTTATTTGGAAGTGGGAACTGCATCGGTGGTGTGCTGCGCGTACGATACGATGCCGTTTCATCAAACTGCATTGTCCAGCTCAGGCATAGGCAGATGCTTTCCCGCATCGAAGTTGATTGCAGCGTACAGCGAATCCGCCACCCAGTTCACGCGTTCAGTCTCGGTCGCATCTGTCCAGTGCCCACACGGCGATCTTATCCCGAAGATGTGGCCCGTTGGATGTATGCATCCCGCTCAGATTTCAGGAACTGGGAGGCGCAATTCACACAGCTGGAATTGCATTCTACGGCGGAGATTTTGAGATGCCTAAACGAATGGATACTTTTTCAATATCCACGTCATCGATCCGTCACACCACAAAACCTGAAGTGCCAGTTTCATCGCGTGATGGATCCCAGTGGATGTCCTCGTGCCCAGCACGACACATCCTTTACCCGTGGGCGGGCATGTAGGTTCACTATGCATAGCTTTCGTACAGTTTCCAACAACATCATCGCTGCATTTCTACACGCTGTACACCATTTCACCCTCTTACAAATCAATTACGGTAACAAATAGAAATGTACATTTTCGAAAGTACAAAAGCAAGGGTTTCGGCCATTTGGCCTCACCCACGTTTCATTTCAAACTCTCAAGTTCGGAATCCCACCCACCCCCCCTCGCATGTAGTAACCATGTAATATATTTTTATATATGACGGGCAACGCCGTACTTGAACCACAAGCAATGAAGACGATGCCTATTGCTAGTCAAGAAGCAAGCTTTCTCAATTGTCATTATGCTGCACCGAGCGTCTATTCTACCTACTTCGAACAGAACGCCATGCAAGAGCGGCAGCAGGGCTTCGAGTTATGCATTCATGCCTGCCTGTCACTGCTCGTAGTCGAGGCCTTGCATATATTGTATGCTCAACTTTAGATGGGACTAAAATATCAGCAATGGCATGGCAGGCCGCCAGCGTAGCAACCGACACCACTTTCCCAGATTATTACAATGACTAGTGCTGCAGTAGCAGTAAATTCCATTCGACATGACTACTGCCCTTGTTGAAAAAGGGAAGACGTGCATTGTGGAAATATAACTCAATCCTGTCCCCCACAATACAGATCGATTGTAATGTACTGCAGTGTATGGAGGGAGGTTGCTGCAGTCGTCGCGGGACTTATGCAGGTTCCGCAGCCAGTCGTGAGTTTTTATTGAGACATACGATATGGTACGGGCTTGCACTCTGCGCGAACTTACCATACATTGGGAACAAGCTCTGCAAGACCTGCAGTGGGAGTGGGGGGCAGCAGAAGAAGGCATCCTCCATAGCTCGGCAATCTCATATCTCCATGGTTTGATACCACATTCGTCGTAATAAACCTAGTGTACAAGTAGCATGCAGGACATTCTGATATAGAAGTTCTAACCACATGTCAATATGTATTTACTACAACATTTTTACCTAATTGTGCACTGCTAGCCTCGCCCTAATCCCCTAGAGTTCCTAACCCCCCCTACTCGAACCGACCTTTGCTGCTTCAGGTCTTGCTCATATCTAGTCCAAACGCCAGAATGGCACTGCGAAGCAACTGAAGAAAATGATAGCCTCCCAGCCGGACCTGGGAACCCTGCCTTTAACGAGTACAATGGGCCCATCGGCAGAGGTAGCACATTCCCTGAACTCCCGTATGCGTTGGTGTACGACGGAGTTAGGGTTTTGTCGGGGTCTGATGGCAAGATGCGGACATTGGTGAGGGTGATGTCTCGGCATGGAACAGTGGTGCTGCAGCCGACGGTAATGCCGTCTGTTCCATTACAAGATGCTCTGATATTGTTGTAGGATATGTCTTGAATGGCTACTGCGTTGTCTTGGGGCACACATTTGGAAGCATCTACATTCTTGGTATCGCAGTAAAACTGTTGATGGGAGGGACACAAAATAATAAGGAAAAAACAGTTACCGGTTAACCCGTGTGCCAATGATAATGGCTGAGAAAAAACAAAAACAGGACAGAAACCCCTGAAACAGCATATACGCACCTGATTAATGACGATAGGATATGTAACATCCGTCATTTGCACATTGTCATACGAGACATTCGACACCATTCCCACACCGCCTTGGTACGTCTTGATGCGCAGGCCATTGTTTGAGCCCCGGAATGTCACATCGCGTATAGTCACACCCTGGATGCACCCCAACGCCCCTTCTGCTCCCAAGCTCCCAATGCTGGGAGGAAGGATGGGGTTTGGTAGAATTTCCAGAGAGATTGAAGAGACGGCCCACACGAGGACAGCGAAAGAGTTCCTATTTTTTCTTCGCACTTTCCTTTTTCCTATGCATGCTTTCCTGATCTGGATGCTTTTTTTCTCTCACCTGATGCCATGGCCGTTGATGCAGGTGACATTCTGCACAAGCACGTTGCGAGTCATGCCCACTATGCCCACGCCATCATCGCCTGGAGTGGGGTTGGAGAGGGGGAGGGAGCAGAGCGGTAGAGAGTGGTGGGGAGACAATTCAAAGTCATCCCACAATCACCTGACTCAAGCAGAACGGTTTGACAACTCTCAAAAACTCCCTGCAACGTCTTTATGTCAGAATCCCACAATCACCGGACTCAAGCCTCGAGCCTTTGACAACCACATTAGGAGGAGCTGATGCTTATCAGCAACCCGCGGATCAGCATCCCGCAGATCATCACACCTTCATGTGGATAGAGCATTTGTTTAGTCGACTCAGAGACCACCGCGCATATGATTGATCACCTGATTCGAGTCTCGAGTCTTTGATGACAACGTTAGAGGAGGAGCTGATGCTGATGCTGTCCTTGTTGGGGCTGTTCCAAGGAGCCAGTTTGCGCACCCCCTATGCTACCTACAAACCCTCGCATGGTGCATAGAATCACCCGACCCATAGTCACTGCGCGTATCATCACCTGATTCGAGTCTCGAGTCTTTGATGACAACATTAGAGGAGGAGCTGATGCTGATGCTGTCCGTGTTGGGGCTGTTCCATGGAGCTAGTGTGCGCACCCCCCGGATCATCACGCCTGTGCTTGTCTTCACCTTCATGTGAATCTTGCCTGGATTCCTGTGCTTGTAACGGAGATGCATGTAGCGAAGCAGCAGGAGAGTACAGGCAGACACATGCAAGCAACAGAAGCACCAAGGCATGTAATGCAGCATCCAGCCTCACTCAAAAGCATCATGCCATAGTGTCATTTTTTCCATCATGCCACCATCCTTCCATCAAATCATCATGTCATCATGCCATCATATGCCATAGCACCACACACGACATCCCCTTCGGGACCACCACAGAGCCAACAGCAGCAGCAGAGCAGCAATAGCAGAAGCAAGAAGTACAGTACAACCAGAAACAGGAGAACAGCAGCCACACCAGAAACAGCAAACGCAAGGACAGGGGAAAGCAGACACCAGCTCATGAGGTTTGAGCCCGTAACCAGGGTGCATTAGATATGCACATGAGAAACAGCAAGCGCAAGGAAGGGTGCATGAGATGTGCACATGAGGTAAAACCAGGGCGCATGAGATATGCACCAATCACAAAGCATAAGTGATTGGTATATGCTTTGTGATTACGGAAAGACACGGAACCAGCTCATGAGAGTTGAGCCAGAGTGAGGTACACAAGAAGTGCACACAAAAGCACAGCGCATGAGATATGCGCCAATGTACGGTGCATAAGCAATGCACTGACACATACTACATCAGGATATATTAAAACGTGTGAGATATGTATTAAGCACCATAGGTCTGTTGCCACCTTGATCAATGGGGAGTTGGGCAAGGAGGGACACAAATATTTGATGACAAGCAACAAACAAACACATCTGCAGAACACGCAACATTCACATGAACATAACATGAAATGCACCCCACTCGATATAAGCAAGTGCAAAACGAGAAATGCGTGAGGATGGGGCGTACAAAGCACGATGAAATGCGGGATAACACTAACCTGTAAGTGATCCCCGATACAAGCAAGTTTCGGCAATCCGAGAAATGCATGAGCATCGGGCGCTTGCCCTTGCCCCACCACGCGCGCCCCGCGCCGTCCAAATAACCCTTCCCCGCGACGACGAGGTTATCAATTCCGTCGAATCCCAACATCGCCCACGTCTTGCTGCTCTCGGGTTCCGGATACGCCGCCGTGTTGAAAAACGCCTGAATTGCCCCATCGATCTGCGCCGAACGGGGACGAAAAGAAATCCAGTTTCAATTTATTCACCCTCATTCGTGGCTCGGAATAGGTGTTTTGTTGAAAATATTTGTTTCTGGGAACTCACCCGAACAATTAGTCCAGCGCCGCACGGCCCTTGGATCTCCATCGGGAATATCCGAAACACCGCGTTCCCGGGCACGTGCACCATGGCTCGCTGCCTCGTCCGCGCGCCGTACCCGCACGCCGCGGCGAACGCGCGCCTGAAAGGCCCCGACGCGTCCGCCCATCCGTTCGTCTGCGCGCCGAACCGCGTCACGCTGAAATACCCGGGGCTCGCGGGGTTCGGCTGGGGATCATCCGGATATTCCGGAAGAGGTCCGGGATCAGGCCCGGGGTCAGGATCGGGGTAAGGGTCGGGGGTCGGAGTTGGGTTGGGGGTAGGGGTTAGCGGGTCGCTGGGATCGTAGGAAGGGGCTGGAGGCGCGGGGATCGGCCTTCCGTCGCGGCCCTTGAAGCCGTTGCGCCCGGAAAATACGGGATTGGGCCTGGACCCTCCTCCTCCACCGGTGCTGCCGCCGCCGCTCCTGCTTCCGCCGCCCGTGCCCGGCAGTCGCGTTTTCATTTGGTTGCCACCCGCCGGAGCTTGCTGCCTGCTGTAGACCAACTGCTGTCTCGGCTGCTGCTGCTGCTGACGCGGCTGCGGCTGATTCGTCTGGCCGTTTCCGCTGCTGCGGCCCGCGGATTTGAATCCCGACGTCTGGCCGTTGCTGGGAAAGCTTGTTTCGCTCGTCAGCTGATTGGTCTGGCCGCTTCCTGCAGATTTGAATCCCGGCGTCTGGCCGTTGCTGGGGAAGCCTATTCCGCTCGTCAGCTCCGCCGTTCCCGCATTCATTGAGCTGTTTTTGAATGCTCCCCCTCCTCCTCCCGCGCTCGAGGCGTCCCCGCCTCTTGCGCCTCCCCACCCGCCCATTGTCCGCTTGAACTCGCTTCCACTCGCTCCCCCGTTGGCCACACTCCCCGCGCCCCCGCTTAGGCTCGCCTGTGGCGTCCCTTCCCCGTCTTTAGCCATTCCCGCCATTCCGCTCCCGACTTGCGCCCGCGCCTTCATCCCGTCCCCCGCACCCACTGCGCTCTTCATTCCTCCATTCCCGCCATTGCCCGTCCTTCCCGATTCTCCGCCCCCCACGCCCTCGTGTTGCTTAACCCATGCCTGCCCCCCCCCAGAAAATGTATTCCCTCCCCCTCCTCCTCCGCTTCCGCTTCCGCTCCCCGCTCCGCCATTTGCGCCCACAGCCTCCTCCCCGCCGGGGAAGAAGCTCCCCAGAGACCGCGCGTGGAGAGCGCCGCTCGTGCTCCACTCCCCTCCGCTCTTTCTAAACGCCGCCGCGCGCTTCTCGGCGGTACTGGCGGAAGCCGCAGCGGTCGCGGCTACGTGGAGAGGCGCAGCTTGGCTGTTCTGCTGCGGCGACGTAACATCTCCCGCGATCACGGTGTGCGCGCAAGCGGGGGCGGAAAACAGGCAGCGGGGGAAGGGCGCACAGGGCCATGCGGGGTCTTCCAACGTTGCCCCAGCAATCTCGGCTTTAATCGCGCCGCTTTGTGCAATGGTGAACGACGACCCGTTCCAGTCGCACTCGTCTCGCGTGCGAAGGTCCCCGTCGCCGCAACCGCCTATCGGAGCAGAGACAGAGGGGGTTCGAAGGGGCAAGGGAAGGGGAGAGCCGGGAGGAGAGGTAAAGTGAGAGTGATGGGATGGGGGAAAGGGGTGCATATGCGGTGATGGACTAAAGGAAAAAACGGTTCACCGTAATCCCGCACGTGTCGTGTTACCTGCATGCACGATCGCGCACGTGTCATCGACAGCGAAACGGCAGTCGCCAGTTCTCCGCCGCTTCCCCGTTGCGGGGCGCCACGCGTCGGCGGCGGTGAAGCGGAAACCCCTGCGGGAGGGTGGCGGAGATGGGCCCGAAAAAAGGAAGACATTGAATATCACCAAAGGTTCGACGACGGTGGTTAGGACACGGTCGTGCACGACTGAAAAGGGAGAACGGTGGTCGCCTTTTTAGTCGCGCATTTGGAAACGGTTGTGCAACACGGAAAAGGAAAACGGTGGGTGCCTTCTCCCGGCTCGTCGTCGACTCGCCGAGTACATACCGTGTACGCGTCGCTTGTTCGACGAGCACGAACTGGCCCCGCGCGGCTTCAAACACGCATGCGTCCCGCACGGGCAGCAGCTCGCATCCCGCCGCCCCCCCATCCCGCTCCTCCTGCGCCCGCTGCTCCTGCTGCTGCCGCCACAGAGCCTCCTCCTGCGTTTCCCCCACCGCCATTCTCTCGTCCTCCTCCTCCTCTGCCGCTCCCTCAGCCACCAAGATACCACCACCAGTAGTCGATCCAGCGATCTTTCCTTGTGTCAGCTCACGAGATGCGATCCCAGCCGTCGAGATATCGTTTTCGAGCCGATAGCCCGTGGATGGTTCTGCATGGTCAACAGAGTCAAGCCGGTCAAGACTCGACGCTCCGCGTGGAGTCACTCCTGAATATCCCGATTGGGTTGGAACGCCATTCGCGGGTGAGTCGAGAACGTGCAGGCGGTTGCGATGCCACGTGGCGCTCAGCGCCTCGCCGAGCGGTGCGGTATCGGTGACTGTTGTGGCTGTGGCGATAAGGAGCGCGGCAATTATAAGGAGTTCGGATCTGTGACCTCTTGAATGCAGTATTCGCGATGAAGGTGACCTGCGTGTACTCATTGTCGCTCGTCTATCATTAGGAAACAAAGACTCGGCTGTCCTTCTTGTAAGTCAAGAAGGCAACTAAACGGTGAGGCTAAATATATTTTCTGGACTCAAGATGTTGATCAGTCGATGCCTATCACGCGAAGCGGGGTGGCAAAGATAAACCAAGGTGAAAGATTTATTAGGATATAACTGGTAGGTAGAGGAGGTGCTGAGGTGACAAACGTCAAACTTAGTCGCCTGTTAGGGAGTGCGGCGAGGGCGTCAACGTGCATGTCCTACGAATATGCCTGGTTTGTTTTGAACGGAAGTGGTGAAGCTGCTACATCTCTTGAAGTCTTAGCTCTTGGAAACGACTGACAGCATGAATGCTCGAGACAAAAGGCAACTAGCACACGCCACAGATGAAGTCTGCTGCTGAAATTCTCGGGTTTTGCGGAAATGTGATGTGGTTGGGCCCGTGTCGGGGCCGGTGCCCAGACACGAGATGGATGCAAGCATCAAGTCGGGAGGAAAGAGTTATACATGCGCGACTCGAAACTTGAGTGATGTACCGTAATAATTTCTCCCTATCAGTTCCGTGGCAAATGCATATACATGTATTTCCTCTTGTGGAACACGAAGCAGTGCGTCTGAGTTCATCCATGATTTCCAGGTTGCGCTACAGACCTGAAAGATCTCCATAATTAGACCCATAAATAGGGTACATACCCACGAAATCAACCATTTCTATTTCTTTTGGTGCCCAGAATTTTCGCATCGCGAGTACAGCGAATGATGGAGGGGCATCGTGGGCGCCGTGAAGTGCGGATGTAATGGGTCACCGCCAATCAGACCGCGAGTCAGAATTGTAAGGGCGGCTTGTCAACCAACCTACACCAGGTGGAAACACGGCAGCGCGCGATTCCTGCTTCACCATTCACGACCCGCCACGGCAGCAGACCGCAACTTCTCTTGACTTCCTATCGCGGTAATAGCATACCTAATTAACTTCTACACAACATTGGCAAACTCTCCGCCTTGCTTAATGTTTGTACCATACCTAGACATAATTTTGCCTAATTGTTACGAGTGCAATTGAGTGAGCGAACGAGAATTGCACTATCGAAGCAAAAGTACAATGAGCGAAGGCATGAGCGAAGAATATATAGCGAAACTACAGTGGTAACGGTAATGTGTGGAAAATGGGGTGCGCGACGGGCCTAGCGCCGAGGTTGGGAGATGTCGAGGCGGAGGTCCGGAGCGCGGGTTACCAACCGAACCGTGAGGTTGGGTCGCGTCGTGAACAGCGGCGGGAATGGTGTCGAAGCGAGTGTCGCGAGTGGTAACGGATTACTGTTGGGTGCTGTTGGCGGGAACAGTGATGTACGCGCTGAGCAGGGACGCGAAGTAAGGAAAAGGAATTTTCCTTACACTACCCCCCTCCCTAAGGAGGCCCTCCTTACGAAAGTGCGTGTACATCCCGGAAATTTCGGCTGCGCAGGTACTCTGTGAGGACGGGGTGGTTTTCGATTCTGTCCAGGGGAACCCAGTTGTCCTCGGTGGGTGTGCGGTCTTTCCAGCGGATCAGGAATTCGATCCTGCGGGCTCCCCGTGGGTCACGTACTCGGTGGCTCAGTATTTTTTCGGGCGTGATGATTGGCTCTGTTGGTGGTCGTGTCATGCTGGCCGGGCGGTTGCGGGGCAGTTGGCTGGTGGATGGCACGTATGGGCGAAGCAGGCTGACGTGGAATGACGGGCTGACGTACCAGTCAGCAGGGAGGAGGAGGTGGGCGGTGACGGGTGTGATCATGTGGCTGATGCGAAATGGCCCGCAATATCGGGGGCGGAGTTTCGGGGTGATGGGCAGGCGGAGGTTTTGAGTGTCGAGTAATACCAGGTCGTCGGGTTGGTAAGTGACGGGGCGGCGGTGTCGGTCGGCGTTGCGCTTAGCGATGACGTTTGATTTTTTTATTGCTTCTGCTGCTCGGGTCCGTGCTGCTTGTAATATTTTTGCGAACTGTTGCGCGCGTGGGACTGGGTTGTCGGGATTCGGGGTCATGGGTACTGTGGGGTCTTGTCCGTAGTTCAGGTAAAACGGTGACTGTTGGGTCGTGGCGGATGGTGAGTTGTTGTATGCGAATTCGATGAGTGGCAGTTGCTGTCAAATGCTGTCTTGGCGCAGTCTGATGGTTCGACCCGGATCTGATGGTAACCTCCCCGTAAATCTATTTTCGAAAACACCCGTGCTGTTCGCAGTTGGTCGATCAGTTCGTCAGCGCGGGGAATGGGGTATCGCGACTTGACTGTTACCCGGTTCAGTGCTCTGTATCGATGCACATGCGAAACCCTCCGTCTTTTTTTGGTGTGAACAGTATCGGTGCGGCGAACGGTGACGAGCTCGGTCGGATGATTTTTTTCTCTAACAGGTAGTCTAACTGCTTCCTCAGCTCATCGAGCTCGGGCTGTGTCAGTCTGAACTGTCGCTGTACGGTTGGCTGTGCCCCGGGTTCTAACTCTATGCGGTGGTCGTGTGCTCGCTGAGGTGGCAGTCCCTCCGGTAAGTCGTCCGGAAAAATCCCCGGGTACCGTTTCAACAGTTCCTGTAGTTCGGGCGGTACCGCTGCCAACAGTTTCTGAAAATCGCTCGGCTGCTCTGCTTCTCCCACCAATGCTATACCCACTGCGTACACGTCAGCTCCAGCGGCGACAGCCCGTTTCATCGTGATGGCGTTGACGTGGACCGTTGAAGACTCGGGCGACTGCCAGCGAGGTAGCACGACCCAGTTACCGCTACTTCGCACAGTGCAGCTACCCGTCGTCCAGTCGATTCGCGGGTTATACCGTCGCAGCCAATCACGTCCCAGTAAAATGTCGTGCCCATCCAATGTCGTCGCGAGCATTTCCTGTGTAAACCCAAAGTTCCCCCCGCACCGGACCTTTACTCTCTCCACCTTCTCCCGTATGGCCAGCGGCGTTCCGTCCACTAAGCGTGCATCTATTTCCGGTAAACACCGACTAAGTGTCAGTTGCAGCTTCCGTGCAGTTGCGGTATTAACTAAGTTGTGGCTTGCTCCTCCGTCTATAGAGATCTTCACTGCTGCTCCCTGTATTTTCCCGTGAATCAGTACTGGGCAATCCGTCGCTGTACCCTCCTTATTCATCCGAGCCCGATCGATAGCGTGAATCGGTACTGTGACTCGGTGAGGGTCGGTGAGATTGGGCGAGCAGGCAGTCTCGTCAGTAGTTGGCCCGATTCCTACTGACTGCTGGCGTTTCCCTGCCTTGGAGACTCCCTCCCCTGATCTGCTCCGCGGCGCCTCAGCTCCTCCGGGCATTCACTCTTGCGATGGCCCGGCCTATTGCAAGTAAAGCAGCGCCCCTTAAATGGCGCGGCAGCTGCATTTGTCGCAACGGCATGTACAGTGCCGTGCTCGATCGGTCCCCGAGGGCGATGTCCGTAATAGGACCCCGACCTCGGACGGCGTAAGATATCGATCTTCTCGGCGAGCGCGAGAATCTCGTTGAAATTCGAGAGTCCGCGTAGCATGATTTCGTGCGAGATGTCCGGCTTCAGTCCTCCAACGTAACGGTCCACCCGCTCCGCTTCGTGCATGTAGCCGACTTGCTCGCATAGTGCGAGAAAACCACTCGTGTAGTCTTGAACCGACCCGAGCTGCCGCCAAGTACGCAGTTTCTGACGCGCCGAAATAGAAGCCGCGATCGGCTCGAAGCGCGCCCGAAGCCCTGCGCACCACGCATCCCACGTGCTGTATTGGGCTGTTTCGCAGAATGAACTCCAGGTGACGGCTGGACCCGTGGGCCCTTCCTCTTGCGACGGTGGCTCGTAGGCACGTGGCGACGTCACGATGACTCGCCACCAGTCCATGGCGGGGCCCCTTAGCAGCGAAACAGCGTAGCGAATCTTCGCTGCGTCCGACTCGACGTAATTCGCGTCGAAGAAAACGTTCATCGTGAAGACCCACGACTGAACCGTCGGACCTCCACGCTGGCTTGGATCGAAACAGGGCGGGCGTTGCGGCTTGAGTGGCATTGGTGCCATGATGTCGTGGTTGCCACTTGTTGCTGCAAACTCCACGTGCCGACGAGCTTCGCGAGGCCCACGCGGGCTTGACGCGACCCGATTCCTCTCCATGCCAGGCATCGATTGAGCGGCGCCATCACTGGCTGCGCCTGAGCGCTGTCCCACGCTGTCGTTTTGCGTCGGTGTGCCTGATGAGATGACGATCGGTTCTTCTGATTGCGCAGGTGCATTTGCGGGTGCTTGTGATGGAGCTGGTGCATTCACCGTTGATTGCTGGCAGGCGGAGACACGTTCCGCCGTGAGTGTCGCAATTTCGAGTGCCGAATCTTCGAGTTGACGCACGAGACGGTCGAGCTGCTCCTGCGTCAATGTCGCAAGATTAATTTCGGCCATGGCGGGGGTGTCGGGCGAACTCAGCGGGAGCCTCTGTCGTGGCCGTGCGTGCTTACGAGAGAGCACGTCGAGCGGCGGTGCTTGTTCGCTGAGAGACGTCTTACCCCCCCAAAAATTGAGATAGTGGGGAAGCGAAGGTGTGGGTGCGGTCCGAGAGGAGATCGTAGGCTCTGAATACCAAGTGTTACGAGTGCAATTGAGTGAGCGAACGAGAATTGCACTATCGAAGCAAAAGTACAATGAGCGAAGGCATGAGCGAAGAATATATAGCGAAACTACAGTGGTAACGGTAATGTGTGGAAAATGGGGTGCGCAACGGGCCTAGCGCCGAGGTTGGGAGATGTCGAGGCGGAGGTCCGGAGCGCGGGTTACCAACCGAACCGTGAGGTTGGGTCGCGTCGTGAACAGCGGCGGGAATGGTGTCGAAGCGAGTGTCGCGAGTGGTAACGGATTACTGTTGGGTGCTGTTGGCGGGAACAGTGGTGTACGCGCTGAGCAGGGACGCGAAGTAAGGAAAAGGATTTTTCCTTACACTAATAAAACAAAGAGAAAGCATGGCAAAAAGTATTGCCAGTCCCTAGGATCATCACTCAGAGTTCCTGCTTATGTGTTCCTCAACGCGTTGCCCCCTTTCGATCACAATGTTCCTACATAGGCGACGGTCATTGATACAAGTAAGAACACACGTGGTCATGGCATACTAAATTAGTCGCAAGCGGTTATTGCGCATCATCACATGCGTCAGAAGTGGCAGTAACACGAGTAAACGTTCGCACGCGCACCACGCGGTTGAAAGAAACCCGTCGAGGTCTCATCAAACCGACTGAACTCTTCTCAACGTCTTGTGCCTGTCGTGCTCCTGTATCCTCTCTATTGGTAGCCCCTGTACCACCAAGCCCATCTGCAGTGTTGCCCCTTGATGCATCAAATCCCTTCGTATGAAAAGCACGAACACCCTTCTCCAAGTGGCCGTTGCTGCTATTCCTCCCGTACTCTTCGTGGTTCCCACTGCTGCCACTCATACTCCCACCACTGCTGATGCTGCTACTGCTGCTGCTGCTGTTGTTGATGTTGCTGCTTCTGCTGGTCGTACCATCACTGGAGTAAGGGCTTCTGCCATGCCCCATATGGACTCCCTCAAACCCATCTAGTTTATCCACGCCTCTAATCACCTCCTCATTAATCACATTAAGGAACGGGTTGGTGGAATGGGTAGGATAGTCCAGTGCTCCTGGTGGTAGAGGCAGCATTCCCTGCTCTTGCTCCTGCTGCTGCTCCTGCTGCTGCTGATGCTGCTGCTGCTGCTGCTGCAACTGATCCAGCCACAGCAGCTGCTGCTGCTGAATAGGCAAACCAGACACGGCATACGTGAGAGGGCTCAGGGTTGCTCCAATCAACCCTTCAGCATCGGTATGAGAAATGGCTTCCGTGTGGTGCTGGTCCAACGACATTGTGTAGTCATGCTGCTCCTCCTCACCTTCCTCCTCACCTTCCTCCTCACCTTCCTCCTCACCTTCCTCCTCACCTTCCTCCTCACCTTCCTCCTCACCTTCCTCCTCACCTTCCTCCTCACCTTCCTCCTCACCTTCCTCCTCACCTTCCTCCTCACCTTCCTCCTCACCTTCCTCCTCACCTTCCTCCTCACCTTCCTCCTCACCTTCCTCCTCACCTTCCTCCTCACCTTCCTCCTCACCTTCCTCCTCACCTTCCTCCTCACCTTCCTCCTCACCTTCCTCCTCACCTTCCTCCTCACCTTCCTCATCACCTTCCTCCTCACCTTCCTCCTCCTCTGGCACTGGCGTGGAGAGAAGAACTGGCGTGAAGAGAAGACTCACTCAGGCACCACTCACCATCAGTAACGCCTTCCCTCAGAGCCCCAAATTCACCACCTGCTGCTGCTGCAGCGGCTTCTGCTGCCGCCGCTGCTTCTGCTGCTGCAGCTGATGGCGATGTGAGTGCTGCTGCACTGCTCCCCAAAGTGTGGGATAAAGTGTCTTCCCTGAGTACTGCTCTCTTCCATGCAGGCACACCCGCACTAGCAGCACCACCAGCTGCACCCGTACCAGCAGAAGCTGCACGAGCAGCAGCACCAACGCCAGCACCAGCAGCAGTGGCACCAGCTGCAGAAGCAGATGAAGAGTGTGTAGGGGTGAGGCCTCTCGCCCCAGCAGCAGCAGCATGAGTAGCAGTGAGAGCAGCAGTGAGAGCAGCACGCCCCGGTGCAGAGAAAGAGGAGGAGGAGGAACCAACGGGAGAAACTCGGGCCAGCACACTGCGTGTGTGGTGATGGCCATCCTTCTGCTGGTGGTGGTGGTGGTAGTGCTGGTGCTGGTGGGGCTGGTGCTGGTGCTGATGCTGGTGCTGCTGTATATGGTGCAGGTTACTGTTGCCTCCTTTGCTTGTCGAGTGTCGGGAGCGGGGCGAGGGGGGAGCGAGAGACGCGAGGGAACCCAGAGAGGCAGACACTGCAGACGCTGATAATTCTGACGCCGACGCTGCTGGCTGTGCTGCCGGTGCTGCTGCTGCTGCAGCGCCTGCTGCCATTGACCGTGCAGCGGTTGAACCCGGTTGATTGCGGTGCTGGATGGTGCGGCCCGGTGCGGCTGCGGTTGGCGACGGTGGCTTCGCGTGGAGGAGTGAGCGAAGCGGGTTTTGCTCTGCTGTGTGTGCGGATGATCCTGGCCGTCCCTTGAACGATGCAGATGCTGAGTTGGCAACAGTGAGCGAGCGGGACCGGCGAGGAAGGGCGTGACTGGCCCCTCTCTCTTCGCTGCCACGTCCTCTCTCTTCCCCACTGCGCACCCGCCCCTGACTCTGCCGCCCCTGCAGCTGCTGCTCCTGCCTCTCTTGCAGCTGACGGCTCGTCGCCTTAAATCCACCCTTCTCTTGACGTTGCGACTGATCTGGTAGCACCTGCTGCGAAGCTGCCATCTGCTGTTGCAGCCGTGGCACTTGTGGACCTTCAACTCCATCCTCCTCCTCCCTATCCTCCACCTCTTCCCTCTCCTCCTCCCTCCTCTCCTCCACCTCTTCTCTCTCCTTCATCTCTCCCCTCTCCTGTCGTTCCATCTGCTCCTGCAGGCGCAGCAGTGAATTGTAATGCCCCACCAGAGTCGCCACATTCGCGCCCTCAAGCGCCCCCTGCTCCATTGCCGCTCTCGCTGCCCTCACAGTGCTCCCCACCGCCTTCAACCGCGCTCCCTTTGCTGCTGCCACGGCGGCTGCTGCTGAAAAAGGTGTCGGTGCTGCTGCTGGTGCTCCTTTTGCTGCTCCTGCTTCTCTGTCCCCACCTGTCTGCTCGTTTTCCCCATGCTCTCGCTCCTGCTGCTCCTGTTGCCGCTGTTCCTCCCCCACCAGCTCCTCCTTTCCGTCCAACTCCTCCTCTTGTTGCTGCCGCTTCTCTTGCTTTCCTCTAGCTCCCTCCCGATTTACCTCCACGTGGGAAGCTCTTTCTTCCTCTGCCTGCAATACAACCCCTGCCTCCTCGCCCCTCCGCTCTCCCCCCAATCCGTCCCCTGCTCTCTCTTTCTTTGCGCGGATCTTCTTTTTGCTCTCTCGACGCACTTCGTCGTGTTTCAACGGCCAACCGAAGTTAACAGCAGGAGAGTGTTTGCGAGAGCGAGAGTGAGTGTGGGACCCGCATTGCTGAGACGTGCTTACCGAGCCTGCAAAGCTTATAGCCTGAGAGAAGCTCACTGCTGCTTCGGACTCCGCTGCCAAGGCTAGCCGACAGGCTCGGGCGCTTGCCTCGGCGAGAGCAGCAGCCTCGGCAGCAGCAGCCCCGGGAGCAGGGGTGGGCGATACCGTGACGCCAGCAGCACCAGGTGTGACGTCATTCCCGGCGTTGAGCTGGTTCCACATGGCGGATTGCTGAGTGAGGGCCTTGTACGCGTTAAGAACCTCTTCACTCCGCCCATTGGTTACCAGTTTTTGCTGAGAATCAGGCTTGTATCCACTCCTTTCCCCCCAATTGTTGCTTGTTCCACCAAACGTTCCAGCCACTTCACCCTTCGCTGGTTCTCTGCTTCCCTTCCCCCCCCGCTTCCCCCTCCGCTCCCCCCTCCTTTCATCCATCCTCCCCAAGAGATGCTTCGTTTCGGTTTCCTGCTGTACTTGTCGTCTTTCCCCTCACGCACGCTCCCTCCGCTCACGCTGTCCGCGCTACTGCCACCTCCGTTAAGAGACGTACGCGACGTGCTCCTCCTCGGAAACAGCCTGCACGTCATTATAACGGGGCCATCGTCGTTATCATTGTTGTCGTCCGCGTTATTAGCGCGGCGGACGCGGCTCCGCAGCACATCCCCCATTCCTTCCGCCAACGCCTCGTCATAGTACCCCTCCTCTGCCGCATGTCCGCGCGCCCCTCCGCCAAAATCTTCCGCGCGCTGGCCTCCCGCTGCCGCGCCTGCGCCAGTGGCGCCGATGGTGGTGGTGCGGGGCGGCGGGAGCGGATGCACGGCGGAAGGGGAGCCGCTTCCGCGCCGAGGTCCCCCCGCGGGGGAGCGCAGCCAATCAGCGGCTGCCAGCGCAGCAGCGCTGAGTGAAATGGAGCGATGCATTCGCTGCTGCTGCTCGTGCGTCTCGTGAGGCTGTTGCAGCTGCCGTTGCGGTTGCTGCTCGTGCGAGGCATGGGGCTGCTGTGGCTGGACGTGCTTCGGCGCGCCGTATGATCCGTTATGGCGCGCTCCGATACTAGGCCTTCGAGCCGGCAGTGTCGTGGGAGCGGGTACGTATTCGGTGGGCGCAGCAGCAGAAGCAGATGCGGCGCCGCTGGCACCGTAATACGCATTAGAAGGAATGTCGTCACCAGCATTGGCCGCCGCAACCGTCGCCGCCGCCGCCGCCGCTGCTGCGACCAAATTTTCCTCTCCGAAGGGCATCCCGCCGCTTCCGCCGCTCGCGCTGTCCCAGTCGATGACGTCATGCTGAGGTGGCGTTACATACCCGCTGCCGTCAATCTGACACGGCGACGACAGCCCATTCGTTTGAAGCCCACCGGGCTTAAGCGTGCTGACGACAAGCGGCGGAGCCAATAAGCTGCTGCCACGTGGACGAGGCGAGAGGGAGCTCACGCCGTTTCCGCCACCCCCGCCGCCACCCGCAACGACGCCGAGGCTCCGCGCGCGCCCGCGGGGATCCGCGCGGAGCGCGGGGGGGCCGACGGCGGGTGAGGGGAGTCGGCGCACGCCGATCTGCAGGGAGTTTGGCTGCGCAGAGCGGGGAGACGCGGGGCGGGGGGAAGGCGGCCGGGGGCGCGGAGAATGCTGCGCGTGAAGGCGCGGGGAGGGCGGCTTCAGTTCCGCGCTTGCGCCCCTTCCGTTCTCCTTAGCCCCCTCTCCACTGAATCCTCTCCCGTTTCCACTCTCCCACGCAGAAAAGTCCGCCCAACCTGCCGCTCCCCCACCCGCGCAACCTTCCGCGCGCCCATCCGCGCAACCTTCCGCGCGCCCACCCGCGCAGCCGCCATCGGGGAACAGCTGAACGCGCACGCCGTCCGCGTTGACGCCGGCATCTGCGGCTTGGAGCGGCGCGTTGTTCCGGCCACCCGCAGCGCCCGTGCTGATGTGGCGCTTCGGGAACGAGCCTGAGGTTCGGCTGGATCCCGAGCCTGTGTTATAGTCACAATAGGCTTGAATGTGCCTAAAACGAAAGATAGAGAGCACAGACGGATTTCTGCACAGCGGCTTCAAACGTTGATAGCGTTCTGCTCACAGCTGCAAATGACTTGATTCAAATTGGATCTGGAGCGTCTTCACGTCGTCTACAATTAGCAATTTAGATTGCACGATTTGATAAAGAATTGACGACACAGCGTCGGTTTGAACGAACGGTACTATGGCAGCCACTATAGTCTTAGAACACAAGATAGGAAGAGTTACGAGTTGGGAATGACTCCCAGCTCCTACAAACCCCAAGAGCCGAGGTACAGTGATGTGGAACAGTGCCACACTGTCCCCAACCACGAAGGGTCTCGAAACTACCCTTCACTAGGGCCTACACCAAGTGAAATGTTACACTACACAAAGTAATGTAACTATCTTCAATATCTTGAGGTGTACCCTTTTTGGCGAGCTTCGAAATCACTTGAGGCTTGACACCAAGGCTCGGGCTCTTCATCACAAACTCATCCTTGAGTTCTTGATGGGTCTGCTGCACACACCTGCGACACGCCGAACGTTCGACACAGGACAAAATAGAAACCGCGCACGACAAAATAGAAACCGCGCGCGAGACACAAACGACCGCGTAACACGCGTCTAGCGATAACTCGCTATTGACTCGACACACACACTCGACATCATGACTCAACATTCACACACAATTATAAGCATGAAATATATATTATCCCATGCCCTCATACCATTCCATACACACACACATTCACGCACACGGACAACAAGCCGAGTGCAAACCGTAGGGTTGCACCAACAAACTCCCCCTCGGATTGTTGGCCTTAGGATATGTTGCTCTCTCAGTTCAGAGCCATCCCAGCCAGCTTGCATCACTTCCAATGCTGCTGCTCCACCAGCCTCTTGGTCATCATGTCAGCCGGCTGCCCCGTGGTCTTCACGTAGCGCAACTCAACTTCACCCGCGGTTACCATGCTCCTCGTCCAATGCCACTTCACCCTCATGTGCTTCGTGAGTCCATGCAACACAGGGTTCTTAGCAAGAGCAATGGCACCCTGGCTGTCACAGTACAGTGGGGTAGGTCCTTGCTGCTCCTCCCCCAATTCAGCCAACAAACGCCGCTGCCACACAATCTCCCGTACGGCACGGAAGAGTGCCATGTACTCGGACTCCACCGAGCTCAAAGCTTGGTCAACCTGCTTCTTGCTCTCCCAAGCAGTTGGGCCTCCACCAACACAGCATATGAAGCTTCCCACACTTGTCATGTCCTCTGGTTCTGATGCATATGAAGCATCCGAGTAGGCGGTGAGGAACAAACGCCCGGGTTCAACACCATCCGCGCCCTTTTGGCGCCTTTGTGCCGCCGCCGAGTATTGCAGCCCAACGGTCGGTGTTTGGCCAAGATACTTGGCCACCCTCATTCCAGCTGCTATCTGCTCCTCATTAGGGCATTGCACAACCCTAGCCAGCTGCCCGGTAGCAAACGCGACGTCCGGTCGGGTGTTTACCGCCGCATACATGAGGCTGCCCACCAACGAGTGAAATCGGCGCCTCTCCTCTTCACCAACGCTCTCCTCCTCTGGTCCCTTCACACACTTGAACCCAGAGGGAAAGGGTGTAGCCACATGGCCTTCACTCTGCCCAAAGTTGGCAGCCAATGCCTCCAGGTACTTTCGTTGATGCACCCGCATGCACCGCTTCTCCACATCTCGTTCGATGTGGAGCCCAAGGTAGAAGCTCACGTCACCAAGGGCCTTGCACTTGAACTTGTCTTGAAGCTTCAGCATCACCTCCTTCACAAGGTCAGAAGAGGGTGAGAAAATGAGGATGTCATCCACATAAACCACCATGAAACTCCTCTGCTCCCCCTCGCCAAGCATGAACAAGGAGTGATCGGCCGTTGAGGGAGTGAAGCCGATCCCCTCCAACACTTCGCGCAGCTTCATGTACCATTGCCTAGGGGCCTGCTTCAGCCCATAGAGGGCCTTCTTCAGCTTCCACACTCTGCCACTACCATCATCAAACCCCTCTGGCTGCGCCATAAAAATCTCCTCCTCAAGGATGCCGTTAAGGAATGCCGTTACGATGTCCATTTGCTTTACTACCCATCCTTTGATGGCGGCTCCCGCGAATAGGGTTCGCAGCGTCGTCGGCTTCACCACAGGGGCAAACAGCTCCTTGAAGTCCACCTTCTCCTTCTGCTGGTACCCCATTGGCTACAAGCCTAGACTTGTAGCGCTCGATCTTGCCGTCGGCATCCGACTTGATTTTGAAGAGCCACTTGGACGTTATCGCCGTACGCCCCTCCGGTAGCTCCACCAATTCAAACGTGTCATTCTCCTCGATGCTCTTCAGCTCACTCTCCATGGCCTTCTTCCACTCCTCAGCATCACCACTCTCCAAAGCCTCCTTGAGAGTTGCTGGTTCTCCCGGCATCTCCACCGGAGAGAAGAACGCGAAGGCACACTCCTCGTAGTCACTCTCCTCGTCGTCTCCGACCATCATTGCCGCTCCGGCCAGGGCTGTCTTGCCCTGCTTTCCCGGCGCATCATAGGTCAGCCTATTAGGGGGTTGAACTCTCCTCTTCCCCCTTCCTTCCTCCTCAGCTGCAGGGACTTGAAGGCCTTGGCGTTGCTGCGGTGTGGCTCGAATCCGTGGAGCACTCGTAGTACGGGAAGGGAGTGACGGTGCACGCTCGCTCACTTGCTGCACCTCCTCCTCTTCTTCCTCTGCATCATTGGCCTCCTCTCCCCCATTCACAAGGGAGGATTGCCTTGTGGTTGTGCTGCCGCTGCTCAGCTCCAAAGGCAGCTCCACATGCTCCAAACCGGAACTCTTCACCTCCCCAAACCGCACGCCTATCTTCGCCTCATTCTCCGCCTTCCAATCCTTGTACATGAAGTTCTCCATGAACTTGCAGTCCCTGCTCACCAAGAACTTCTTGGTGAATGGGTCCCAAAGAAGCCATCCCTTGCTGTTTTGAGCCATGCCCAAGTGCACGGCCCACACCGCCTTGGCACCAAGCTTGTTGTGCCGAAGATGCTTAGGCACGAGCGCCATGCACATGCACCCGAACACCCGAAGCATATCCACCTTTGGCTTCCTTCCTAGCCACTCCACATAGGGCACCCATTTGTCTGCTCCCACATGAGTCAAGGCTCTGTTCTTGGCCACACACGCGCTCCGCACCGCATCAGGCCAGAAATAGTCGGGTAGCCCGGCTTCAATGAGCAACCCGCGTGCCGCCTCCGTGATTGTGCGGTTCGCTCGCTCGGCAATGCCGTTCATTGCAGGGGAGTATGGCATGGTGAGGGAGTGCCGAATACCATTCTTCTTCAGCCACAACCCAAACTCCTTGCTCAGGAACTCTCCCCCTCGATCGGTGCGGATTGACTTGACTAGACGGTCTTGTTGCCGCTCCACCATCGGGAACCAATCCGTCTTCAACGTTTCAGCCACGTCGCTCTTCTTGGCCAGCACGTACACCCAAGTCATGCGGGTGTAGACGTCGACAATGGTGAGAAAATACTCAGCTCCAGCAGCTCCAAGCTTCAGGGGGCCCACCACGTCCATCACCACATCATCAAGCGGTGCCTTTGCCGTTGCCTCCGAACTAGGGAACGGAAACCGGGTGAACTTGGCTTGAATGCACGTCGGGCAGCCAAGCACCTCATCGGGCTCCCCCTTCACACGTATGCCAGCAACCATCTCATTCTTCACTAGCTGCTGCAAGATGGGCAGGGCCACATGCCCCATGCGCCGATGCAAGGTGAGCCAATCACACTCCCCCGTAGCCGAAGTTGGATTGGAGAATGCCGCGCTCGCAATAGCGCCCCACATACTCTCTCCGTAGTCCTCCTCCGCTGCTGCCTCTGGGTTCTCCTCACCCTTTTGCTGCTCCTTGGTTGCTGCACCACTCTCCTTAGGTTCACTGAACTTGCTGGTCCCTCCAGGTTTGCTCTTCTTGAGCTCATTCTCCTTAGCGCGACCGTTCGCGCCATCGTCGCTACCGACCGCTCCATCCTTGGTGCTGATGCTTGCTGCCACTTGCCTCTCCTTAGGCATAGGGACCACTGGGATCTGCCACATCTCGTTGTAGACATCCCTGTCCTCATGAAGGTCCCAAAGAATTCGATCGCCAAGCCTTGCGGTGTAGGTCTTGGCTCCCTTCGAGTTCGTGTCCATGCCGGCCTTTGCCAACCGCCGCACGGAAATCAGGTTTGCAGCAAGGGTGGGCACCCAAAGCACGTTCTTGAGGCCCACCATCTTCCCATCAGCACCCTTGAACATGGCCTTGCCCATGCCTTTCACCTCTGCTCGCTGCCCCAAAGCCGATGTGACATGCTTCACCGGTGACGGCTCGAGTTCGGTGAGCAAGTCCGGGCGAGGTGTCATGCTATAGGTAGCGCCACTATCAATCACCCAATAGTCCAGGGGGTGTAGGGTCACCTTCCCCACAGCTGCTGGCTCCTCAAAGCCTTCATCCTTCTCTGGACCAGCCGGTACTTGCGTCGACACGAAGTAGAATAGACCCGGGTATCGATCGTCGCTCGGGTCCTTGTCGTTGTCTCCGCTCTTCATGTTTGCAGCTCCGCCACCGCGACCGCCACGGCCTCCACGGCCTCGTCCTCTCCCTCCTCCTGCTCCTCTACCCTCTTGGCCTTGAGCAGGGGTCCAACCATCAGGGAGTTTGTAGCAGTCGCGCCACATGTGTCCGCTCTTGTGGCAATAGTGACACTCGCCGTCGAATCGGCCGCGACCGCGTCCGTAGCTCTTGTCGTCGCTGCCGTAACCGCCACTCCTGCGGCCTCCGCCGAAGTTGCTGCCACCAAACCTTCCTCCCCCTCGTCCTCTGCCTCTTCCTCGACCATATCCACGGCCG